GGAAAATTTTAAAGGGTTAAACTATATATATATATTTTTAAAATACTGGCAACTGGTTATTTAAATTAAAAATTGAATAATCTCTCCTGTTTATGATACAGACCTGGGGTGCCAGCAGGCTCTGTGCTGATTTTGACAGAAGCACATGTAAGACTCTCGCCATATGTCCACTTTATGCACCATGGATGATTGCAAACATTGGTCTACATCGAGCTTGCGACTGAATCTCAAAGTTGGTGGCCCTCAGAGATGCAGTAGCCAGAAGCTGAAAACCTATCCCCCCCCCCCCTTCCCTGTGCATATAGATCTTTTGAGGAGGAGACTGGAATACCTATGCATCTGTCCGGAGTGCTGTGATGATAATCCTTACTAATCACTAATCCACTGAAAGACTCATTAGGAAGATAAGTTCTCAAGTCCAGTCGGTTGCTACCAAAAGGCTAGTTTTTGTTCAAATGTCTATCAATAAAAATCCTACTCAACGACAAACAGGTTCAAATGTCAGTTTAGTCAAGTCTTGCCGAATGACAAACAAGATTCAAGTATCCGCTACCAAAGGTGATTTGCATTGGACTGTCATGACCAAGAGAGAAAGTGATGCCTGATGCATGCCTTCCAAAATTAGCTGTCCTGATACTGCCATGCTGAGTGCCTCAAAAAGTGCTCTTGTCTATAAGAGATGTCTAAGTCATGCTGGGAAAGCAAAATCATTAAAGTTTTAGGTCTACGAACTACTTCCTACAGATCCTCTGAGGCGCAACCCAGATTGAATGGAAGGCTCAATATACAGAAGCTCAGATTCAAAATGCCATTTGTCAGCCCTGCATTTATGGAAGCATCCTTGGATGGCAGGGAATGCCAGTGTTCTGCCCCTGCCTTTCTTTCAGGGCTGTCTGTTGTCCCCATGTGGGATGCAATTTTTAATTTTGAAGCCTAAAAATTTAGCCGAGCTTAAAATATGGCCTAATGGCTGAACAGGGTTTTCGAGACCTCTCCACCATGGGTGATCCTCATCCGCATTGTGGCATCATGTGTCACCGGGTGTTTATGGCTTGTGTGATGTCCTGATGGAGTCTACCTACCTAACTACCTTTCAAGACTAAATTGCGCTTTTTCTTTTTTTCTTTAAAGGAATTGGAATTCAGGGCTGATCAGGATGCACATGACTGCAACAAGATCAGTCGGGAAGGGGGGGGGGGGGGGGGGTGATGATAATGACCACATGATAATGATGACGACACAAAAGTTAGTTTGTGCTATGCACAGTCATCAATCAAACATTTAACCTTTTCATTACACACACAGCAGTTCTCATCTTGTCAACTGATTTTACCTTCTTTGCTACAAACATTATCCTCTTTACAGGTGTCTGTATATGTTTATTAGTATGTTAATTTATACAGATAGCACATACACCATTTGCAAACTAAAAACCTGTATTGTACAATGATTTTATTTATAACTATTGCTGTGATCCTACAAAAGCAGGTTTCCTTATAAGTCAAGCAATGAATAAACTGTGTGCTTTAAATGACAGTCTGAGTACCTCTAAACCTTTCTTTAGGATTAGTTCAAATTCTAAATTGAGGTCACTTCTGCATTTCTCCAGTTCTGCTGTCATCTCAGCATTCAGTTCTTGCATTCTTTTTCCATGTCTCTGTTTATGAAGTAGTTGTATCAGTGCCAGACTTGCATAACTAAGGAAAAATAGAAAGATAATTTTATTCATCTTACTTACCTTCTGAATTTATATACATGATCTCAGTTATTCTCAACCTTACCATGTTTTCCAACTCATACTGTTTTTTGCATTGCTAAAAGAAATTTTTCTGCTATAAACTGACAGCAATGCCAAGTTGTCGGTGTCTGTGGCTTAGGCATTGTGAACGCGCTTCATGATTCTGAGGTTTGATCCCAGCTGCAAGCAGTTTGGCAGCAGACAGTGTAGTATTGGTTTCAACTGTGCTATCGAGAGCCAACCATTTAGAAAGCAGTAGCAAACTAAATTGCATAGTAAAATCAGAAACAGCACACACACACACACAATTTGCTGGAGTTAGTTTAGCAACGACCTGTAAAGGACTTTAGCAATGACCTGGACTTATCCAAGTTAACCAGCTGTCTTCAGAGAAGAGCAGGTCAAAGGCCACCCTTCGTGCCACGGGGCTTTTGACTATATGGTGCTAGCCTCTCTTGGGTTTAATATGATTGGTATTTGATAATATGGTCAATATCACCTCAGCTACCTTTAATTCCCAAAACATTTTCTTATTTATGCTGGGTGACATAGGAGTCAGGTTTATTGAAAAATCCCTACATGAAAATCGCAGACGAGGCTGGTAAACAAACATGCATGCCACTATGCTACTGTGGATCCCTGTCTTCAACGAGCTCAACAAGTCTTTTTTTTTGTTCACAAAGTAACATTTTCCACTATTAATTTTTAAAAAAACATTATTGAAATTATTTAGTAAAATAGTTTGAAAAGCAGTTCATAAAAAAATTGAAAGCCAACATACCTGACTCCTTTCTGCTGTTGAGCAGTAAACTCATACTGGGCTTCTTCCTCCAGCTCATGTTCAATTTTTCTGCAATTTGGCCAAATGTTACTTCATTAATTCAGATACACTTTTGTCAACACAAATGTTTCTTCTTCTTATTCTGCATTTTTCCAGTATATATTTTTTCTCTTGGCATTTATTTAGTTATTCTTCCCCTTAAGTTTCACAGGACATTCTATGACCTCAGAGTTGTTTGTGGAAAATTAGGAAGCTTTTAACATGTCCACAGTGAACCATCATAGGTGTGATTAGGTTAGCCCAGTATTTTTTATTTTGTGTACGACCAGCTTGATGACTTTTGTTGAGTGCCAGAGGCACAGCTTTTTTCTGACAATTACGCATTGTTACAACAGAGTATTATCACCTTTATTTAGGCATCATTTTTGTAGTGCTTCTATAATATACACACTGTGGTGAGTACCATCATCATTTTTTTTTTTTAAATCTAAAAAAATTAATTAATCAAAGGCATGGCCACAGGCATTTCTACATACCAGTTTCTCTTGGGGCAAGAACCATGAGAGCACCAACTCTGAGAGTTCCAACTCTGAGGTCTCCTGCCAGGGTGATTCAAGTCTATGGTTGCTATTTGTCCATGGTGTATGATGAAAGTGTATGTATGGCAGAAGACTTCCTATGGTTATATAAAAACCAGCACAGAGCTTGCTGGTGCACAAGGTAAGCAATGGTAAATTTTTTTACACTCAAAACAGAGACCTTAACTTTAATTCTTCCCTGCCTGTGACTGAAATCACCACACCACAACTTTTTTACTCAGGCATGTTAACTCTTTCAGTCCCAAGGAACGCACCATACATTTACAGGTTTCTACTCACAAGCCCAGTTAACGCAAGATGTGGCGATTTTACATCTCTCTTATTATACCCTTTTGGCCTCTGATGCTTACTCCCGTTGGACTGAATGAATTAATAACAATTAAATATAACTCAGTTCTAGTACTAAGTTCTAATTATTGGACTATTTCTGTCCCATACAGAATACTATGTGTAACTGTCTATTCCTTATGTGTACCAGTCAAAGAAGGGGCCGTAATAGAACTCTTGCCTGCTAGCACATTAGCTATGGGTTTGAATCCTCAACAAGACAGATTTTTCACAACTGACCTAGGCTTTTACATTCACGTAGCCTAAAATTTGTACCAAGAAATGTTCTGAGAAGTAAAACTGTTGGTGTGATATTGATCACACTATTTACCAAGCACTGACTGGTCTAAATATTTGTTTAAAAACAAATGCCTGAGGAAAATGATGAACATAAAATTTGATGAATTCAAGAGACATAAAGAATCCAATGTCAGGGCAACCACAAGTATCAACAGTTATAAGACAGAGTAGATGGCGCTGTATTAGATATATCCTGTGAAGAAATGAGGAGAAAAGGGATTGAGTAAGTGTGGACACCCATAAGAAACCCTGAAACGAATATTGATGAGAGAGGCCAAAGGTACTGGAGTGGATCCCATACAAAATAATGAACTGGATGCACAAGATAGAACTGAATGGAGAAATATACTGTAAGCTCTATGTGACATATAATGGCACAACAGGACAAAGAATGAATGAACTGACTGATCTTTAAAAATAAATCAATGTATATGTGTGAATCTTACATTTAGTCTGATCATAATGAAATCTGAAAACATTAGCTTTTAGAAGATGTTCATATTTCGCAAAGGGCTGTGTGGTCTCGAGGTACAGTGTCCGCCTGGAGTGCAAGAGGTCCTAGGATCAGGTCCCAGGATCAACCCCGGTGAAGGCTGGAATTTTTTCTGTTCACGTAGACTTCTAGTAATTTCCCCTTGACTCTGGGTAGTGAGATCGGACACCCGTGTGTATTGCTGTGCACGTTAGAAGTCCCTTGGCAGCTGCCAGGGCAAAATTTTGAGTTAAAAATCTACCCAAAATATTTCAGGATCCTCGCCGGTGCTACGGAGCCCTTGGACTGTGCTGAGCTACTTCGGACTCAGACTTGAGTTAGAAGTAGAACGGAGCACTTATGGGTTACTACCCGTGTGCCATGATGTTGATCATTGTTCAAACCTCAAACCTGTGTATATACATCATTCTACTGGCAGACATCAACGTGGCTGCTTGTGGATACTCAGTTAAGTTCATATTTCACCTCTGTGAAAATAAAACATTTGTAATTTTGTTGTTTCTACCCATTTGGCCACTGCAGTGACCTTCTGCGACTAACAGAGTTAATAAGTGACCCACTAATTTCAGTCACAACAAGAAGACTGATTTTCACAAACTTACTGTTGCAATCTTTGTCTTTTATTTATGACTTTTTCCCTAATAATGTTCTCTTTTTCCTTCTTTTGTCTCTGTAGCTCCATCTCCAAATGTGTAATGTTATCACTGTGCTGCTTTAGAATCTCCTCCATCTCAGAAGTAAGAGGCTCAGTGGATGCTAGAGTTATGTCGAGAGCATGCTGCAAACAGTTATAATGACCACATTTGATACATACTTGATGTGTCTATAATGTGCAAAATATGAGACATCTTTTAAAAATACTAAGCTCAGGTAAATAATTCATTAAGCATTTTAGAGCACTGGTTTTTCTTTTCTTCTGGCTAATAAATCAACTTTCCTTCTTACTTGTTATGGCTTTTGAATAAATGAATGAACAAATGAATGAAGAACTGAAATCACTGCACTTGGGATAGTCCTGTGGGTACTCTCTCCCTTTCTTCATTAGCCAATGAAGAGTTCCCATAATGAAGGTGCCAGTTGCAACAGAATTAAAAACTGGACTGCCCCCCCCCCTCTCTCCCCTTTCGTTGTTTTTTTCTTTCCAGGTAGAAAATGGTCCAGACCTGCTCCCTCCCAGCTGAATAATTCTCTGAGAATGTGGATACTTTGTTGCCTGTCTGATCCAAGACAGCCTTCACCACATTCATTTTGTTATAAAGTAGCTCACCACCCAGAATGCTGGCAGAAGCCAATCTATTAGCCAGTCTACTTGATGTGGCTTTCATATATTTACAGCTTCTCCGTATGGTTTCAGCAGCCTCACTGTGGGGGAAAAATAAGAATAGATTCCCTAACAACATTTGAGAAAAGTCGTCTATTTAGGTATGTTTCATTCTATGTTGGAGTGCATCTACTTAACTCTTTGAGGCCTGAGCAACAGTGTGAGCATTGATTGAGAAATTCCGTTTTGCCCAAACAACGCTGTCATCGTCAATTGTGTGTCCCGTACATACTGCTTCACACACGGCTCTGTACTTGTTTCCAATCTTCGGAACAATGATTACATTTTTTTAGGGAAAGTCACTCTAATGATTGCCTTTTAACTACATCCCGTATCTAAAGCCATGCGTACATAGATTGATCAGATTCACAGCTACATTTTTTCAACAGTGCATTTTTAAAGTTCGTTTTCGAGGGCAATGAATACTAATCTTTCAACCACAAGTAAAGGTCGCAGAATGCGTCTTCCTGCGGCCAAAGTTTTGAAATTGTTTCAGTCAGATGTTTTTAATTCGAAAAATCATTATGAAAATTAAGATTTTTCGGAAAGTGATTCAGATGGTGAATTTTGACCAGCAAAGCTGAGCGATCAACTGTTGGGAATCTAGCGATTCTTATGAGTTTACACAGACAATGTTCCATTGCTACCATATTTATGGTGTAAGGAAATGAAAGTGCTCCAAACAAAGAAACAGTACTATACTATGGCTAAGCTACATTGAAATTATTGCAGCTACAGTCTGTATATAACTGTACAAAGTAAATAGTGTGTTAAAAAATTGTCTATTTTTTTTTCATTTTTTTCTCCGAAGTTTTACTCAGTACTCTGTGAGAACTAAGAGCTCCTGAGTGCTAAACTAACCCAGAAACTTATCATAACTTTAGAATTTGTTAGAAAATTGAACAAACTTTAAAGTTTTGTTCTCAAATTTGGATATTCACTATTCTTGTGTCAGTCACACTAGGAAAATGTATGCTAAGATCTTTGAAAAAAGGCTGAGACCATTGATAGAGTATTAACTTTCAGAAGCACTGATGGGCTTTTGACGAAACAGAAGTTGCACAGATGCCATTTATACATTGAGACAACTATCAGAGAGGGCAATAGAACATAATAAGACATGTTTGTTGACATTCATAGACCAAGAAAAAGCCTTCGATAGAGTTCAAAGCAATATGTTGTGGGAATGTATGGGAAAAAAGGAATTAGCCATCATCTTATTAATATTTGCAAAAGCCTGTACACACGTAGTAAATGCTGCATAAGATCGAAGGCAGGGTTGTCAAGAACTTTTTTAGTGAACTCTGGTGTGCGTCAGGGCTGTGTACTATCGCCGCTTCTTTTTATAACATACATGGATACCATATGTAGCGAAACAAACTTTAATCATGAAGAAGATATTACAGAATTAGGTGAATAAGATGAAAGGGTGTACGTCGATGATCAGGACTCCTTTTAGCTTTCTCCGCACTGTGTCATCATTCTTCTTTTAGAATGAAGTTAATTTAACCACAGACTTTTGTTATGAAAAAGATATGCAACAAATATGAAGGACTAATATACTTGCAAAGTTCCTTCTTGGCGAGCAAGAATCGTTTTCTTTCTGGCTTCACGTAGCTGCAAATAGAAATGTAACAATTATACATATATAGTCCAGATAGTTGTTCGTTAAATTTGTTTATGGTCTAGATCATGCAACTCTGTGGCTAAGTCAGTGATTCATATTCCTTCATATATCAGATCTGACTTCCTAGGCAGGTGACTTAGACTGTTCCTAAGGCTTCTGAATAATGGTACAAGAGATTCACTATGAAAAGGATTTAGGGCACAGTGTATATTATTTTCAAACACAGGGGTAATTGCGTTGCAGCCAGACAACAGTGGATGTATTGCAGCCAGATAGAGGTGGATGTACTGCAGCCAGATGACAGTGGATGCACTGCAGCAAAACAATGGTGGATGTACTGCAGCCAGACAATGGTGGATGCATTGCAGCTAGACAACAGTGGATGCACTGCAGCCAAACTTCAATGTGAAAATGGCACACAGTAAAAAGTGTATGTACCTAGGTTAAACATTCATTTATATATTTATGAATGTTTTTTTTGTTGTTGTTGTACATTCAAACCAAGCTAGACAATAAACATATCTATAATAAATAAGAAAACAGTCACAGGGAGAGGAGCAGAAGCAGAGGAACACCAAGCAAGAACATGCCAGACAGTTCGATATCATGGAATAGAGGATCATTTTTGTCAAAAATGATACAGAGGCTGTGGAAAGATATTATACCAGTGTAATATAGCATAGACTCAAAAGATGAAGGATTAAAATAGTTTCACCAAACCTGAAGTCGACCAATGAGCAGACTTAATGAATCACTTTGTAGCTTCAGTGCCTCTTCTGTTTCCTTTGCAAGTTGTTTTCTGAGTTCAGCAACTGCTGCTTGCCGAGCTTCTTCTAAAAGCTGCTCTTCTTTAGTAATATCTGCAGTCTGGATATGTCAACAACAAGAAAAAAATAACAATGTATATATAAAGTACATATATTTGTAACAAAATGGTAATATAACTGGGAACATCATGAGAAGAAGTGGGCAGACAATCACCAAAACAAGCACTGAAATAGGAAACAAATGGATTGAGATAATGAGGGTGTTCAAGGTAAACCTTAAAATAAACGCTGATAACATAGGCCTAAGATACCAAACTGGGTTCCATTTTTGGCACTGAAGAGATTGCACAGGGTATAAAATAATGTAGGAATAGATTGTACAGGGTAGAACAAAATGTAGGAATAGACTGTACAGGGTAGAACAGAATGTAGGAATAGATTGTACAGGGTAGAACAGAATGTATGAATAGATTGTACAGGGTAGAACAGAATGTAGGAATAGATTGTACAGGGTAGAACAGAATGTAGGAATAGATTGTACTGGGTAGAACAGAATGTAGGAATAGATTGTACAGGGTAGAACAGAATGTAGGAATAGATTGCACGGAGTAGAACAGAATGTAGGAATAGATTGTACAGGGTAGAACATAATGTAGGAATAGATTGTACAGGGTAGAACAGAATGTATGAATAGATTGTACAGGGTAGAACAGAATGTAAGAATAGATTGTACAGGGTAGAACAGAATGTAGGAATAGATTGTACTGGGTAGAACAGAATGTAGGAATAGATTGTACAGGGTAGAACAGAATGTAGGAATAGATTGTACAGGGTAGAACAGAATGTAGGAATAGATTGTACAGGGTAGAACAGAATGTATGAATAGATTGTACAGGGTAGAACAGAATGTAGGAATAGATTGTACAGGGTAGAACAGAATGTAGGAATAGATTGTACTGGGTAGAACAGAATGTAGGAATAGATTGTACAGGGTAGAACAGAATGTAGGAATAGATTGTACAGGGTAGAACAGAATGTAGGAATAGATTGTACAGGGTAGAACAGAATGTAGGAATAGATTGTACAGGGTAGAACAGAATGTAGGAATAGATTGCACGGGGTAGAACAGAATGTAGGAATAGATTGCAAACCCTGTATGGTGTATAAATGGCACAACAGAATAATGATGACTAAGGCAAAGCAAATTAATAATAACCTACATCACTTTAAATATTACCAAAGGTATGTAACACAATCTGATTATCACGATTATTTAAAAATTCACTTAGAAACCTATTTTCTAACATGAAAAACCAAAAAATCTGGGCAATTTTCAAAAAATACTAGTTTAAGACAAAGTTAAACAATCAGTATTAGAGAAGATAAATACTCTGTAGGTGAATATCCCAATTATAACCCAGAAGAGTGTAACAGGATAGCATTAATTAAATACTAGTACTAGGTGAAATGAAATAACTGCGCATGAAAAGGCACAATTTAGGGGAACTGGTAAAATACTGAGTGTCCCTCACAGGCCACGATGAAAGAAATATTGTGCCAATTACCTGCTAAGTGATGCATAAAGAATTTAGTAGTCAGAAAAAATATGTTTTGGATTTTAAAAAAAGATAAGACAAAAAAAACCCGTTAAAATTCAGTTCAGGGATAACACATCAACTAGTACAGAACTACATATCAATCTTTATAAAAGTAAATAGAGTCAGTGTTAATGACATAAGCTGCTACATATAATTATGGATGCATATAACAAAATGTTTGACATAATGTTTCAATGATACTACAGAAAATATCAAAACATAAGTTATTGGTACTTATTATCTACTTTCATAACTAAACAACATAAACAGAGCTTTTCTAATGTTATTTTCTTGATATTTTAAATTTATTACAGAAGAGTCTGCTGTTTCTCTTTTGAAACACAAGGATCAAAACTGTACATGCTGATAAACAAACAAGCAAATATAAGTAACTCATAAATGTAAATCATAAAAAGATGTAGTCAAGAAGACAGTCATCTAAAGATAAACATATTCTAGCATCAGATTCCCACGGTTTATCTAGAGGGAGTAAGAGGTGAATAGAGCTAGTTTTACATTTGTTCATTAAGGCTTAGGTGACTAGTTCCATGACAGATACTGCATTTGTGAAGTACTAAATCTTCACATATTATAGGCCATTGCATATCCAAAGAACTCTCTTCTTCCTCCCTGCTTTTCGCTCTCATAAAATTCTGTAATTTCTCCAAACCATCAGTGAAAAGGTCAGCCTTACACCAAACACTACGCTGTGACTTATTAGACATGAAAATAAAATTGTCCCCTACCTCTTCACAATGTTATATTCACTAATAAATAATTTTAAAGATTCAGTGGTATGATAATATTTTTCCGTACAAGTTGAAACAACTGGCCATCCTTATCTTGCTTGTTTGATTTTTTGATATTTTTCTTCCTCAGAAGCAGACTTTCCAGGTGAATTTTCCTTTGATTTAATTTGATTTCCAAGCTGCAGAGAAGAAAAGGATATTTTCTTTTAATACCTGAGTGTAAAAGCCAGTTAATATGATTGAGTAACAGGAATATAATAACTTTTCTTCTATAAATTCTAAAACCGAAATTCCTCTTCAAGACGTGCATTCATACACTTGTGTAGGTCTTAATATAGACACAGATTTGGGAAACACTTTTGAGTTACAAAAGTACAAAAAGAGAAGACACTTCATAGTACTAGAAAATTTTTGGAAGTTAACTCTTTGAGTCCCAAGAAGCACATCATACATTCATAGGTGCCTACCTTGAAGCCCAGTATACGCAATATGCGCTAATTTTATGTCTCTTTTTACTTCTCCTTGGGCCTGGGATGTTAAACCTTCTGGGACTCAAAGAGTTAAAGAAAATTAAAACTTGTACCAAACTCAAGATAATTTAGTTCTAATGAGAAATCTGTACTGCTGTATGGAGCTGAAACATGAATAACTAAAATAGTTACAACAGACTCATGATCGTCCACGCCAGTAGGCAAGGCACCTGATGATGATGATGATAAGACTACAACATTCATTAACTAGTGTCAGCATAGAATCTTCTTCTTTGCATTTGCCGGCTGTAAACTCCAGTGGAATATTCTGGTTGTTGGTCCACCTCTGGACTTTAGTCTTGCTCCAGTACCTTATTGTTGTATGCACATCCATTTTACTAATCTGACATATTTGTAGGCAGACTGTTGATTCCTCACCTCTCCCAGTTAGTCAACATGCTTGTTGGAGAAGAAGTAGGTCTGATCTTGTTTCCTCTGCAATGGGGTCCAAGACCCCACAGGGAAAGTCTGCACAGAATACGAAGAATTAAATGGTATGACAGTCCGCTAACATAGAGCTTTGAGAGAAAACTAAACAATTCTATTGAATCAAGAAGCTAACAAAACAAGCTAGCATTGTCCCACAGTGAGAAAAACCTGATAACAATATAACTAGAATATCTCTGCACTGGAACCAACAAGGTAAAGGGAAAAGATGTAGATGGAGAAGGGAATTGGAGACTAAAATGAAAAAGGTGGGGTGAGCTACACATGATAGCAAAAGATAGGATAAACTTGGCGCAAGTTGGGTCTATGCCCCATTGGGAATATAGGACATGAGAAAAAAATAATTCTGAAACTTTTCAATTAATAATTTAAAGAATAATGTTTAATTAGGCAAACCCGAGTGGATCAGTCACAGTTACGATGGTTTGGACATGTATGCAGAATGGGAGAAAATCGGCAACCATAGCAGGTATGGGAGGCTAAGAACCAGGGAACCAGACCTCCAGGGCGGTCCAGGGTCCGCTGGGAAGACAACATCCGACAGTCCCTAACTGACAGAGGACTGGAATGGAACAAAGCCAGAAATAAAACTGCTGATAGAGACGTCTGGCGATCTCTCTGGCAAACCTCTACACCCCAGGGTAGAAGAGGAGCGACTAAGTAAGTAAGTAAGTTTAATTAAGAATCAATGTCACAGCACTGAGGACATTCCTATAAGCGCCCCGTCTCTATTTTCAGCAGCAAGTGCAGAGTTCCAATTTCGATGGTACCAGTAGCCGTCTGATTTGTATATCTGCCTCACTTTTCCCTGTCTTATATTTATTCCTTTTCTATTTCATTCATTCTTTTCTAGTAGCTATCTTTTTTGCTGTCTAAAAACTTTGTTGTCTAACTACTTATTGAAAGTAACTACCTTTTCTGTTGTCTGAGTTTGCTACAAAGCAACTGGTTCGACAAGGCCTTCATGTTTTGCTGATGTTCTTTTAAAATCTGGTCTTTGTCTCTGCAATACAGGAATTAAAAACTAGAAAGAAATTTGGCGAGTATCTTAACGGCCCCAAGAAATATAGATAAACATTTTTTTTCGGGGTACAACCCATGAAAGTCATCCGATCTAGTCAGCAGCAAGATTTTGTAAAGATTTCCCAGAACACTCCTTTAGTCTGGCGGTGTCATTTGTTCCTTATTTTGACTGCAGCAAGCACATCCACCATCAACAACAGCCACCGCCAACGAATGTTATAATATAAAAACATCAGTTATTAGTTACCCATGAACAGCTATGCCTTCAAACAAACCCAAGCCACTTTTTAACATGCTGTGTAACAAGTCAGTTTAAGGAAGACATCTCACAACAATACCGGCGGCTGACAAAATAGGGGTGACTTTTGCCAATGGGGGGGGGTTAAGGGGGGGCGGGGACGAGGAGGGGTGACAGTTTTTTTTTTAAGACTGTAAATTTTATTGGGGGGGGGGGGGGTTGCATCATTATTATCCTTGTGCCTCTCTAGCCATAGCCATATTTTAAATGTTATTCATGACACATAATATTCAGTGATACATTATTTACATTTCTTGCCCAAGCTTGTATCATCAGTGCTGAATGTGAGCTCATAACTGCTCTAATTAGTTAGTTGTGTATCCTTTACAGGACGTTGCAGAACCAACCCCAGCATTTTTTGGCTGTTGTGGTGTTTTTAGGCAAGTTTACATTTAGTAGTTTGCCATTGCTTTCTGGACGGTCAGCTTCTCGATACCACTGTCGAAACCAACGCAAGGCCTGCAGCTGGCATCAAACCCAGCACCCCAGCATTACGAAGCGCATTCGCAATGCCTAAGCCACAGACGCTGACTGCTCTAATTGCTGTGCATATATTAACAAATACTGTAATGAACACTGATCATAATATTGGCTCTGTACTGTGATACAAGCTGGCGTAATGTTGACTACATCAACCACCTAGTGCCGACTGGCAGATTTTTTTAAACCTTACTGTGATACAAAGGGAGTCACAACAGAGTAGTGGCTAGATGCTAGTCTGCCACCCCAGAGGTCTTGGGTTTGAATTCACTTTGAGTCAGATTGTTTTTAACATTGACTCTAGCTCCCATATTGATAAAGCTTAAAATAGGTAGCAGGTAATATTCTTGGAAGTAAAGGTGGCTGTTTTGGTGTTGTCCATACGACACCTGTTGAGTGTTGTTTTTTCTATACAAATATGACTACCGCAACATAGGCCTGATCTCAGTTTACTTTACTTAGTGTGATAACATAAACAATTTCAATACAAAACTGAAAATGTCTGAAAAATATAAAATACAGAAGGTTGTATTTTGGAGTGGAACCTAGCCCTTTTCATCATTCAAGACTATTAGAGCAATGACAACTTTGACAAAGAAGGCACTATGGCACAGTTACATGATTTTTCAGTTACACATAAACAAACCTAATAAAAAGAACGTTCAACTACAAGATAATAAGAGAAAATCGGCCACCATTGCAGGCATGGGAGGCTAAGAACCAGGGAACCAGAGCTCCAGGGCAACCCAGGGTCCACTGGGAAGACAACATCAGACAGTGCCTAACTGATAGAGGACTGGAATGGAACAAAGCCAGGGAAAAAACTGCCTGGATCTGGCGATCTATATGGCACACCTCTACTCCCCAAGGTAGAAGAGAAACAACTAAGTAAGTAAGTATAATCGAATATTTTTTTGGGGAAAAAAGAACAGACCTGCTACTTTCCAAGAGAAATGTTGTAAAAGGCGACTAATTAAGGACTGGCTCAAATCTGGTGTGTTGGGCCCATCAGGCACAGGTATCACAGCATAACTGTAAACTACAACACAAGATGCCAACTACACTTTCTACCCTTTTAAGCGTGAACATGTGAAACAAGAAGAATTAGAACAAGATACAAGAAACTTAATAGTTTAGGTTTAGATGACGGATAAACATCATGGCACAAAGGTAGTAGCCCATAAGTGCTTCGTTCTACTTCTGACTGAAACCTGAGTCTGAAGAATCTCAGCGCAGTGCACAAACTCCGTAGCATCAGCAAGAATCCTGATATATTTTGGGTAAATTTTTAACTTCAAATTTTGCTGGGACAGTGCCATTAGGCTATTCTTTTTCGATTTCCAACTACCAAGGGATTTTTCATGTGCGCTACAATACACACAGGCATCCGATCTTACTACTCAGAGACTAGGGGAAATTACTAGAAGTCCACTTGAAAAAATCCCAGCATTCATCGGGGCTTGAACTTGAGGCAGACACCATGCCTCGAGACCTGGCAGCCCCCTAAAAGCTAAAGATGTTTTTGAGTAGTAAAGCCCCTCAAACTGAGAACACATATTCTATGGTCAGAAACAACCTTAGAATTCTTCTGCTTCTTCTTGGTAAACACCAGGCTGTAAACACCAGCAGAAAGTTCTGGCTGTTCATCCACCTCTCGACTTTAGTCTTGTTCCTCTTGTTGTGTGAACATCCATTTTACAGATCTGACTGATGTGTATGCAGATTGTTGGTTCCTTGCTTCTCAGGCAAATTCACTCTTGACTTCAAAGGAAGCCCCTCCATTAGTAGACTTTTACAACATGCTTGTTGGGGAGGCAGTGAGTCTACTCTTGTTGTCCCAACAATGGGGCCCCAGAACTCATACAGGAAACCTTACATGTAAAAGTTGGTTATAAAATGAAAGATGGAAGTCTGCTATTGAAAATAACGGAGTCCACTTAGAAGGAAGAATAAACTGACAATGTTATACGAGTAGCTACATCATAGGGGCATGCAAGCACATTAGGATTCAGACAACCACTGAAGTCACAAGGCAGTACAGTGACATGATCAAAACATTCTGATACCCATCCTCGGACAGAGTAAACTGAAAATGAAACATGAAATAATTTACATAATATTCTATTTACTTACAAATCTGTCAGATCTATGTTCATAGTTACAACTTTTCGTACTGTAGCCATTTGTTCTTTCTTTAGAATCTCTTGCTCTATATGGTGTTGTTTCTGATTTAAATCGGCAGTTTTTAGTCTTTGTTGGAGTCTCTCCTGCAATCTGGCAAGTGCAGCTTGCTTTTCTTTTTGCTTTTCAGCTGTTGAGGGGAAAAACAAACATTTACAGTCCCAATTCATTGTCCCGGTTATTTTAAGGAAAGTTCATTTACATATTAGGCCCCCCCCCCCCCCCCCCCCCCCCCCCCACATTTACCCCCCCCCCCTTACAAAATATATTTAAAAAAACAATAACTTACAGTCAAACAGACAGGTTGCAGAGATTTGCAGGAATTTGAAATTTGCTAAAGAAAATCGACGACTGACTGAAGATGTCTTACCACTTTGAAAAAAAAAAAAAAAAAAAAAAAGAGGAAGACTAATGGAGAAAAACTTAGTCACAGAACATTTTAAAATTATGTAGAAGTGAACAAATATGGCTTAAAGAAAAATGCTCGGTAACTAAAAACCAATACAACAACATAATCACCAAGTTAATGTGCACCCTAATTAATGACCTCATTAACAAAAGAACTTACATCAAATGGCTACATGAAAACCAAAGAAGGCAAATTCAAAATTACTGATGATAAGATTTAGATGCATGGTCAGAATATGTGAAAGACCTTGAGAATAATTTATGTTATGAACAGTTTGATACCCCTAGTAACAATGAAGAACTACTGATCTGAAGATAGGAAACTGAAATCAGATGAACCAAAAAATAGTAAGTAAATAAAAAATAAAAATAATTTGAAAACATATTCTCAGGACGAATTTTGCAGGCAGACAACCTTTGTCACAATCAGCTAGACAACCTTTGTGATCATCAACTAGACAACCTATGTCATCATCAACTAGACATCTGTCATTATCAGCTAGACAACCTTTGTCACCATCAGCTAGACAACCTTTGTCACCATCAGCTAGACAGTCTATGTCAGTGTCAACTAGACAACCTTTGTCATCATCAGCTAGACAACCTTTGTCACCATCAGCTAGACAACCTTTGTCACCATCAGCTAGACAACCTTTGTCACCATCAGCTAGACAGCCTATGTCAGTGTCAACTAGACAACCTTTGTCATCATCAACTAGACATCTGTCATTATCAGCTAGACAACCTTTGTCATCATCAGCTAGACAACTTCTGTCATCATCAGCTAGACAACTTCTGTCATCATCAGCTAGACAACTTCTGTCATCATCAGCTAGACAACTTCTGTCATCATCAGCTAGACAACTTCTGTCATCATCAGCTAGGCAACTTCTGTCATCATCAGCTAGACAACTTCTGTCATCATCAGCTAGACAACCTTTGTCAACATCAGCTAGACAACCTTTGTCATCATCAGCTAGACAACCTTCTGTCATCATCAACTAGACAATTTCTGTCATCATCAACTAGACAACCTTTGTCACCATCAGCTAGACAGCCTATGTCATCATCAACTAGACAACCTTTGTCATCATCAACTAGACATCTGTCACTATCAGCTAGACAACCTTTGTCACCATCAGCTAGACAACCTTTGTCACCATCAGATAGACAACCTTTGTCACCATCAGATAGACAACCTTTGTCACCATCAGATAGACAACCTTTGTCAACATCAGATAGACAACCTTTGTCACCATCAGATAGACAACCTTTGTCAACATCAGATAGACAACCTTTGTCAACATCAGATAGACAACCTTTGTCACCATCAGCTAGACAACCTTTGTCACCATCAGCTAGACAACCTTTGTCAACATCAGCTAAACAACCTTGTTTAGACAATCCTATCTGGGGACCTGGACCATGTACTAGAATTGACGTTTTCTTCAAAGTCAGAGTGCATCTGCCTTCGAGAAAAGGAACCCACAGTCTGCAGCCATTTATATTAGATGTGTTAAATGGATGTGCATACAAAACTCAAGTTCAGAAGTGGATGAACAGCCAGGACTTTTGCCAGATTAATCAGCCGGTGAACACCAAGAACAACAAGAAGAAAGGAAGATAAAAGTCTGCTGATTGTGTAAGATGGCAAACCATGGCATGCAAAAATATGGAACATGATGATGATTATGGTACAAAAACCATATTAAATCCTCTGTTATACAATGTCATGACACATCTAAAATGTTCCTTTCATTAAAGAAGCTATTTTTTAAAGAAATAGTGAAACCAGTGCATACATTCATATCTTTTCATTTCAGCTTTGTAAAGCTTCAGAATTCTTGTGACTTCCAAGGTTGTCATTTCACTGCGCAGTTTATCTGCCAACTTTTCTGCTTCAGCATCTATATCTATTCTTTCCCTCTGGATGAATTCCTGTTGAAATCAGTAAATTACAATTCAGACATCAGAACATACTGAAGTCATTAGCAAGGTAAAGCAATGAAGTCCTGAAGCCGCTCAAAGTGGCATTTTGTACAAAGTCAATAAGTAAGTCTAAATGGCTGTCTTAAAAACAAACAACTAAAGGTGATAACAATTTGAAAACTGTTTATTTTTACACACACACTGTCCCTTTATTTTTTAACATAATTGTCACCAACATTGATGCACTTGTCCCATCATTTTATCATCCTCCCAAACCTGCTGCATAGAACTGCAATTTCTGTTTTCTAAACCACATTTTCTTTTTTTTACATTAAACTTCTGCATCATTCAAGAAATGCCTCCCACCAAGGTGGGTTTTCAGTGGACCAGAAAAGTGGAAATCACTAGAAGCTAAGTCAAGGCTGTAAGGTGGATTTTCCAGAAGTTCCCACTCCAGATGGTTAATTTTTCCCCGAACAAACTGAGCCGTATGTGGTCTGGCATTGTCATGAAGGAGCAGTACTCCTATAGTCAGCAGGCCTGGATGTTTTCTTCAAATTGCATAATGAAACATCGATAGAATTTTGCAGTATGAATCATCATTCGCACTGTCACCTTTTTTTAAAAACTGGTTAACAGTGCTCCTTGAAAATCCCAAAACATGGTCAGCATAACCTTTCTTGCTGATGGCGTAACCTTGAATTTTTTAACACAAGACAAAGAAGGATGTTTCACTGCATTGAAGCAAGCTTTGATTCAGGCTGGTAGTGATCTACCCATGATTCATTCCCAGTAATAATCCTGTTCAGCATGTCTTCTCCTTCATCTGCATATCGACAGAAATGCTGCAAGGATAAGCCTAATTAGTTCATTTTGTGTTCCTCTGTCAGTTGTCACCTTGAGCACACTTTCTAAAATTTTGATTGATAATGCCTTATGTTTATTGCTGAACCATGTGAGCACCAAATTGCAGCTGCTACAGAGTCAACCGTTACTTGCCTGTCACCTCTAATCATATCCTCCACCCTCTGCATGGATGCGCCTTTTGCAATCTTTAGAGGACTACCAGATAGGACTTCATCAACAATTGTAGAGCGTCCTTAAGAAACATTTTTTTTACCCAGCTATGCACCACTTTATGGTATAAACATTTGTTATCTTAAAAAGGAAGCAGTTCCTTTGAATGTCTTTTGCAAGCAGGCCCCCCCCCCCCCCCCACTCCCCCACCTCAAAATGCACAACAGAAAGTTGTTCTCTGAGGGTACACTTTGTATGTACAGCCACCATTTTGTTTATGTATTGCGAATGCACATGCAACACCTAGCGCCACCTAACAAATCGAGACACAAAGTTCAATGTTGTTGTGACCTAATATACCTTTAGAAACCACCAACTTAATGCCATCATATAACCATTTGTGACTTACTTTATTGACTTCTCCTAGTATTATTTATAGCAATTTTTGAGCCATTTCAAGTGGCAGGCAGCATCTGCTTCTTTGTCTTCTTAGCATTCGCAAGCTGTAAACTCTCGTAGACAGTTCTGGTTGTTCATTCACTTCTGGACTGTTTCTTGCTTGAGAACTTCAATTTTGTGTGCACATTCATTTTATAGATCTGCCATAACTGTATGCAGACTGTTGGTTCTTTGCCCCTCAGGCAGATGTACTCCGACTTCGAAGGAAACACACCTAATTAGTCACCTTCTTTAATGTACTTAATATTTACTGTTCAGTAAGACAGAGGATATTAAAATTTTGAGAGTTCGAGTTTGCTCACCTTCTTTAATGTACTTAATATTTACTGTTCAGTAAGACAGAGGATATTAAAATTTTGAGAGTTCGAGTTTGCTGAGAAATGGAACAAAATATATGTGCATACATGCGTCTACATTACATGACAGAATAATGAATACTGATTATGGTTGGGTTAGGGAACATCATCATCATCATCAATTTTTACTTCTGCCATTAAGCATTGTTAGAAGAAACAGTTTGTGATCCATTGCTTGATGGCAGCAATGACTTTTGTCATTCTTTGTTGATGCAGAAGCTCTTTATATCACCAATCCATTTTCTCCTAGGGCGGCCTCTTTCTTTCACTTTAGATCTTGTCATGTATAGCGCCTGCACTGGTAGTTGTTCTGGTTGCATTCTTACTAGATGATCAAGACATTCTTCTGTGTCTCAATGAATTTGCTGCATCGTATGAACATCTAAGCACTAAGTAAGTGGGTTTAGAAGCAATTTTCTGAACAGGATTTAATGGCAGTGATAGAAACTTCAATGAGCTGCTCTTTGCCAATGATCAGTGCATATTCAACAGTGAAAGTAAACAGCTGCAGGACCACATTAACCAACTATATGACAGTTGCCTTAAACATCAAGTGTAGATCAATACTGAAAAAACACAAGTCATGAGAATAAGTAGAGAACAAACCATCGACATTAAGATCAAAGTCTGTAACAAGTGCAAGAGTTTAAATCTTGGGAAGCATCTTTAATACAATGATAAAATAGACAGAGAGATAGAAACAATAATCCAACAAGCCAACAATATCATGTACCAACTTGCTCCATTTTTAAAACACCCTGCTATCCCAATAGAGACAAAATGACAAATTATAAAAACAATATGGATACCAATATTTGGTTACCAGTATCAGACTTGGACATTGACAAAAGAACAAGAAAGAAAACTAACCGTCTGTGAGATGAGATGTATGAGAATGGCTGTGAATAAAACCAGAAAAGATCAAGTGAGAAACGATGTAATCACAAGAACTGTTGGAGAAAAGTTGGATTGAAAGAGTTACTAACACCTTGAGACTGCTTAACATCATGTCATATCAAGTGACTGAGTGTGCTCTGGCTTTGTTGCTGATAGTCTTATGAATGTCATGCCTAGCGGCATAAGCAGATACTGACACACAAAAAAAAGAAGATAGAAATGTCAACTCCACCATGATGGTTGGGGCTGTTAACATGGAGAGATAGATTTAGGGCCTGTCTCACAGATGTCCAAAAGATGTTTGAGAAAACACTCCATTAACTTCTTTCCAGTGTTTCCAGTGTATGTCATGTTACATCTTTTACATATAATGGCCTACATTAGACTGCAGAGTTAAAAAAAAATATATGCACAATCAGCATCTAACGTAGGAGAACTGATAGTTCAGATGAGTTAAACTGAGTTCAAATTCAACATCACAGCACTTTGATTATTCCCTTAAGTGAGTCCATCCCCATTATTAGCAGTTCCAGTTCCACAGGTAGCAGTATTAGTTTATGTGCATCTTGCTCTGATTATGTCCATCTTGCCTTGATGATATGTCCAACTTGCCTTTCCTCTAAGAGCAGATTGTCAGCCAGAGCCCCTGATTACTCTCTGCTGCACCATTCTCTCCAGACTGCAATTATTTATTTGTGCTTCTGCATACTTGGTAGCATCTACAGGAAGTGCTGTGTGTGGATATCATTTAACAATGTCCAGCTCTATACTAAGATCTGAACCCTGTAATATTTTGGCAGCTCTCACAACAAGCTTTTTCTCACTCTCACACATACACTTACCCCCACAAATTTACAAATCCACACACAAATTAAAATAATAACTTCAAAAAATGTATACACAGTCACCTGTCTAAATATTTCCTCAACTTCCCTTTGGTCCTGTTTCTCCCAAAAAACTTCAGTTTCCTGATGATGCTTAGTGACCATGTCATGGTACAAAATGTAAACTAGAATCCATGTCATGGTACTCTGGACTGCAGTCCTGCTCCATGAGTGTTGCATGTGCATCAGTTTTACAGATTGATTCGAATGATCCAGACTGCTGGTATGCACTCCGACTTCAAAGGAAGCTCCCCAATTAGTCGACTCTTACGACACAATGTAAACTATAGGGCCCTGGAACCCACACAGGGTGTCAGACATTATGATTCATTCCTATCTTCCCATAAATTAATAAAGTTAGCCCACAAATAATGCTGTCTCAAGAATATTAACAGAAACAACGATTGAAATGATAATCCCTGTGTGAGTATGGGGCCCCATTTTAAAGGGAAAAAAGAATAGCCCAGCCAACCCCTCCTCCCCTCCCCGACAATCATCAGTTCTCGTTATGCCTAGTGGCACATGAGGCTTCAGAGAGGACTTTCCATGCTTTCCTGTCCTGTGCAATCTTCAGTGGAGTTTTCCATGTCAAAGATGCCGCCTCAGGTCACTTTCCATCATTCGTCTCCATGTTGTTTTTGGGCACCCCTGTTTTCTCTTTCCCTCTGGTGTCCATGTAAGAGCTGTTTTGGCAGGTATATCAGAAGTCATTCTCATATCGTGGCCAAGCCATTTCCATCTTCTCTTGGTAATCATACCGTCTAAAATTTCTTGGTTTGTGGCTTGAAGTAGCTTAGTGTTTGAGATTGTATCTGGCCAGAAAATTTTGATAATTCTACGTAGACATGTGTGGTGGAAGCTGGGCAGCTTGTGTGCATCCTTTTTGGTCATTCTCCAGCATTCCGCTCCATAAAGAAGAACTGGCAAAATGATGCTCTTGTAGAGTCGTGGAGTTTTGTACCTCTGCAGTAATTGTTGGATTTCCAGATTTGCCTCATCCTTCCAAAAGCAGCTCTAGCTTTGTTCAGACGTGACTGTATGTCTTGCTCTGTCCCTCCCAGTAAGGACACCACACTGCCAACTGCCAAGATATGTGAAATGTTCTACATTTTCAAGTGATTGGTTACTTATGGTCACTGGTTGTTGGTTTGGACTGTTTGTCATGATCTTAGTTTTCTTTGTATTTATTCTCAGTCCCACCATTTCTGCTGTGCAGTGTAGTTTGTTACTTTTCTCTTGTATATATGTTCATGTTTATGTGATAGCAGTGCTAAATCATCTGCAAAATCAAGGTCCTCAAGCATGGTGAATGGAGTCCATCGTATGCCTCTTAATGTCCTGTCTACTGTGTTCTTTAGTATCCAATCAATCACAAGGTTGAAGAGGAGAGATGACATAACACATCCCTGTCTTACACCTCCCCGACAAGCATGTCCAAAAAAAGGGACTACTTAGCAGTGTTTCCCTTTAAGTCGGAGTGCGTTTGCCTAAGAGGCAAGGAGTCAACAGTCTGTATACAAATAAGCCACATCTGCGGAATGAACGTCACACAAAACTCAAGTTTTGGAACAAGACCAGAATCTAGAAGTGGATGAAAAAACCCCAGTAAGTTATGATGAAGTTTACAGCTGGTGAATGCTGAGAACATCAAGACTGAAATGAACAAAGATTACAATTTTTTTTAAAAACTGATTATATAAACTCTTTGAGGCTCAGGATATTTCAATGCAGATACACAAGTGGGTCTATAAAACCAGCAGCATATCCTTGACAGGACACTGCAGACTAGCCTGAGTATTTGTTGGCTGTTTGTGATTTTACTATATAATTTTTTGATTTTACATTTAGTAGTTAACCACTGTCCAACTTACAATTCCAACGTACCGTGATCGAAACCCACTGCAGGCTGCATGGATTTTTATCATGGTATGGGGCCTCACAGGTCGACCCAGCCTTAAATGGGTACCAGGATGGCTGTCCTGGGGAAGTAAAGACAGCCAGCGTAATGCTGACCACATTACCCACCTAGTACCGATTGGTCTGTAAAAATATGGCTGCTCTTCCCATTTGTCGATGCGCCTGAAGGCGTGAAAAGGGATCTTACTTTTTTTTTACTTTAATTAACCACTGATTGCTGATCAGTATGATCATCAAAATTAATGTAAAGCAGCCAGCTGGTAAATCACCCACAGTTGACTGAGCTTACATATATATCTGCTTGTAATCAGATGAAACATGAAGATAAGTTAAAATGCAGAAAAACTGATTGAGGTTCAGTGTGACAATGAGCTCATCCATGACTGGTTTCTTTAAAAAAAAATCTTTTATCCAATACGCTTCAAGTTCTGGAAGACAGAAGAAGAAGATGAAGAAGAAAAAAAAAGAACTAGAAGGAAAAGATGATAATAATGACAGAGGAGGATGGGGAGAAGAAGACTGTATTATATAAACAGGACTGTATTATATAAACAATCATAAATATTTGAAGTGAGCAAACTATAAAGGATATTTTGGCTATCCTCCATCTGCCGGAGAGGCAAGGAACCAACAGTCTGTATTCAAGAGAATGAGATCTGTAAAACTGATGTACACGCAACACTCAGGTTCTGGAGCAGGACTGCAGTTCAGTAGTGGACGAGCAACCAGAACCTTCCGCCAGAGTGTACAGCTGGTGAACGCGAAGAAGAAGAAAAAAGCCTAACAGGGTCTCAATGCTTGCGCTGTGCTGCCAGGAAACTGCACTAAATATTCAGTTAACAACGCGTGACTAGTGCCGCCGTGGTTACGTCGCGTCCGCGTAAGTCCCATCCATAACCCGTTTATCAAAAGTGTCGCGGTTCCACTGTTGTGACATATTCTGGTGGCAGTGTAGTAATTGCAACACTCCTGGCCCTAACCCTAGCCCTAGGACCCAGGGGAGAAGTTAAACCTAGGACCCAGGGGAGAAGTTAAACCTAGGACCCAGAGGAGAATTTAAACCTAGGGCCCAGGGGAGAAGTTTAACCTAGCACTCAGTGTCAGAGCTGTTGATACCCTCGATGATTTTGGACCATTATTTGGAGGAGTGTTTCCCGTGGTATGCGGTATATTCACTGGAAGGAAGTCAGCAACTTACATATGATTAAGGCCCTGTTAGGGTATTTTCTTAGCCTCGATAATTTGCGACCATTATTCAGTGGGTAGCCGATTTTTTTCTTATACATCTGAGTTGCTTGGTGGAGAAGACATTTTAGTACACACAAATATATAATACCTGAACAAAATCTGCCGCATTTTTGGCCTGCTGACTTGTTTGTAGCAATTCTGCCTTTTCTTTGTCTTGATTCTTACAAAGCTTCTCAAAACTGTGCAATCTTGATTGTTGAAGGAGATGAAGTTCTGTAAATGATTTGACAAGCAGTATGGCCAGTCATCAAAATGTATAAAATAAAAATTGCATCTAAAAATAAAAAAAAATTTTTTTAATATATATTTAATCAAGAGAAGCCATTAGTTTGTATTCAGCCATTATACTCCTAAAGTACAAAACAGCAAGCCAGATGTTACTGCTTATTTTATTATTATTATAATCTTCAGCACATACTCCAAAATTATCTCAGACTGAAAAAGTTGACAAACAACTTGCTGCATACTTATTTTTAAAAAAAAAAAGAGCTGAAGATGAGTTTAATAAACAAATGTTTAATCTATAATTTTGTTAGATTTAAAATTAACTTTCTAATGGAAACATATACATAACAAAGTGATAGCAGTTTCACCCATTTGGCTATAGGTAGACAGTCAATTACACTGTACAAGATCTTTTTTTACACTGCAAGACATACTGCCTATATTATACTAATGCATATCTTAGTTCAGTTCACACACATTTTCTGGTACTCATCTCAAGATGAAGCAAAAGAATGGGAATGCAAGTGGGGAGTTAGAAAAAGATACTGACATGACAAACTGACAGCAAACAATGAAAGGTAAAATTGCTTTAAAAAAAAAAATAAAAGCTTTTTGTTTCTCTAAGGACACAAACACTGAAAGAAACCTTTCTTTTTTCTATATTTTGGTTCTGTTTTTCACTATGTGACTTCCCTGTATTTGAGACTGAGACTAGCTTAAAATTCTTGTTTTCTTGTTTTAGCTGTTGATAAAGACTTTGGTTGAACTGTTCGGTTGTACCTATGCATGATTTTTTTCTTTAAATGTTCTTCCCCCTGTTAATCTTCCTAGTCATAGGTCTGTGTTTAGTGAACATTTAGTGCTTTTTTTTTTTAAGTTGCCAGATTTCTTTAATATCCTCTGATTAAAAGTGAGAACATATGGATAAATGTGATATGAAAAAAAAAAAAACCACTGACACATCATATGTTTTGATGGATGAAGAGTTGACTAGTTTTGCTCAGGTTAAAAAAAAAAATTACCAGTAAAAATCAACAGTGGTCATAAAAACTATTTTATAATTTACAAATGTGTCACATATAAACAATCAAAATTATAGCAACATCAACAAACCTGTTGGCTGGTATTTTATCATTCTATCAGGCTCACTGGCAAAATGGTTCATTACATCATCTGTAGGACTCTTCAGTCTGTGGTTTCCATTGATCTCTAGTGGGAGAAGATTTCTGACTATCTCCACTTGAGCATTCTTGTCTTGTTCATTTTCTACAGCTTCTATTTCCATATATTCAACCACTTGTCTTCTTCTGGCCAGTCTTATCTCAAGAGCCTATCAGTAAAAAACAAAAAACAAAAACAGCACTTGTAGCTGACAATGACTATGTTCAGGAACAAAAGTATGTACAAAACTGTTCAGCAATGAGCCTTGTCATTTCCTGGGGACAGTAGCGCCAACTGTGGGTAACGCTGATTTAAACCATTATGAATTAATTATGGATAATTATATTAAGCTAATTATAATTCAGAGGCTAGGAGTAGATAATATGTCAAATAATAACAAAATAAATAACTTTAATGTGTAGAGTAACACACAAAAAAAACTAACAACAATAAAAGAAAAAAGAGAAAATTGACCCTGTCATGGTTTGAGTGGCAATGTGTGTCTGCCTGTATCTGATGATAGTGGCCAGCTGAAAAACGCTAGTTCGCTTGAGTTTTTATGCACAGATGGATGGGGGACAGAAAGATGAGACAGGCATACTTGCCGTAAGGTTTGCATAGTTTTTTTTTTTTTTTAAAGAATGACCACTGACGCAGAAAAACCTGACTCAGTGACCAGGATGGAGATCAGTTGTTAGACAAAGGAAACAGAAAGACAGTTGTATTGTGTTTGACATGACATTTGTTTTTGTCTTACTACATTTAAATGTTTAATGTTAGTGACCTAGATTATTAGTTTCATTGACAGATTCGTATAATGTTATAGCAGCTTAGTTTGTAGCTCTGTGATTTTTTTCTTTGCATTAATAGAAAATATAACTGTGTATCAGATGGCCAGGGAATATATTATCTAGAGCTGTAACACTACAAGTTTTTGACATTTGCTAATTAGATATTCTATTAAGTACTTGTGTTATTATTGTACAGCATATTTATAATGCTGTCGTTATCTTTGGAGAATTGGTGTGTATAATAAAGGAGCAATGTCATGGGCTTTATACCTTCACGTGTGAACTCAGCGACACAGTCCACCCAAGCGTGCCCAGACTGCCCTGAAGAAGACTCTACACAGATTGCGGCACTGAGTGGGCTTATTTCGAGGGTGTTTATTTGAACCGGGTATTGCTGGAAGCAGCCAGGATAATTAGATATACAGGCTGAATCTATTAAACTCATGTGCATGCACAGCTCAAAGTTCTGGAACAAGACTAAAGTCCAGAAATGGAGGAACAACCAGAAATTTCCACCATAATTTAGAGCTAGTGAATGGGAAGAAGTAGATAACCCTGGAGGTTGAATTGTGCATCCATCATCATCATCATCGTGCTTTGCTGACTGACATAGGTCCCAAACTGTGACCTTCAACAGCATATATCAGTTCATGTGCTAAAACCCCCCTTCATGCCATTCTTCTTCTTCTTCTTCTGCGTTCGACATCAGTCATGCTAAACATTGAGTCCCGTCTGGATCACAAATAGGATTGTGCATTTAAGGTAGCCACTGGTCCCCCATAGCTTCTCTTGCAATGTGGCTCCCTTGGGCCAGATCTACAGTCTTTGCTGGGAGAGGTAAGGGCAGTACTGTAGTATGTGCCCAGGGGTCTGTCTTTCTGCTCCACAATCACAAGCAACAGATTCTTTTATGCCTACCCTGTACAGGTGTGTTGATGAAGGCTGCTTTTGCTCTGTTATGAAGTATTACATTTTTATCTGTCGGATCCTTCTCCATATTTTCCCTCCTGGTTCTAAGTTTGGAATGCAGAGTGTCCAGTTCAGGCGCCCAGTAAGGTTTAAAGTTTTTCCTGCTGCCTCGTGGTATTTTACCCTTGGCTGCATTTAGAATAGTTGTGTTGAGGATCTTCAGTTTGGCATTTATTTCCAGTCTTCTGAAGAAGACTTTCTCTTCAACATGTCGTCCAACTGGGAAGTGAAAAGGCTCCAGTTAGCCTTCTTGTAGTTCCATCTGGGAGGGTTCTTTTCCTTAGTAACTTCTCTACTTTTGTTAATAGACAGGATTACGGGCCTGTGATCACTGCCTCCCAGCTGTTGACATACATCCCGGCTGGTAACTTTGTCCACATCTTCAGTTGCTATAGCCAAGTCTGGGGTGCTGGTTTTCCTCCAAGCTCGAGAGTAGAATGTGTCTGGGTCCTCACAATGATTTATCAGAACTAGAATGTTGCTGATTATCCAGTTTTCTACCTCTTCTCCTTTGGCATTGAGGTCTGTGTAGCCCCAGCTAGGTGAGTGGCTATTCAGATCTCCGACAGCAATCCAGTTTTCTGTGTTTAGTTGGATGGGTCCCAGATTGATATCTCTGTTTGGTGGTGAGTAGATGTTGCATACTGTCACGTCTCCCCTTGCACCCTTGATAGTGACTGTAATAAACTCTCCCCACACTGAGATCTCTGGGTTTCCCAAGCTGTGATCATGTTCTTGACAGCAGTTAAGACTCCTCCTTTTGGACGATTTAACATGTCGTGTCAGAAGATTTGGTATCCCCTGATAGAGAATCTATGTGCACTTGCATATGTCAATATCGTGCTGCTTCAAACAATTTTGTAGTTCAGTTTCTTCAGCCTCACTCCCTCAGCATTCCAGTGCATAATTGTCAGTTTGTGTCCAGTTGCATTACTCTGTTCTTCCCTAGTCACTCCAGTAGATTCAGAAGTTGTGGCTCTAGTAGCTTGGGGTGGGCCCCTTCGAGGCAGGGGGCCCGGCGCCATCCCCACCCGCCCACGTTCCATAGGAATGACATCATAACGTAATAATGTTGTTTGTATGACCATATCGCTAGTGCATAGATATCCAATTTTTAGTCCCATGCCAAGTAGGCTGACATCTTCCGACTTCAACTATTGAGGTTTATTTTCAGGATTCCCCCTCCCATAAGCTGATTACCTTCCAGGGCTTATGAGCTCTTCCTACCATCATTTTCTGTCGGGTTTTGTTGCCCTAGCTTTTATTCTTACAGGAACGTCCCACAAGGCAGTGGTGGTTTGGCATTCGGTGTGTCCTTCACGTAGATGAAATGCCTTTCAGGTCTTTTGAGCTTCATCTGCCCAGGCCTTCATGCCATGATAAAGTTGTCAAGAATCTTCTTGCTATGTCTATTTGCTCAAATCTTTCCAGTATTCAAATGTTCCATTTTCCATTTCCACAGTATATGAACAACAAAATAATGCATTTTCCTTCTGATGTTTGTAATAAACTATCTTTGGGCACTTCCTCTTTCAAATCATCCGAGTGACCCATTCTGGCTGTCAAAAGAACTGCAAGCACTTTTCAGTAAATCTACTACTACTACAAGAATTTACAATACCATAAATATATAATATTAATTACCCTTCTCTGTCGCTCTTGCTCCAGACCAATTTTGTCTTGGACTATAGCCATGCTGCTAGTAAGTTCAGCAATTAAATCATTAATTTCATTGTCTTTCAACCCTGATGACCTCATCAGATCTTGTCGGATTTTATTTCTCAAGTCCATCTGTAGTTTGTTCTGAAAAAAGTAATATGACATAAATAATATCAACCCAAAACTTAACCAATCTATCACTTCCAAGGCAGCATTATTGTTTTTTTTTTTTCTAATCGCCAATAATTATATATACATAAATAAAATGGAATTTGTGTATTGTTTACAATTAGTAGGATGCAAAAGTAACAGAGAAAGTCAATTTTCCCCAGTGCTACGGAATTTTGTGCATCTGAGCTGAAACCATTTTGGAAATATGTTCAACAGTATGCAGCAGATTTGACGTATTTGCTATCAGTCGCCATATGCTGGTGGAAATACTGAAGCTGGGATCAGAGCGCTTATGGGCTTGTCTGATGTGCAATGAGAATAATAACCTATCTTACAATTCTGAGTTGTAGGATTTAGGATGTTGACCACTCATGGTAGTTACAAAATTGCATACAAAGGATTTTTTTTTTTAAAGTGTAATTAAATATACTCTTTAATTAATTTGGGGAGCTGCTGTGGCATAGCAGCTAGAGGCTTGCCTGCAGATCTGAAAGTCGTGGGTTCCAATCTACATGGGGCTGGATATTTCTGATATTTTTCATTGAAGACCTTGGCTCCCAGTTCAACCTGCCTTAAATGGGTACCAGGTAAGTCCTGGGAAGTAAAAGCGACCAGCTTGATGTTGACCACATTATTCACTGAGGGCTGATCGATCTATATAAATATGAGTCTAGCCTCATATGCCCGATGTGCCACTGCCATGTAAAGTGATGTTTCCTTTTTTGACAAACGATGATTTTTCTGCAAAAACAGATTAAAAGAGCACAGAATTCCAAATGCTCGATTACAAACATTAAAGAATGGCATCGCTGCACTTCAGGAATTCCAACACATGCTCTGGCCTCTTCCACAAAAGCCAGTGAAGAGTTCCCATATTGATGGCTCCAGCTGCAACCTGACTGATTGACTGTTAGTGTCCACCAGCTGTGAGCTCTAGGGGAAGTCCTGATTGTTCATTCACTAAGACTTTGGCTTTGTGTCAGGACTTGAGTTTGTGTGTTCATTCATTTTGCTGGCTTATTCATGTGCAGTATGTTGTTCCTCGCTTCTCTAACAGATGTACTCTGTCTTTGAAGGAAATAACCTAATTAAAAGTCAACCTTTTATATTTTACAGAACTACCCAGTCTTTGGCAGTCATATTGGGATAGATGTATAGCAAATGACTGCTGACAAAGAAGAAGCAGAGCTGAAATGATTTACTGAAAAAAAGGGACAGTGGAGTGATATATGCAAGTATCTTCAACACCAATCCTAAGAATGACTAGCCTGATCATAATCCCACCTCTCCTCCTCCGTTTGTATCCCCCTAATAGAGCATGGGTTCTATTTAATTGGTTGATTCAAAAACCTGCCAGCCAATCTCAAGGCTTGTATTACACAGTGCCGACCGATCGGACCAGTCCTTTTGGCAACTTTGTGTTGGGCCAATATTTTGGCACGTCGTCTCCATAGGGTTAAATACATTAATAAAATCATTCTCATGTAAAATAGAAAACTAACTAATATTACACTCTTTCCTATGTAAATAGCTAAATGCCTAAGAATTTAATAATATAAATGTTCTCATGTAAACAGTTAGTTGATAATAAGTGTTTACACATTTATTCTTACATAAATAGATAGTGAAATAAATAGCAGCATTTACACTCTCACGTAAATAGATAACTGAATAAGACTCTACTAATACAACTTTTAAAAATGTAAACAGGGAGCTAGATTTCAAAACAAACAAAAATAAGCACCAATGCAACTATTCGTATGTAGTTAACTAGCTAATTAGGAACTATATTAAAAATGAGTTGCGTATCCTTTACAGGACATTTCAGAACCAACCACAGCATTTTTTGGCTGTTGTGGTTTTTAAGGCAACTTTACATCCAATAGTTTGCCACTGCTTTCTGGATGGTCGACTTCTCGATACCACTGTCGAAACGCAGCACATCCAAATTATAAAGCGCATTCACAATCACACACACATCACAGTTCACAAATCTACATGATCATGATGGTGATCAAGGATCACTATGTTCCTACTAAGCACCACATATGTGGCCAAGCCATTCATATACGTATCTCCTTGTCTTTTCCTTGCCAGTAATCACCATATTTTCAGATGTATTCATTCTCATATGTCAAAATAAACTGATTTTGTACATACAAATTTACATCACATTAAATTTTGTCAGTCAGTTAATGCATTTTAAGCAAAATAGTGAGATAATTGCAAAATATGATTTTTTTTTTTTTTTGGTTACTTTCTGAAACTATTTGATTGCTGCCAGATTACAAATTATAAAATTTAAAAAAAATAGAAAGATTTGGCTGACCTGTTTTGCTTCTTCTCTTTCTATGTCATTTATTTTATTCATATTTTTAATGTCTTCTTCAACCTTCCTTATGAAGTTGTTGAAGAAATTCTTTGTTATAGCTCTTTCTTTCATTTGCTTTCTTAAAAGTATTGTCAGGATATGCTGCATCAGCTGAAAAATGGATAAAGCAAAGCATATTATTTTTGTGTACACAATTTTTAAAGTAACAAATAGGTCACTAGATCAGATATAAATTGCACAAGCATTATTGCCAGGTTAAAATGACATCCCACTTGTACCAACAGCTTTAGGCAAAGGAGCGCACTGAGCAGCATTTTAGTCTTATTCTCAATAGAGAAAATGCAACCTGAAAAATGCTATGACTATGGTTGTCAGCTGGTCTAGGAGGGTAGCTCTGACAGGTTGAAAAAGCACTAGTGAGTTGAGCTGAGTCAAGAATTGACCTTACAGCACTCAGGGCATTGTCATGTGCACTTTATCCTCACTTTCAACAGCCAGCATAGAGTTTGAATACTAACGGTACCGGTTGTAATCTGGTTACATGTCGGGCTTGCCTTTCCCCTGTGTGTGAATTGAAACAAGACAAGGCAGATGTGGTCAAGGTCCTTAGGGAACATGTAAGGAAGTCAGAAGAGAAACATGATTATTATGGCATGGAGATAATGATGCACCTGGGTTAGAGTTAGGGCCTTCAGGAGACCTACCTCAAACAAGACATAGCCTTTAAGATGACAGAAGGAATAGTGGAATACTAACCCTTGTCAAAGATAACATATTTGCATGCCAGACCTAAACATACATGGAAGTGGCGGAGTACCCGATTTTTAAGCTAAAGACAGAAAACAGATTTCCAACTAATCAGCTTTTACTGTCCGAACGACCGCTCTCAGGCACTGGATACAATAATAATAAATAAAAGAATTATCATGTGTGGAGATTTCAACAGTCACTCAGAAAGCTGGGGTTACGATCACATGGATCAGAGGTGAGAGAAACTGGAGGACTGGCAGGATGAAAACAGATTCATCCTCATAAATAAGCCAACCAACCCACCAACCTTCTACTCAAGAGCACAGTATACCACTTCTACGCCAGACCTAGCCTTTCATTCACCAGAAATGGAATGGGATTTTACTAGAACCGTTGGGAAACAACTAGGAGGCAGTGATCACCGCCCAGTCGTTCTAATGATAGAAAACCAGTCTGTAAGAAAGAACAGCACTCTACCAAGATGGAATTACAAGAAGGCAGACTGGAAATTGTATCAGCACCTTACAAAAAGTTTTTTTAAACTATATAAAAACAGATAATGCAGACAAAGGAGTAGAAGAATTCAGCAAATGTATATTGCAGCCAAGCTGCAGGCTTGTTGGCAAGAAAAAAATAAAGTCTCTAAACTTTGAAAGAGACACAAGGAGGATGTGGAGGCTGTTAAAACAAATTAATGACGAGAGTACAGGGAGAAAGACAAATACTACAATATATTCCGAAGGAGCCATCCTAACAAAAAAAATACGTGGCTGATCACTTTGCAGATTTATTTGCTGATGACACCAACATCGATGTCAGTCCACAGAAACAATGAGAGGTTAGAGAGAAACGACAACACTCAAGAGCGATATAATTCCCATGGTAATGGAAGTACCACTTACGTTTAGCGAATTAAGAGTTAGTAATATCGAAGCTGAAAATGGGAAAGTCACCTGGAATTAATGGAATAACCAACAAAATGATCAAGAACATAGGGACAACTGCCAAAACAAAACTGCCACAGATTTTTTTTTATAATTGTTTGGCCAGTGGCAAAGTTCCACAGATATGGAGAGAAGCAATCATGATACCTCTCCTAAAACCAGGAAAAGACAGCACCAATGCCTCCAGTTATAGACCAGTCTTGCCATATATACAAGGGTGGCAGCACCTGAAAAAAAAAGCCTGAAAACCATTAGTCTAGAGCAGGGTTATTATGTTTCAGTTGCTAGAGGCGCTAAAGCGAACAATCGCCACCAGAAATGCAGTTTGTCATTGAATGAAGTAGTCCGGCACAATAAGTTGGTTACTATACACACATAGAATTATTACATTAGGTATTTCACAAGCTCACATATAAACTGGTTACCAACCATGAATACCACAACACAACCGCTGCACTAATGAAAGGCATTCCACAGAAAAAAGACAGCCCACAGGGCTGCAACCAAGCACTAAACTCAGTAGCTCAGGTAGTGAAACCAAAGACTACCGTCCCTATGTAGAAACTGCATTAGCAAAGTGCTGTCGGAAGGAAAAAAAACTTTGAAGCTAAACATTCTGCCAAGCCTTTCCTCCATTTTGGCTGAAAGTCAGGAAGTATTGTTCCGGGACTGGTCGTTTGTTCACTAGTTTTTCATTTGCAACAATGGGAGACATGTCATTTGATTTTCAATGGCACAGGAACAGGAGCAAGTATTGGGAAAACCCAATTGCATTGATGTTCAAACCTCAACTAACACTAAGACTAGGGGTTATTCAACTGGCGGCCTGTGGGCAAATTTGGCCCGCTAAGGCATATCATGTGGCCTGCGGATCATTGCCAGTTGTATTGTATTAATGATCTTTTTTTGCAGGAACTGGGGCATCTGGCACTGTTTCATCTCCATTTGCAAAATCTTGGCCCCTGAGTATTTGCAGTTGAATAGCCATGGTCTAGAGGAAGTAAACCTTACACATACAACCAACCCAAATTTTGTGTGAGTGTTAAATAGAAAGCAATATATCTTGGAAAACCTACTGTTGACACTTCTTCATTTTTTGATCGTTCCATAGACAAAATTGAAACCATGTCTTGCTCAGCCATCTCCACCTCTGACATACATCTGGAAATAATTATTTGCAGGAATGTTAGAGCTTTTTGCTAGAACAAGTCTAAACAAAAACAGAACAGGAAAAGATCCAGTGCGTGCACACTTGCGCACATACATGTGCACTTGCGCACACGCGCGCACACCACACCCCTAGCCCACAAGCATGCATGCACACACACACATAACACACCACACACACAGACACCCACCCACCCACCCCCACACACACACACACACACCCACACATACACACACCATACAGCACACACCACACACACATAAACCCCCCAAAAAAACTATTTTTGAACGATTCCCCTTCTTAATGTTGACAAAATATACCAATTACATTTCCTGTCCTAGGTTTTTAATTTTCATAACTTGAAATTGTCCTTGTCAACATTCTTTCAAAAAAAGTCTCATTTTTTTAAAGAAAAAATAAAAAAGTACACTGAGCGCCCTAATTATAACACAATTGTAGGATGAGAATGGTATCTGGCAGTTGTCCTGTTGGACTGCTATCCAGGAGGTGCATTTGTTTTTTCTTTTTTTTTAGTTGTATGGATGGCCAAACTTTAAGCAGTGGCCCAAAGAGAAAAACGATCAGTTATCAAAGCAACTGTAAACTTCTAAAGGTAAGTTTGCTGCATTCAGTAATTAGACTATATCTGCTCTGCGTCTGCACAGACTGGTTGACTCTTGCAGAATTGTGTAAATCTGAATCCTCTTATTAACTCTGTTACATTAACAATGCTCACTGTGTGATCAACTATTGTCAGATTTTACAGTGTAATATGAGGTGCATTACAACTATTACATTCAGTATGTGCATACTTAATAAATATGTTTGGTTACTTCAACATAGAGCAGTAAAGCCCATGTTGCATCTTTGGAGATTATACATTCATTACCCCCCCCCCCTTTTAAATTTGTTGTGTATCCTTTACAGGACATTGCAGAACCAACCCCAGCACATTCTGGCTGTTGTGGTTTTTCTAGGCAAATTTACGTCCAGTAGTTCTGTGATGATTATGGTGGAGCAGCTCCTAAATGGTTAAAAACACAGAGCTCTCATGCGAGAGACCCCAGTTTAAATTCTCAGAGGCAAAAAATAAAATACAAACCTGCGTAGTCTGTGGCAACAGCGCTAGCCAGGTGGCCTTAAATCTTCAGGCTAAAAAACACCCCCCTCCCCCACCCCTCTTTTACCCCGCCCACACTGCAAAATTTGTAAATACAAGCTATAATGGCAGGCTGATTAGGTATTCTGAGCCCTTGAGGTTCATTGCTGCAGATATCACCTGCCTCTATTCAACTCTCTGATTGGCCTTCTCTTTCCCAAGTGTTTTAAGTTCTGCTTGATTATCTTCCCACCATTTGCTTGACCTATCTCTTTGTCATTTACCATTCAGCTCCTGTACACATAAAAAAAACATTTCTGCCATCCATCATTTTCTCTATATTTTATAGGCAGGCACATCATTGGACAATGATATAAGAGACATACTGTAACAACTTTTTTTTTAGAAAAAAACATAAAAATTGTTGAAAACAGAAAGAGAAAATTCATGGGAAAACTTTCATGATTGTATGGAAAAATGTGAGTGCAAAAACTTTTACATTCAACTGAAAAATTCTCTGTGTGGGTTCCAGTGTCCTATTGTGGGAGAAAACAAGAATAGATCCACTGCCCTCCTAACAAGCATGTCGTAAGAGTCTACTAATTGGGGGCTTCCTTTAAAGTCAAAGTGCATCTGCCTTAGAGGCAAGAAACTAACTGTCTGCATACAGATAAGCCAGATCTGTAAAATGGATACACACACAAAACTCAGGTCCTGGAACACAGCCAATCTCTAGAAATGGACAAACAACCAGTGTTTACAGCCAGTGAACGCAAAAAAAAAAATTACAAATCTTCATGTGTGGAGAAGCCTGATTGAATACACAAACTAACAAAACTCTGGTGATAATACTGAGAGAGAAAAAAAAAAAGCCTCACTTTTTGGGGGGAACCAGGTTCTGGATAATAGCTTCTGGAATAGGAAACTGTCACAAGATCAATACCTGAATAACAAAACATGCTGACTGGTGTCCCTGATCTCATATTGATTTTCTAGCAATCAAAGAGGAATACGAGGAAGTGAATAAAAAGGCTATTAATGCAGTCGTTTACTTCTGACACTAAATTGATGTGTCCTGCAATTAATGTTTATTTCAGAGGTTCCTTTTGCAATATTTCCCTGCATTTTATAAATCAACCTATTTCACCTCACTCCCCCCCCCCCCTATAACACAATTGTAGGATGAGAATAGTATCTGGCAGTTGTCCTGTTGGACTGCTATCCAGGAGGTGCATTTGTTTTTTCTTTTTTTTTAGTTGTATGGATGGCCAAACTTTAAGCAGTGGCCCAAAGAGAAAAACGATCAGTTATCAAAGCAACTGTCAACTTCTAAAGGTAAGTTTGCTGCATTCAGTAATTAGACTATATCTGCTCTGCGTCTGCACAAACTGGTTGACTCTTGCAGAATTGTGTAAATTCAACCCTGTTACAATTTTCTTTTTTATTGCCAAGCCTTTTTGAAGCCTATAAATTGTGTAATAATTAACAGTCAAAAAAAAAAAATTACACAGCTTGATGAATTCATAATGAATGATTGATTCTATGACTGTTTCATTATAAGTGCAAAGGAGAAATATAGCGAATGAGGTCAAAACGAAATAATCTCATGATCAATTCCATTTTTGTGTTCATGGTCAACTGAATGCAGTCTCTGTTCTGTGTCTACATAGTGCATTCTTATTAAAAAAAAAGCATCTTCATATCTATATCTTGGTTTTTGCATCCACATGTAGTGCTGTCTTTTTCCGACTGAGCTGAATGCATGGTACAATACTGTGAGCAGCAGATTTTAATTTAGAATGCTTTTGGCTATGCCCAGCATGGTTTATGTCATGAAGTGCAGATTCCGAAAATGATGGGTGGCCTGTTGCCCAAGAACTAGAGGTGCCTTATGGGATAAATTGCGTGTGCAACTACCGATACCTGTGTAACTGTTGCTTCCATCACCACATTCCCAGCATCAAACTGTTTGTGCTGGTACTTCTCATGGCTGCTTTATACATTCAGTGTGTGTGTATGTTATTGGCTTTGCAGAGATTGCAGTGTGTGTCAATTATTCAACAGTGCCAGACATTCTGCATGGTTTTCCCTGGCACATGAATGGTGCAACTATGGGGAGGACCTGCTTGCTATTAAGTTGGAACTGTGATTACCTGGTTGCCATCCTAAACAATACCTCTACAAGTGTTGAGTTGAGTTGAGTCAAGAATTGACATCACAGCACTCGGGGAATTCCCATGCATGCTCGGTCCTCATCTTCAGCAGCCAGCGTAGAGTTTCAATATTATTGCTACCAGTCACAATCTGGTTATATGTCCATCTTGCATCTACAAGTGATTATAATATTTATTTACAATAATTTATAATCACTTGTAGACTGGAAATTTATAATCTAGTCACTGTGACTACTTTCAATGTTGAGTCAAACCAAAGAAATATGAGACTGTATGTTGAAGGTGTTAACTCCTTTAATCCCAGGTAGAGAACAAAGTTTAAAAAGATTCTTACCATGACTCCCATCCCACTGAGTCTTGATGGCTAAATCGCCACATCCTCTGCTTTCCACTTTGAGGGTCACATGTTTGTTTCACTGGCTATGTCATTTAATTCATGAGTGCAGTTATTCACGTAAATCCCAGGAGATTCTGACTGGAGCTAAATAGAGTCTGTGCTTTGTGCAAAGATTGCAACTAGCCTTTCAGAAGAGAGACTAAATCCTGGTAAGTAAAAAAGTAAAGATCCCTTTTCACGCCTTTAGGCGCATAGGGCATATGGGAAGAGCACCCATATTTGGCTGGCATAATGCTGACCACATTACCCACCTAGTGCCGATTGGTCTGTAAAAATATGGGACCAAATCCTGGTGCAGTGAAGTAAATCCTCTCAGTCTGAAATCTTGAGCCTTTGGGTTTATCCAAAGCACTGACACTAATTGGCAAGATAAGAAACAAAGAAGATACATACTTTTCTTTCCTAAAATCTTGCTGAATGCATGGCATTCTAGAGCCTTTGAAATGAAGGAGTAAGAGACAATGAACCACCTGCTGAAAATGGGAATCAAATGAGGACAAGCATGCAGAAACATGCAAGCAAAAAAAGAAGATATGCTAATCAACTCCTACTGCGTAGGTTGCATACGGAGACACTGGGATGGTTGCTGCAGTGCAGGACAGAGAAGGAATGGGTTGGACCAATGTGCAATGATGTAGATATGGGCAACAACTAACAATTCACAAAATCTTACTTGCTTGGTTGAAGTATAATATCAGCCATGCCATGAATTACAGCTGTGTCTTCTTTATACTGCATTACATTGTCTTCACTTGTCTGCAAAACTGGCTTCTTTCTTCTCCAAAACTGCAGCTGGGAAATGGCCCCCTTCTTATTTGTAGTGACAATTTCTCTCTCACCAGCACTGACCTGTAAACAATTCAGAAAAATACAAGTGGTGCTTTATTAATATCTTACCACAAACAGAGGAAATTCACAGGTCACGGGGCAGTCTAATATTTCAAGGGGGTGGTAGATAGGCTGCATGCAGTCGTGGGACCTAGGCTGCATGCAGTTGTAGGACCTAGACTGCACTATCTCATGGGACATAGGTGGGTTGGTTAACCATAACTGGTTAGGGCCCGTTCAGATGTTTTTTGGGTCGTTAAAAGCATCAGAAAGCCGGGAAACCCACTTACTACCCTCTAAAATGTTGGACTGTTCTGCGACGTCATCTGGTGTAGGATATCAAGAAAGAACCCAACAACTCTAGAACAGTGTTCTTCAACAGGTGGGCCATGTCCTACTAACGAGCCATGGACAAGTCCAGGTGGGCCATCAAATATTTTGGCCTTATCATGTAATAGGGTCATTTGGTCTATTAAATATAGGTCTAGCTCTATGAACCCAATACATCTGAAAGGTGCGGAAAAGGGTCCTTGATGTAATGGGGTAGGGTAGTTAGTTTTTCTCTTCAGTACTAGAGTCTGCAGAATTCACACATTAAGGATGAAAATAAAACAGATACAAATCCATGAAATCCTACTCAATCACATAGACATTCTAACCTCTGAGCTGCAGTAGATACCACATAAGTTGAACAGTGTAATTTTGTTACATTGAATTTAACCAAATTATTGCTCTCCACATTAGTTTTTTATTCTCTGTTAGTCAGCTGTCACATAACAAGTTGCTCTGTTTTGGTGAGCCATGGGTGTAAAAAGGTGGAGAAACACTGCTCTATAACATATCCACAATTAATGTATTACAGATGTAACAAATACAACAGAGACACAAAAGTCAGTATAGGTGCAAGTATCATTGAAGTACAGGTGCAAGTATCATTAAAGTACAAGTGCAAGTATCACAAAGTACAGGTGCAAGTATCATAAAGTACAGGCACAAGTATCATAAAGTACAGGGGCAAGTATCATTAAAGTACAGGTGCAAGTATCATTGAAGTACAGGTGCAAGTATCATTAAGGTACAGGTGCAAGTATCATAAAGTACGGGTGCAAGTATCATAAAGTACAGGTGCAAGCATCATAAAGTACAGGTGCAAGTATCATAAAGTACAGGTGCAAGTATCATAAAGTACAGGCACAAGTATCATAAAGTACAGGGGCAAGTATCATTAAAGTACAGGTGCAAGTATCATTGAAGTACAGGTGCAAGTATCATTAAGGTACAGGTGCAAGTATCATAAAGTACGGGTGCAAGTATCATAAAGTACAGGTGCAAGTATCATAAAGTACAGGTGCAAGCATCATAAAGGACAGGTGCAAGTATCATAAAGGACAGGTGCAAGCATCATAAAGTACAGGTGTAAGCATCATAAAGTACAGGTGCAAGTATCATAAAGTACAGGTGTAAGCATCATAAAGGACAGGTGCAAGTATCATTACTTTATTACAATCCTGATAATAATAAGCATTAACTCAATATTACATGCAAGTTTCTTAGTGGGTTTTTTCCAGTAATGTGTTTACCTGTCATCACAGAGCCATTTCTTCATGTATAATAATAACTATGTTTTATGTTGGGGGAAAAAAGAACAGACCCATTGTCCTCAAACAAGCATGTCGTAAAAAGTTACAGACTAGGGTTATTTCCTTTAATATTGGAGTGCCTGAAAGGTGAGGAACCAACATTCTGCATATAAATATGCCAGATTTGGAAAACAGATGTGCACACAAAACTCAAGATCTGGAACAAGACCAAAGTCCATAAGTGGATGAATAGCCAGAACTTTCTACCAGAGTTTACAGACGGTGAATGTGAAGAAGAAGAAGAAGAGCTGGGTATTGTCCTTGATAAGCTGTTGCTCCTTTGCCTCTGTATCACCGGCTATTCATGTAGAACACTTTCAATCCCAAGTAACTATAACTCTGTGCAAGGCTGTATAGTTTGGAGACACTTCGGCTCATTTCTCATGTCAGACAGTATCTTCTGTCTGTATCTTTCTTCAGTCTGTGTTCCTGGGTTTTATCCAAAGTCTCACATGAAGGATGCTTCTTGTCGGTTACAACTTCTGTAACACTCTGTACCTTTCATATCTGGATGGTAAGGTAAGTATATGCCATGTGCACAAGATGCAATATTCCATGCAGAGTCCAAAATGACTTGGTCTATTCTGCCATGCTTTCCAACTTCTCCAGCTGGTAATGTGATATCGTGTAAGTCTCCTACTATGCTCAAACACCAAAATAACAGTTAGTTAGTTAGTTAATCGAAATATCATCCTCACTGCACATTGAACAAGTCCATTAGCGCTTGGATCCCATATTCAGTATATCCTCAGCATGTGGCTACTGATAACACCAGTTCTGAGTTTATTTACTATTCTTGTTTGGCTACATGTATTGTGTTTATGTTTGGTGACTCCTTTTTTTTTACCTGAAGTTCTTGTAGTCTTTTGAGTGTCGCCAATGTAACAGTCTCCTGAATCATCTTCTCGTTCTGCCTCCTTGAAAGCACTTAGAATGTCGGCCCGGTCCATGGCTTTTCCTGTACCTACCGTGACCCTGCCAGCAAGTCAGTCTGATCCTTCATTCTTTCTTACCCCAAAGTGTTCTGGCACAAAAATGAAGCTAATTTCTTTCAGATGAGATTTCCTCAGAGACTCCAACCATTTTCTTCAGATAAATCCTGTCCACACCACAATACTGGGTTGATATTCGAAACCAATAAACAATCTCAGAACAAACCCCCAAGTCCATAAATGTAAAGATCAAAGCATTATAGCTCAACCTATCATATGCATTCTTTAGATTCTTTTTCTTTTTCACCTTCACCAGCTGTAAACTCTGGCGGAAAGTTCTGGTTGTTCGTCCACTTCTGGACTGCAGCCCTGTTTTCCAGAACTTGAGTTTTGATTGTGCATCCATTTGACAGACCTGACTAATTTGTATGCAGACTGTTGGTTCCTTGCCTCTCAGGCAAATGCACTCCGACTTTAAAGGAAGCTCCAAATTAGTCGACTCTTAGGACATGCTTCTGGGTAGGCAGTGGGTCTATTCTTGTCTTTCCTATAACAGGGCCCCGGAACCCATATGGTGTCTTTAGATTCAATGTCACCATCAAAGTGTCATGCTTGCTCTGAAATCTGTCACAAACATCACAAGCCAGAGCTGAGGCATTTGCCTATGTGTCTTTTGACCGACATTAACTCACTAATCCTCTTGGTATTTTTAGACAATATATAATTTCTAAGCAGTCTTGTAGCTAGTTTGGGAGTCACTGTGGCGTAGTGGCTAGACGTCCGCATGCGGATTGGAAGATTGTTGGTTCGCTCCCTGGCAGAGCCTGACTTTTAAAAAAAAAATGACCTTGACTCCCAGGTCAACCCAGTCTTGAATGGGTACCGTGTGCAGTCTCGGGAAGTAAAGGTTGCCGGCGTGATGCTGACCACATCACCAATCTTGTGCCTATTGGTCTATAAAAAAATAGGTTTAGCCCTATACGCCTAAAGGCATGGAAAAGCGACCTTTACTTTTACTTGTAGTTAGTTAAGCCATGACCAGTGTTTTCCCCAGACTATGTCCAGCATACCAAACGACATACAAAGAAAGAACCGCACAGACACACACACCAAAGGCACTAGACTTACATCAACAAACAATTCAGACAAATTCAGATGCTAATTTGTCCCAATAAAATGACAAGGTAGCCAACATATTAAATATAAAAGATTGCATATAACTTCAAAGTGACACTGCATGGAATGAGAAACAGGTTAACAACATACCAAGCCATCAACTGAAGGAGTCTCATTAATTTTCACTTGTGTGGTCTGTGGTACATTCAACTGTTCCTGTGAATATACACAACACTAAATTATTGTTTTTTACAAAGGGTGTATTCAGTATTGAGAGTGTAGATAGAGATTCATTTTTTTGAGAAATAATATAACTCTTTAAGGAAATCGAGTTTCTTATATGAGATGATCTCTCTCTCTCTCTCTCTTCCCACCCCCTTTTCCGAGCTTTTCACATATTTGCAAATTAAAAATTAATTCATAAACCATGAAAAAATGGAATAAAAAAAAAAAATAGTCAACAAATAAAAATGACTGCAAAATGGATCCTAAAGGTATCTGCATCTTATGTTTTTTATGCTGTGGTTCTTTTTCTTCTTCTTCTTTTTCTTCTTCTTCTTCACGTTCACCAACTTTACCTCTAGCAGAAAGTTATGGTTGTTCATCCACTTCTGGACTGCAGTCCTGTTCCAGAACCTGAGTGTTCAGTGTGCATCCGTTTTACAGATCTGACTTATTTTATGCACACTGCTGGTTCCTTGCCTCTCAGGCAGATGCACTCCCACGTTAAAGGAAGCTCCCAATTAGTCGACTCTTACGACATGCTTTTTGGGTAGGGAGTGGGTCTATTCTTGTTTTCCCTGTAGTAGGGCCCTGGAACTCTTATCCAATGACATAGCAACATCAGGTGCTGTCCGGTGCAGAAAACTCCACCCTCCCCTCTTTTTTTTTTTTTTTTACTTTTTTACTCCAAATATCTCGATGAATTAACTGATAGAAGAGAGAAAGAAGATATGACAAGAGAAAAGAACTGAAGACATAATTAAAATGTTACTGCTGCCCGTACAATCAGAACTGGCTGCTGAAGATAAAGACTGATCACTTATGGGGCTGTCCCGAGTGCTGTACTATCGGTTCTTAAGCCAACTAGAAAATAAGAATAAACTAATAATAATTATTAACCAAACCTGTTTGCGTTTCCTGACGTAAAGACAATATTTGGCCAGAAGCAAAACGATGACAACTCCCAGAACAAGTCCAAGAAAAAATGCTCCTGCGATCCAAGCGGCATCGTAAGTAAATTCCTCTCGTCTGGCATCCACAGTGACAGGTAAACACAGGTCTCTTTCATACACATAACCTAACGAGGAACAACTGTTTAATGCCATGTCAGCGACAACTGCTACTACTTAAAGAGAAATTATACAGTTTTATCGTACTATATTTGCTTATTCCTTTCCTTTAAACACAAACTTGATTACTGGCGGCGCCACAACTTTATTGTATTGTAATATTATATATTTTTAATAACATAACGAGGCACAGCTATTTAATGGCATACTATAGCAACTACTAGCAGTACTACTTAATGAGAAACTTTGTAGTTTTTATCGTTAAGCAAACGTTGTCCATTAGCACATAAAAAATAACGCATTTACACAGAAGTCAGATCACAGTTCAGTCTTGTAATACTCCAGAAGCTGTGCGCTGCTATGGTGCTGTTTACACCTGGCAGGTGTTTCTAAGCGACAGACGACAGTCGTAGAACAAATCTAGAATACTTGTCAGTGTTTTATGTCTGCAAGGTAACTTGTGTGTTTTTCCCCCACAATGAACCTTTTCTCTGGCAGAGAAGTCACTAATTATGATTAATTCAATAAGTGGAAGTTTAATACAACACATTATGTTACTTGTTAATTCTTTTAGACACAAACAAGTGAAACTTGATCTTTTGAATGTGTTCCAGATTAGCGTTATTATACGCACGAGTTGTGTTGGCGAAGTGATTATGTTACATTACAGCGTTGTCTAAATATTTATTTAAAGAGGCTCACATCAGAGTATAGTATGCAGCAGCAGGTAAGTGAGTAACAAATTGTTTGGTAATCAGTTAAATCTTTATCATTATGTGCCATGCCGATGTGGCGGTGTTAGTTTGAAATTGTATATGGCCACTAGTCTTGAATCCGTTGTGTGTTTTTAACTTTGTCGGGCAACATGCAATTGAAATAAGAAGACAGTCGGTGTATTTATCCTCTTTTCAATCTTGCGCTTTTCTCACCAGGTTCAGGGAAACTTGAGATGATGGGAACTTAGACACCCCAACCCCTCCTCCCCTGTAAAAATGTTGGCAGCGATTAACTGCCCTCCCCCCATCCTCACCAAAAAGGTGTCTTTTTATAAAAAAAAATTTTTCCCCAGCTCACAATTATTTTTCAGCCGCCGTGGAATAGCGGTCAAAGGCTTGCCTGCATTCCCGAAGGTCGTTGGGTCTAATCCGCATTGAGTGGGTTTAAAAAGGAAACTGATCTTGGCTTCCAAGTCGACCTATCGTAAAATTCATTCTAGGCAAGTCTTGGGAAGTAAAGGCGAACGTGTGAGGGACCGAACCATCCTACTGGACAACAAAATATAGGCCTTGCATTGGATACCCCATACGCGCAGTGGTGTGGAAAAAGGGTTCTTTCCCCCTTTTTTTTTTTTTTTTGGACACTTATTATTTTTAAGCTCTTCACACAAGCCTCAGGTCTCTTGAGGCTGGTTCCAAATTTTTTAAGGGGTTGAATGCCCCCCCCCCCTTTCCGGCCACAGAACACAGTATTGTATGTGTGTGTGTGTGTGTTAGCCCCCCCCCCCCCCCCACCCCACCACCACTGTTTGCAAATTGTCACCAAGTTTTATGTTCATTTCTCAACCTCACCTGCGTTTCACAATGATTGCATCCAGTCAATCGTATTATGTGCAAACCCTTACCCTTTCCCCCAATAAGGTCAAGTGTTGATGATTAAGAAGATTGATTTTTCATACTGCATAAAAATAAAACTTCAAAGTCTGAGGGCCTGCAGTAAGATTAGTGAAACATTGTAGAAATGAAAGCAAATTGTGCCTGCAGAAAATTTTCTCGTGGATTTGAAAGCTGCTTAAAAGAAACATAAATTAATATTAGTTTCTGTGTAACCAGTCACATGCGGGGTATTTGGTTTGGTGCCAGATTTAAGCTAAAGTTACAGCTTGGGGCCTTGCAGTCTGCACGGGACTCAAAAACATGTTTTGCAGCGTATCTTTTGACATAATTAATGATTTTGATTTCTGGGAAGTCAAAAAAAAATTTTGCAGTTATAACTTAGAATCTTTTAGAGGATTATGTAATACAGTTTCTGTGATTTTTGCAAACACATTCCCTGTTTTTTTTTTTTTTATTAAAAATTAAACGACAAAATATTTTTCTTATCCATACATTTAATACCATATTTAAAAAAAAAAAGAGATTAGCTGGTGTAATTTGAAAGGCTAGGGGTCTCAAGAAATTATGTAAATTACAGCTTCATCTCCCACTTCCTTAGAAAGAGAATAGGGGCTTTTGAGCTGAAATGCTATAGAAAGAATCTCAGAATATCTTGGACAAAGATAAGGATAAATACTGACATCTTGAAAGATCTGAACATCAAGGAAGATTGGCTAATAAACAGCATCCTTTCTCAGAAGCTTAAATATTTTGGTCATATCAAGTGCCACAATGGATTGGCAAAATCATAGCAGAAGGCATCGTACAAGGAAGAAGGGGCGGGGGCCAACCGACACGAAGAAGGGCACAAGATATAAGTGACTCCTTGAGTATGAAAGTACATGAGGTGGGAGAGCTGGCGAGAGACTGAGTTTCTTTCAGGCAGTCCACGATGAGAGCGACGTTCTGCAAAGGACCTGCTACATGATGAGAGCTTCATCAGGTCTAAATCTGGCCCTGATTTTGTTGATCGTGATGCTTGTGTTTTGATTTACCTTCATGTTGATTTTGTTATTTTGGGTAACGTTCATTACCTTTTACTTTTATTTTACCTGCATTAGGAAAGGTTTCCAAGCATGACGCCAAATGTGTACTGTGCCACTTTGGTAGTGGTGATTGTTCTTACTGGAGAGGTATTTGCCCAAATGCAGATTTGTACTTTTACACCAAGGATGGATGGAACGTATGCAAATATGACATTTAATGTGAGCATAATAACATGAAATAATAAATGTTAGTTACAATATGAGATTTATTTTTAACAAAAGATTGAAACAATTATTTTTCAAAAATTTTATTTAATGTTTTTATGTTAATTTATAATTACATTGTTTTGGTTTAAAATACCTTATTTGTAAAAAACAAAAATATGTTGTACTCAGTGCTTTTTTTTCTGACAGTGCGTAACGTAACCCAGTACTGGTACTTTTAAAAAAAATCATTAATTTTTTAGTACTACTGTAATAGACACTCTGTGTAACAGCACCATATTTCTTTTTAAAAAAGCTTTGGTTGTACTATAAATTATTGTCAGTTTTAGTTGCTATGCTCCACAAAACAAGACAGTATTTAGTCTGGTATTCACTTGATGACTTCCCTTTTAGAATTTGATCATAAATTATATTTTCAATCCTGTCCTACCAAGATGGAACATGGCCATTATTTAGTTTTTTGCAAGGCACCTCTTGTCCAAATTCTTTGTATATTTTATGTATACTACGGCAGTCCTGATACAATTCACATAACTTGTTGGTCATTCCAATAACTACCACTGACAGGATGTTTAACATGCTTGATACAGGTTCCGAATGAAAATAAACTAGTCAAATGTAAGGTTAGAACATGTCATACAGGTTTAAAGGTTTACTGTCTTTAACATGAGAATAAAGATATAAAAATAGACTGCAATCATTACTTCCTTCATTCTCATTCCCTTCCTGATGTACCTCTGCCCACACAATATGATCCATGGCATTTTGTTTGCATGAATCCACCTCAGTACCTCTATCATTCATATCCTGCTTGCACAAATCTTTGTGTCATCTTGTCAAGTATTGGGTTTACAATATTCCTCTGATATTTTTATACACCAGTTGGCACTCTATTTGTGTTGTGATCACCTTAACTTCTAAAAAATATTTCCTGATCCCTATTTTATGCTGAGTCAGTCTGAAAGCACATGTTAGTTTTCTTATATTATAAACTATGTGGAATGGTAAGCTCTGGGAATTATTGTCAAGAGAAAAAGGCATTGTTATAGCAAAGAAGACATGATTGTACATGGAGGAAATCTTTGTTGCATTCCTGATGTGCCTTTTTTTCTATGTCCTCAATAGTACTGACAGTTTTCACTGTAAGTCTAATGTTTGGGGTTTGGGTTGCCAGGTATTAGTGGTATCTCTGGTCTTGGGGACCTGTCATGTCCTTTTCAGGAGAGCTCACTTACCTTTGGTCCAAACCTGGCAGCAATCGCTCACCTGTGGCTGTCAGAATGTGGCATTGACCACCCCTCGGGGAATGGCTTTGACAGGTTGGCTAAACCAAGTGAGGGTAGCCGAATGGTTAGTAACCTTTGGTGAGTCAGGATCTGCCTATCCAAGCATGCAGAGACTGGCTCAGCTAAATGTGCAGCATGTAAAACACACTGGTCATCCACTGCACCTGACTTAATGTCTAGTTGTCTTGACTTGTCCTGCTACTGGATCCAGATGGACACAGCTAAAATAGTGAGGTCGATGATATTGCGCAACTCTTCTTCACTTTAAACTATTTCATTGCACAAGTCACTCCTTCACCAAAGATAGATGCTCCCATAATGGCCAGAAAAAAATGCTTCAAGGACACGCTAAATGCTGATTGGTCTATAAAGGTTAATACTTTCAATATAGACCTACCACTTGGGAGGCTGCTACACAAGACCGGACTACATGGCGAACGTCTAACCGAAGAGGGGCAGTGACCTGCGAGGCTTCAAAAAAAAGGGCAGCTGAACAGTGCAGACAGGCTAGAGAGACTTATACAACAGGCCCTTTACCTACAGAGACTGTTCCCTGCTCTCATTGACCTAGATCCTTATGTGCCCTTATTGAACTTATGTCCCCTCTGGACTCACAGAACTTAACTATAATTTCATGATTGGTGAAAGAAAGTGTTAGTTAGTTAATTAGTTAGTTAGTTAGTTAGTTAGTTGGGTTATCCTCATTGCACTCCGGACATGTCCATAGGTGCTCAGATCCTCCCCTCAGTATGAACCCCAACGTCCGATGGCTAATAGTACCAGTTCTATGTTGATTAACAAGTCTTCTGGCGTGTCTGGTGTGCGTCTCATTTTTTGCTGTACCGATCTTAATTCCCAAGTCTGCCATTCTGGCGAGTGATGTTGATTCACTGCCACCAAAGTCCTCTATCCTTCCCATTTCTCTGAGGGCAATAATATCAGCATGATCCATAGGCTGACCGTCGGTAGTGATAGCGGATCCAGCCAACCTGTCAGCTCTTCATTTCCATAGATGCCCTGCGTGTCCCGGAACAAAAAATAAAGGTGACTCCACGCACAGTGGACTTCTGTAATGATTCAAGCCATTGTCTTCGCACTGAACCTGCCTGAACCTCCGGATCATACTCATTGAATCACTGAGTATACACACGCGGGTGTATTTTTGTGTTTCAAGCCAGGCAAGCGCTTGCGTCACTGCCATCACCTCCATCGTCATGCTGCTGGTTGTCATGGAGAAGGCGCCGTTGGCTTCTTTGACTGTTCCGCCCGCTGAGCGTGCTGTAAATGCCCATGCGCTTCTTCTTTGGCGTATAACGGATCCGTCTGTAAAGATTATTGCATCTGCTTCGTCTGAATTTTCACCGATGAGAGCGTTGACCTCTGCATTAACAGCAACAGGATTCTCTTCTCTACATCGCCTGTTGAGTGTGACAATACAGGAAAATGTACAAATAAAACGCCTGAGGCACAGGTATCCATTCTGCACCAGGTATGATGTCGGTTAGGCTGCATATTTGCCTAATAACGTCTTCTGCCCGACCTAGCCACGATTTCCCCCTCTTCAGTCTGTCGCCCTTTTCACTAAAAAGCGCTTGATGCAGTGGGTGTTTCTTATCAGCACATATTTTGAGATATGCCCGAGCCCTCCACATCCTGATCCTTTGGTTCATTGTTGGAAAGTCAAGTAGATACCTCATTGCTCCACAGGATGTGTCTCTTGTACATCCCAAAATAATGCGCATGGCTTCATTTTGCACCTTTTCGAGTCGTTCAATCTGGGTAGCACTGACAGTGAGGATGGCAAAAGCGTATTCAATGGGGGAAAGGACCAGACCGTAGAATAGAAGTATTAGTAGTCTTTGCTCTATATTGGAAGCAGCCATAATCCTCATTGCAGATAGACCTTTGCGTGCCTTTGTTATCACATGGTCAACGTGTTCCCTGAATGACAAGCTGCGATCGAACCTCACCCCGAGAAACGCCATAACATTGGTTCTGATCAATACACTATCACGCATTTTCACTTCTGGTAAGTCCGACTTGACAATGTGATTGTTCAAAGAGATGAAAGAAAGTGTGGTCCTCATCACTTGTGATAGATGAACAACAATGTTTTTAAAGCACAGATTGATTGGCTGGAGCATAAAGGTGTGGAATTACAACATAGCAACCATTGCTTTGAACAAATTTGCTTTTGGAATTTGAAGCTGGTTTAGTGGCTAGATGCTCACTTGCAGATCTGAAGATCGTAGGTTCAAATCCAAATGGAGCCAGACTTTAAAAAAAATGACCTTAGCTCCCAGGATGGTCCAGCCTTAAATGGAAACCATGTAAAGTCCTGGTATGTGAAGGGAGCTGGCATGATGTTGACCAAATCTAATACAGAGTGCTGATTGGTCTATAAAATATAAGTCTAGCACTATGTGCCCACTGTACCTGAATGTGCACAAAAGGGTATTCTGGCTATTACATTTTATTGTTTATTAATTTCACACTGATAATAGTTTTATTACATTATCATGTTTATAACTTCCTGTGCAGGGTATAGCAAAGGTAAACAAAGAAGCTGTTACTGGAACACAGCCTAATTTTACAGTAAATCCAAATACAATTAATTACATGGGAATGCAGGTTGATGGATCAGGTCCGGCGATACAAGTGGAATTTAATGTTGAGGTAAAGATAATGTCTGTATTGATCATATCAGTTATATTACATATGGGTAGTGTAGTTATTTGAAAGTAGAACAGTTAGTGGTTAATCCATAGCAATGCTGTTAATGTTTACAAAGTAGTAATAATTTAAATGATATCCAGTTCAACTAATTTGGGCTCTAACTGGGATCTATTGAGTTAGTTTTCTATACTAGTATTTGACGTATATGTCTGTCTGTTACAATGTGTTATTTAAGTATAGACTGTTGTATATTAAAGAGCCTTCACATACCCCATCAGGTGATTATAACCTTTTTGTGCTCACAGTATTTTAAAGTCTATTACTGATTTGATAGCAGTGTTTACAGAATTTGAAATCTTCTCATCTTTGTTATCAGATTTTAACTCTTGCAGTGCCAGTAACTGCTATTTCTGCTTATTACATTCCAACCAGTTGTTGCTTCAAACTACCTGTCTGGTTTCTGGGCGCTCCCCCCTCCCCCACCCCAACAAGCATGTCATAAAAGTCAACTTATTAGGGGTGTTTTATTTTCCTTTAAAGCTGGAATGCATCTGCCTGAGAGCAAGGAACCAACAGTCTGTTTTCAAATAAGCCAGATCTGTAAAATGAATGTGCACACAAGACTGAAGTACTGGAACAAGACCCACTAGTCCAGAGGTGGACTGACAACCAAGACTTTCCGCTGGGGTTTACAGCTGTTGCAATGTGAAAAATAAAAACTAGCTGTAGCTGTCTGATGATGACTGATTGAAATTTTATATTATGTATAGCATGGGTGATATCATTGAACACACACTGTGACTCTCTCTGTTTTATGAGTTAGGGCGCTTTATTGAGATAATTCTTGTGTGGGTTTTGGTAGAAGACTGCATTTATGCAACGCATGTGACTATTTACTCAGTAAAAATCATAACCATGGTTGAAATTTCTACAGATGGTTAACACCACTTCAAGTCCAGTTCGTTTCAATATTTCCCTAATTTTAAGAAATGCAGATTCAATAGCAATCAGCAGTGCCACAATGGAAATAAATCTTGGAAATTATGTTGAAGCATTTGGGATGTTGGAATACCAGCTGGATCAGTGCGTATTGATCGGTCCTATGTTGGATACAACAGTTCAAGTATCAGTTGTAAGTAATTTATACAATGTCTCCATGTCCATTTGTCCTGAGTAGTGGTAGTAATTTTTCAAAAATATCCTGTTCAACCCTCAGGGTTATGATTGGGATATATAGTGTTAATTGATTTCTCAGAGTATATAATTGTTATTTAAAATTTTTATATCATGTAGTTATTTAAATCACGGATATTTAAGTTTTTTTTTTTTCACATATTGCTTTGATCTGAGTTGGGATTATGATAGAGACTGTACTATGAATAATTAGATAATGTTATTAACATTGTGTCATTATATTTTATTTCTCATAGCTTTTTTTTTTACACACTGGCTCACATTAGGCAAGGAGAGGAGTGGGTCAAAGTGCCACCTGAACAGTCAGACTTGTGTAGAGTCATAATCACACTGAGCCGGGAATGCAGAGACTGGCCAGCAGGTGCCACGGAGGTGGAAATTCAGCAATTAATTCAAGATAATGCTCGCTCAGAGAATTTGATCATTCACACAGTCGGTTCAGTGTCAAGAGGCAAAAGTGCTTGGGGCTTTTTAGCAAAAGTTAATGGTCGACGTTTGGTGCAAGAGAGCCTAGCACTATGATACCACAACATCCAGCTTAAGAATGGAGGTGGACGCAATCACTGCAGCTTTCTGCTGGCTAGAGAACACAAACACAAACACACATCGTGATTGTAACTGACTCAGAAAGCATGCTGAGGAAGATCAGAACAGGTATGCTTCATGCAGAGTGGCATGCTTCGCTGCGGAGGACATGGGTGAGAAGTATTGTCTTGATTTTTTCACCGGGTTCACGCCAGTCTGTTGGGAAATGAACAGGCGGACAGGCTGGCTGGCTCTGCACAACTTGGCGGAATACTGATACATGATACTGTAGACGTGTTTAGTGCTTTGTGGGAGAGCAGGTACAGTTCAGAGGAGCAGATGGATCACCACAGTCTGGTGAGATTGATGCAGGGAGGGGTGATGAGAGGTTCTGGCAGATGCTTGAAGCTCAGAGGAAAGGCAAGATGGACGTTTAATCAGAATGCTACTGGCACCATTAGTATCGGAACTCTTCGCTGGCTGCTAAAGATAGGGACAGAGCGCTTATGGCAATGCCCCGAGTGCTGTGATGTCAGTTCTTGAATCAAATCAAATCAAATCAAATCATTGTTCACTTATTATATTTGATTTCTCATAGCTTTATTACACACTGGTTCACTTGTTATATTTGATTTCCCATAGCTTTATTATGCACTGGTTCACTTGTTATATTTGATTTCCCATAGTTTTATTATGCACTGCTTCACTTGTTATATTTGATTTCCCATAGCTTTATTAACTCTTTGAGTCCCAGGGGGTTTAGCCCCAGAGGCCAAAGGAGTGGTAATGCAATTTTTTAATTTCACAAGTGTAACACATTAAAATAGACTATACTAATTCTATTGCTGCGCAACATACACAAATTATACATCAAAGTGACCATGGATTGTTTAGGAATAATTATAGAATACAGCTACAACAAATAATAATCTACTATGGGAAAAACAAGAATAGACCCACTGCCTACCCAAAAGCATGTTGTAAGAGTCGACCTATTGGGAGCTTCCTTCGAAGTCGGAGTGCTTCTGCCTGAGAGGCAAGGAACCAACAGTCTGCATACAGATCTGTCAAATGGATGCACATGCTGCACTCAGGTTCTGGAATAGGACTGCAGTCCAGAAGTGGACCAACAACCGGAACTTTCCGCCCGAGTTTACAGCCGGTGAACGAGAAGAAGAAGAATTGTGTTAGTAACTAAATATTAGTAAATAAACACAAATTAGTAAAATGAAATTTAAAAATTTCCACTTACCACCATGGCACTCAAGGAAAACTATATATATCCAAAATGAATCAAAAATGAATATGAATCACTTAGTAATGTATAAGTAAAATATAAACTCAGTCTATACATTAGATTTTGCTCCAGATAATCTTTTGAAGCATCATAACAGAACACCATTATTTGATAAAGAAAACTGACTCCCAAAACAATAAGTATCTTCACGCAAAACAAAGTTTATATATCACTAAATTTGCCTATAATTTTGTAGTTATGCTCCTAAATAATAAGGGAAATAGCACTAGAACTAACTGACACTGAAGAAAATAATCTTTTCACTAATGTTCATTCTATTTGTGCCAGCTGAATTTGCTATCGTTGTACCATTAGTGTGAGGTACATATTAAACATATCCTTTCATCAAAGTTTGACTCCATAAATGACTGAAACACGTCTAATTCAAACCTTATCTATCTAACTTTAGAAAAATCTAATAAACAGGTACTTTATTTAAATTTGAGGCTTCTAAAGCCACAAATCATGTTAGAATGCACATAGAATACTGCTTGGCGTTCATATTCTTTTGAAACAAACACTTAGTAACTCAGCACATTTTGCAAATATACTATATTTTCAGCTTTCAGACTACTTTTCTAAATGAGCACGTCTGATATCAGACACAAAGAACTCGAAAGGAAGTTGAAATTGAGCAGTCCGCGATTTATTGATAGTCATTGGTAGATTTAAAATCTTCACTTATCACACGTCGATTGGCTGCCCGGTTGTAACAAATTAGTGTGTGATGCGTTCCATGGGATTCAAAAAGTTAAGCACTGGTTCACTTGTTATATTTGATTTTCCATAGCTTTACTATGCACTGGTTCACTTGTTATATTTGATTTCCCATAGCTTAATTATCAACTGGTTCACTTGTTATATTTGATTTCCCATAGCTTTATTATGCACCGATTCACTTGTTATATTTGATTTCTCATAGCTTTTTTATGCACTGGTTCACTTGTTTAATTCTTTTTATTTTCAGCCAGCAGCTCAGTTTCAATTTACTTTATGGCATCGCCATCCGGTGATGGTGGTGTCCATTTGCCTGAAGGAAACACTGGAGTTTTTGCTTCTGTTTACTTCACTTATGTAAGTTCTTGGAAGTTGTGAATCAAGTTTGTCTCATTTGAAACATTACACTGTTGTCAAGGTATTTTTGCTTTTATTGGCTCAGTGTTCATAGAAGCCAAAGTGAAATATTTTGGGCATATCAAGAGCCATGGCAGATTGGAAAAAATAATAGCAGAAGGCATGGTACTAAGAAAGAGCAGCAGGGGCTAACCAGCATGAAGATGGGCACAGAATATAATTGATGCCTTGGGTAAAAAATATTGTGCCAACGGCTTCCGGCAGAGGGAAGTGCAGTGGGGAGGATACTGGCCTTATTCCTAGGAAGAGGAAATGCAACCTGAAAACTTTATATTATGGCCGGGCAGACCAGGCTCTTAGCCTTGACTGGCAGCTGGTCTAGAAGATAAGCTCCGACAAGCGGACAGATATAGCACTGCACTTCTTATCCCGCAGCTTCTGCAGCCTGCTTTGTTTCAAACGTACAGGTCTTACCTTTCCTTTGGAGTAAACAAGACAGTTCAAAAGAGGGAGAGAGATCATAATGCATAGGCAAAATATGGCTTCTACAATACTACCTAGGCTTTGTGCTATCATCGCCAAGGGCTGTAAGTCACATGCCTCCTCATAGCACAATATAACACTGTCGTCTAGAAAGACAAAAAGGTGCCAGTTGATGGGTAGAAAAGTTCACAAGGCAGGATAGCTGGCAGGAGACAGTTTCCTTCAGCAGACCATGATGAAAGCGATGTTCTACAAAGGACCTGCTACATGACGATGATGATTCATGGAAACTTCCTTGAACTGCATCAGATGTCAATTTCTTTGTTCATTTTCATCTTCAGTGAATAACTGCCTACACAGAAGGCTTACTTCTAGATACAAAAAGTGTCACTACAAGGTATAAACAAAAAGGTTCTGGAACCATTGAGTACCACCAGAAAGAAACATCCTTGCCTGTACCACATGGCATGTACATGATTTCTATGTTTATGTAATTATACAATGCATTTTGTGAGAAGCTGGGAGATACCATATGTAGGATAATACAGGAAACAATAATATAATATGTTGCCTTTTAAAAATAATTTTAATTTTATAATGAATTTTTGAAGAGTTCATAAATTATTCTAGGCTTTTTTATTTTTACCAGCAAGGAACAGTGTATGGTGCAGTTATTCCCTCCATCTGTCTGAAACGAGTTACTGTTCTATTTGGCAGTGTGAGTTTTTACAAATTTATAAATGCATACTTCATTTATATTAATTCAAACTACTATTTTCTATATTTTCTTTTGTGCAACAAGACCAAGTATGTACGTTTCTTATTTTGTTCTATCACTAATTGACATATTGGCTTTTTTATTTTGATAATATGGTATAGTGCTTTAGACTCGGTTACTCAACATTTAATAGATATAAGAGTAATGTGGGAACTACACATGGTCAGAACAGTTACTCAGTATTTGATAGACATAAGAGGAATGTGGGATCTTCACTTGATCAGACTCAGCTACTCAACATTTGATAGACATAAGAGGAATGTGGGAACTTCACATGGTCAGACTCAGTTACTCAACATTTGATAGACAGAAAAGGAATGTGGGAACTACACATGGTCAGACTCAGTTAGTCAACATTTGATAGACAGAAGAGAAATGTGGGAACTACACATGGTCAGGCTCAGTTAGTCAACATTTGATAGACAGAAGAGAAATGTGGGAACTACACATGTTCAGACTCAGTTACTTAACATTTAATAGACAGAAGAGAAATATGGGAACTACACATGTTCAGACTCAGTTACTTAACATTTGATAGACAGAATAGAAATGTGGGAACTACACATGGTCAGACTCAGTTAGTCAACATTTGATAGACAGAAGAGGAATGTGGGAACTTCACAGACTCACATAAAAGTACGTAATTTATAGCATTTATAGCACCTTTTTTAACACCCTGGGTGCAGTGGGCATGTAATGCTAGGATCATATTCTTATAGATCTGTCAGCATTTGGTAGGTGATATAGTTAACATTAGCCAACTGCTTTTACTCCCCTGTTCATTAACTCCTACCCATTTTAGGCTGGGTCGACCTAGAAGCCAAGGTCATTGTGGAAAAAGCCCACATCTATGTGTAATTGAACTCTAGATCTTTCGGTTGATTGGTGAGCGTCTAGTGCTACACTGATGTGGCTTCCTCAGACTCATTTAATCAGTCTTAAATAGAAGAAAGAGGAATATGGGAAATTCGAACTGTTAGATTCATATACCCAATATTAGAACTAGGAATTTTTAAAAAGAGGATAACCCCACATATTATGAGTAAAATTCGACAAAAGACTAACCTTGGGCCCCCACATTGAAGACACCCAAAGAAAAGCTACCCTGAGGCTCTGACTTAGAAGAAACTTACTGGAACAAGCTGTGGTGCAGATGCCAACACTGTACGACAAGTATACACAGGATACGTACTACCAAAACTTTAGTATGGCACGGGATCTTACTCCACTGCAGCCAGATTAAACCTACATAAACTGGACAAAATACAGAACACTGGTCTCAGAATCATCACTGGAGGTATGAGAAGCACACCAGTGAGCTGGAGGCAAGTTCTGCCCTCCAGAGCTTGAGCCTTCAAATGGAAGAAAAGGTGCTTACCATAACAGAAAAATGTAAACACATGAACAACAACCCAATGTAAAGAATAGCTAACAACTTAACAAACAAAAAAACAAAACTGAAAAGATAAAGCTTTCACCATCTAACTGTACTACACAAAAAACAGTGACATCCTTTCTAAAGATCCTTCAGCATGGGAAATGATCCAGACATACAGCATAGACCTACAATCTAACTATACAGTCACAACAACAATTCCAGGCATAGACAGAAAGACCAAATAATGTGATCTAGTACTGCTTGCAAAGACAGTTGAACATGTCTACAACTGTTAACCAAAACCCGAATGGACACACGTATACACAGATGGATCATTGGAGGGAGCAGACAAAAATGGAGGTCCTGGATCAGTCATCATGTTGCAAGATGGGACCACAGCAGAAATGTCATGCGCCCCTGGAAAAATTAAAAAAAACTTAAGAGCAGAGCAGCAAGCAGTTATTGGTTCAGCTAAAGTGCTTGAGGACAGAAAAATTAAAAACAGCAAAATTGTTTTTCCTTTGTTACTGCATGTCAGTCCTCCAGGCAAAATACAAGAGAGATCCGCGAGACAACATGAAGAGAGAACGGACCCGCCAGCTAAACAGACTCTCAGAAAACAATCAAATCATTCTCCACTGCTACATACTAGGAAATGAGTTGGCAGACAGACTTGCAAAAATGGAACAAAGGAGAAACAACACACCCATCCATTGTCATTACCAGAAATCATAACACTTTTCAAGGAAAAATACAAGGAATTGTGGAGAGAACAAACTAACAGCAAACATCCTCAAGACCCCATCAGCAGACTCAACAGAAAGCAACTTACAACAGTTTTCCTTCTACGAACAGGACACTGCAGGCTCATCTACCACATGCATAAAATAAAGATTGTAAAATCCCCACAGTGTGCCTGTCAAACAGGACCACAAACACCTAAGCACATTCTGCAGACCTGCCCACTCTGCCTACAACTTGGAAAAGACACCTGGCCTCAAGAGTAAAGGGTGCAGAGCAAGCTATGGGGAACCATGAAGGACCTGCTACTGACATGCGAGTTCATAGAGGCAACCCACCTGAAGGTCTGATCTGAGCATATGAAACCGAACGCAAAGAAGAAGAAGAAAACCAGGAATATGGGAACTGCCCATCCATGCCGGCTAGTCTGCATGTGCTATGCTGAATCTTAACTTGGTGCCATTCTAGTATACTTCTTCAGAGATGTGAAGTTCCAGTACCAGTCTTACATATCATGTCAGATTATGGGTTTGGTGAAGGGAAAAAGAGCTCTGCAATACAGTCCTCATGTAAGTGATACTTTGGTACCAGGTTCAGATAAAAGTGCCTACATCATCCTCACTCGTATAGATACAACATCTTTTTAGGGCTCAATTGGTTTGAATGCAAGTCGTTGAAGTTTATTCAGAAGAAAAACTCAGTCTTCCAGAGAAATTACCAACCAGTCAGCCTTTTTTGCTGTTTGATAAAATCATCTTCTTTTAACATAACCAAACACAGAATTATACAATTTAAGGAAGCTAACCATTTATTTAAGCTTCTAATATAATTATTTTGAGTATTTGTATGTGAATATTGTTTTTACTTCTGCTTAACATAAGTACATTTATTTATTTCCAGATTTTTTATGAGCAAGGCTTTACAGCTCTGACCTTTTTTGTCATGTTGATCGTTGGCATTTTGTTGGCACTTCTAGGAGTGTGGTTGTTTCTACGAATCCAGCAAGGCAGAGCAATATTTCCCATTACACTGAAAGTGAGTCATTCATTTTACTAATTATAGTGAGTCCTCATTTTTATATCATTCATTTTACTAATGTATAGTAAGCACATTGTTGGCCTATGCAGCAGTATTGAGTTAAGGACCAATATCATAGCACTCATGATATTCCATTAAGTGGTTTATCTTAATCTTCAGCAGCTAATACAACATTCCAATTCTGATGGTCTCAGTAGAAACCTACTGTATGTCTGGCTTGCCTTTTCCCTGAGTGTTGAGTGTTGGCCAGATCCTATATCCCTTGATCACTTTCTGCTGCACCATTCTGTTCATATTCTGATGGTTATTTTGTCTGAGCAGCGGCCTATTTGGTCTGGTCTTTCTAGCTACTGAGTTTGTTTTTTTAATGCACTTTGCACACATAGTTCCTTAACTTTTTGTCACCAATGTTCCAGAATGGCAAGAATTCCTAATCCATTGCCCTAGAATCAGGGAAAAGTATGTCCTTTTTTTTTTCTAGTTGTGTAAAAAGTCAAGTATCATGAGATCTAGACTGGATCCTTGGGGTGAACTGGTGAATGGGAAACCAGAAATGTTCCAAAATATTGAGAGTGCAACCTGGTTGAGGTATTTAGGATACAGATTACCTGGTCAGAGGTTGTTACCAGAGGTGGTGTCTTAGTACATAATTAATTAGCAGTCACAGGATGACATTCACAGACTACCTGGGTTTGCAGGATAGCGAGGTCGACTCAGAGATTTATTGTAAACAAAGTTCCCTTCTACAGTTCAATGTTTAACTCTTTCAGTCCCAGGGAACGCATCATGTGTTCACAGGTTCCCCTCTAGAAGCCCAATGAACGCAAGATGAACCGGTTTTATGTCTCTCTTTACTATCCCTTGAGCCTCTGATGCTAAACCCTTTGGGACTAAAACAGTTATAAACTTTGCCAATGCTCATTACAAGAAGATGTAGATAAGACATAAAAACAGTCCAACAGTCGATTAGGCTCTATAGTACAAGGTTGGAACTTGGGTCGAAAACATCCTTGCTCCTGGCTGTGGCTACTATGTCTGGTCAGAAAGGACTCATCCTGTCTTGCCAACCTTAGATCAAGGCTTCTTGTTCTGGGGTGAACACATATTTTTGTCACTGAGTGCAAAGCTTCTTGTCTATTCCCTGCCATATCAATTGGGGGGGGGGGGAGGGGGAACAGCTACACCCTTGGCCTCACAGGGACACTCTCTCACAATATCCTCCTAACTTGTCTCTAGGTCCAGTAATCTCTTGTGCCCAGATGACTCTGCCATTCACCCAGACTACACTGCTGCCTCCTGAACCAGTCATGCTGGTCTTAAGAACCTGGTCAAAGTCTGTCTTCTCACACATTTGCTCTATATCATACTACACACTGTTATCTAGATCTGCACAACACTAGAGTCACTCGTTTATTTTAGTCTACTTTAGTACCAGTAGAAAACTTAATAATGCTTGAACTATCTTGTTAGCATTAAACAATGGAGAAAAGTCATGGAGGTTGAATTATCTTGAAAACTACAGAAGCTGAACAATCTGTAGACAAACTGAAGAGCCCAAAGTAGAAACCAGTGAAGAACCTTGACTTTAGGTTATAATTATGACTAGGTTATGTTTGCCATATAAAATAGCTTAGCATTGCACACCACCAAAAGCCCTGGAAAGGACTTTTGCAATGTTGATGCAATCAGAGGAGACAGACCCAAAAACAATCCTGACTGGCAACAAAGTTGCCTACTGATGTGAACCTTGACTACCTCTAGGTTTGGTCTTATATAAGAGGTAGCTGGGCGAGGGGAAGGGGAGTGAGTTAGTGATTTGTTTACCATTTTAACATTTATTGAGTGCTGAATGGGTTTCAGGGTTTGAATGCCCTCCTGAAGCTGTAGATGTTGGTGGGATTTAGGGTAAAATCTGTTTCAGGTAAAGTTCTAATCTTGACTAGCTGTAGTCTGTTTCAGACGTGACCAAGTTCGGGACATGACATCAGCCAACACCCAGAGAAAATCTTTGTTGTCTGGGCTAGAGGCAGATGTTGCATCTGCTACGTAATTTTTCTTACTCACCCTAGTGTGAATTTATGCAAGCTTGTATAAGGGGGTAAAATAAATTAATTTTTTTTAAAAATCCTAACAAAAGAATATTCTTTTTGTTTTTCAGCCAAGAAAAACTGTGACTTCAGGAAAAATAGTTTTGAATCCACAAAATGACATTAGGTAATTACAATTTTTTTTCCCCATATGTATACTTATCCATAGGCACATGTGCCAATGCATATGAAAACAATCTTGCAATCATATTAATGCATTTGTATATGCATATGTAAAAGAGCACATTTAGATATAGCTATACACACATATGTATATTTTATATACAAAAATATACACTTTTTCTGTATTTATTCCTGTACCAGTTTATATGAACTATTGTTGCTCATGTGTGCATTGTTATCATTCTTTTTGAGAGCTGTATTTTCTTTTTCTTTTCTTTTTTTCGAAATGGTGGGGGGGGGGGGGAGTGAATATCAGACTCCACATCATTAGTGATTAGCTATTCGTCACGATCTTAGACTAGCTAGGATGATTTATTTTAGTCTGCCTCTTCTATAGCTATGCTGATCTTTTAGTATTCAGCATAAGCTTGAATACCTTCTCATCACAAGACCAAAGTAACCTTTTTAACTCATAGTTGCCTAAAATGTTCTGCTGTTAGTAACTTTTTTCTAGGCAACTATTTGCAACTCTGGTTATGCAAATTAGTGGCAACATTCATGTTTTAAAGTTTATATGTGTGTGTGCACATGTGCATGTGTGGATTTTTATAAAAACACACACGCACACACACACACACATGTACATGCACACTCATGCAGCATGCACACACACACATATATGATTTGTTGTTATAATTGCAACCAAAGCAGCAGCTGTTTTCTCAGGCCAAAGTTGTTACATACATTGGGGGGGGGGGGGGGTAAAATAATATCTATTTATCTCAGAATTGTTCCTAAGAGTACCATAAATTCAGGGGTTTTTGAATCGATGTGCATTTTAGTATAAAGGAGTCAAAAATGCCTACATGGAAATTAGTGCAACTATAGTCCTTACAGACTCATCCTACACTACAGCATACTTCTCTTATGTCTTCATCTCTATGATACTGTGATTGTAAAGCTCCTCTGCTCTGCCTGGGTCCATAACTTGATTCCTTCATTCTCCACATGTGTGTTCCTGTGTCTCACTGTGGGAAAAACAAGAATAGACCCACTGCCTTCCCAACTAGCATATCGTAGCAACTAGCAAATTCAGAGTGCATCTGCCCAAATGGCAAGGAATGACCAGCTGCACACAAATAAGCCAGTATAATGAATGTGCACACAAAACTGAGGCCCTGGCACAAAGCCAAAGTCCAAATGGATGAACAGCCAGGGCTTTTCCCTGAAGCTTACAGCCGGTGAAAATATAAGAAGAAGATTCTTTCATTCAAAAGTTCAACACTTTTTTTACTTCCTTCAAATTGTTGTTGCCTTGACACCTGTTTGATAATGATTTTTCAGTTCCATGGCTTTGAGTGACAGTATTTTGTGTATTCTTACTCTGAAAGACCATCTGCAGATCCAAAGAGAAATTGACAAGTAAGTCTGTACAAATTCACATGTCAAACTTTTGCAATATGTATTATACATGGCAGATAGTTTTGTGGTGTATATTTAGGTTATGTCGCAGTGTTTCATGTTCAGTATGGCAAGAAAATCACACTTCAAAAACTATAAAATTATCCATTGCCTTGAGACCACAGTCACTCTATTTGTGCTTATTAAATATAGGTCTTGGTAAATGAAAAGGCCCATTACTCTATTCTCTGGTGGATAATTCATTAAAAATTCATGCTTTGTTGAATTCTGTCACACATTCTGTTAACGTTTCTTTTTTGTTTTGGTAATAAAACCATTGGAATGGGTTTCAAATGAATATTCCTTAGATTTAAATTAAATAAGATAATTACAATAAATTAAAACAAGTACATTAAGCTGATTTAAGGACTAACATCACAGCACTCAGGACATTCCAATAAGTGCTCCATCTTCATTTAGCAGCCGGCGCAAAAGTTCAAATTCCATTGATACTGGTCCAGTAGCAGTTTGATTATGTGCAGTCTTGCTTTTTCCCTTAGTGTTGCACCATTCTCTTTACATCATAATGATTTATTCACACTTCAGAATCGTTTACTTGTTCCTTAAAGAACCTTGACCATATCTAGTCTGTCTGCATCAGTTTATCACTGAGTGGTACAGAACCAGCCAATCTATGTGTGAGTTGACTTCCAAAGGACATTAACTACCCGGGGCCTCTGAAGCAATGCTTGCCACTCTGCATGGATTATACTTGCCCTCACTTTTTCAGCAAGCTTTGCGAGTCTGTTACAATTACATGTGTGGTCAGCTGACTGTCAAGCCAACAGAAAGCAGCAGTGATTGCCTTTAACTCCATTTTCAAACTAGATGTATATATACGCTTTGTTGTTACTTACTTACTTAGTCGCTCCTCTTCTACCTTGGGGTGTAGAGGTTTGCCAGAGAGATCGCCAGACGTCTCTATCAGCAGTTTTCTTTCTGGCTTTGTTCCATTCCAGTCCTCTGTCAGTTAGGGACTGTCGGATGTTGTCTTCCCAGCGCACCCTGGGTCGTCCTGGAGGTCTGGTTCCCTGGTTCTTAGTCTCCCATGCCTGCTATGGTGGCCGATTTTCTCCCATTCTGCATACATGTCCAAACCATCGTAACTGTGACTGATCCACTCGGGTTTGTAAGGACTGGGTATCAAGATCTTGACGTATTGTCTGATTGCAGACTTTGTCCCTTCTTGTTACTTGGACCACCTTTCTCAGATATCTCATTTCCGAGGCCTACAGCTGGCTTCTGTGAGCTGTTGTCATTGCCCATGACTCACACCCATAGGTCAGGAGGACTGGTACATAGGTCGAGCGGTAAACAGCCATTTTCGTCCTCTTGCTAATTTCTCTTTTGCTAAGAAACCCTCGGTTTATGGCCTGGAAGAGGCTCCCAGCAGCTGCTTTTCGTGTAGCCAGCTCAGTCTTAATGCCTCCATTTCGGTCTAATACAACTCCAAGGTATTTGAACTGGTTAACCTGCTCCAATGCATACTGCCCCATCATGATCTGGTGTTTCTTCTACGCTTTGTTGTATTAAGTATAATTAACTAACAAAAACAACATACTATAATACAGATTTTTTTTTTCAATCTGTAAACATTAATTTCAAAAAACTATTTTGAGGTGAACTGTAAACTGTAAAATTATTTATAGTAATGTTCTGTTGTTTTTTTCCCCCAACAAATAGCTGACTTTCGCTGATGTAAAATGTCATTGATCAGTTGAAAAATGTACATCTTGTATAGTTCGATAATGCAGAAATTACCAAGTTAAAGCCATTACTTTTCTTTCATATCAGATGTAAAGTTAATTTCTTTATTTTTACCTTCATTCCAGTCAGGACATACAGTCAACACTATACATTGAAATGGATTTAGAGGCTGAGAAGGTAGATGCTGCAATACAGGCAAGCTGTCTTCTTGTTCAAGGTCTTAGATATAATGGAGACATAACTAAAACTGTTGAGGACACAGCTAGCTCAAATATGCAGGTAGGAAGTATAAAACAAAAAATATTAATGTTGCAGCTATATGCCTGGTCGGATAACACATTGGCCATCATGAGTTCGCAATCCTTTCTGTCAGTTTATAATTTAATGAAATTGATGTTACTTATGTTATTATTTATTGTCCAGCTATTTAAGCTTTCCATGTACCTCCATCCAGTATGAGTTGAGTTGAGTTGAGTCAAGAATTGACATCACAGTACTTGGGGCATTCCCATGTGTGCTCCGTTCTCATTTTCAGCAGCCAGTGCAGAGTTCCAATACTGATGGTACCGGTCACAATCTGGTTATATGTCTGTCTTGCCTTTCCTCTGAGTGTAGTGAACCGGCCAGACCCTCTGGTTACACCCATGTGCCTCATTCTCTCCAGGCCATAATAATCTTGTTTTTCTGCTGATTCCATTGCTTGTTCCCAAAGGGCCTTGACCACATTTGCCTTATCAATTCACAATTCACCACCCAGTGGTGCAGATCCGTCCAGTAAGTTCTCACAAAAGGCTAATTCGTTTTCATTTCTACATTTGATATGCCAAAAACATTTTAATTGCCTTGTTTTTAATGGCTTTAATGAACGACGTGGAGATGCTTACAGCTGCTCTCAAAACCTCAATGTTTTCTTTCTGCTCAGTCCACAATATTCCAGAATATGCAAACACACTGAGATCCAATCTGATTCTACAGATTTGAGTACCAAGTTGAATTACTTCTTCAGAAATAAATCTTAAACTGGGACACTTAAGGAGGTATTCATGCATGCTGTTAAGGTGGTCTTTATGTTGATATTGCTATCACATTTCCCTCTTTCTAGATGACACTGTTAAAATGTGCCATAGACACATATGGAAATCACATCTCATGGTGATTGTGAGTGATTAGCAAGACCTGCATACTTGTAATAATGGTTCCTTTGTAAAAGAATTGCCGCAGACTGCAGTCCCAGCATATCCACTGGCATACACATGCATTATATTTATAAGGCAGCCATCAGAAGGGCTTACACAAACAGTCCAACATTATAAATTCAGTTCCTCATCAACAAAAGCAGTTACAAACAGATCAGTAGTTGCACATGTGATTAATTTAAACCACATAAAGCACCACCACTTCTGTGACAACAGGCCACTCGTCATTTTCTATGTCTACAATTCACAACACCACAATGGTCACAGTCAAGACAAATTCCAAATGAAATCTGCATCTCACAGTGTCACACCATAACCTCAGCTCAGTAGCTGGGTGTCAAAACTAAATCTTTTTAGTCTACAAATGGAGGAAAATGCAACAGTCACTACCTGTCAGAAGCAAAAGTTTGCCATGACTAAAAACAGTGAACATGCCTATCCCCCACTTTTACCGGATGTCTGCAGTGTATTCTTTGTAGGTATTGCATGTGAAAGCTATTGAACTATTTCTCTTGGAAGGAATAGGCTGATCAAGTTTCAAGAGTGTTAAGGACACAGCTTGGTAATAAAAAAGGGGGGTTTTAATTTGATAATATGATCATGATTTTTCTTTTCTGCCACACCCATTTTGTTGATATGCTCATTATTGTTGCTGTCCTCCCTATTCTGATGTTGATTTCTTGGTCCAGTGATAGTTCATTATTGACTGAGGATCCTAGGTATGTAAAACAGTCAGCTGTCTCCAGCTCTTTACCTGGCACATGATGAGGATCAGTAGCAAACTGCAGTAATAACACATTATGTGAAACAATTCAGCTGTCTCCAGCTCTTCACCTGGCACATGATGAGGATCAGTAGCAAACTGCAGTAATAACACATTATGTGAAACAATTCAGCTGTCTCCAGCTCTTCACCTGGCACATGATGAGGATCAGTAGCAAACTGCAGTAATAACACATTATGTGAAACAATTCAGCTGTCTCCAGCTCTTCACCTGGCACATGATGAGGATCAGTAGCAAACTGCAGTAATAACACATTATGTGAAACAATTCAGCTGTCTCCAGCTCTTCACCTGGCACATGATGAGGATCAGTAGCAAACTGCAGTAATAACACATTATGTGAAACAATTCAGCTGTCTCCAGCTCTTCACCTGGCACATAATGAGGATCAGTAGCAAATGCAGTAATAACACATTATGTGAAACAATTCAGCTGAGCTGTAGAGTATTTTAAAAAAGTGGGACCTAAGAGAAATGTCTGGACAATCACATGTATCATCAGCTATAAGACAAAGAAGATGACAATAACCTGGGCACATAATGAAAAGAAATGGACAGAATCATTAAACAGGCACATTTATGAGAAACCAATGGATTCAGGAAATGAGCACACTGAAGAACATTATTGAGGAAGCCAGAGATGCTGAACTTGATTCCACCCATGGTATTAAAAGGATTACACAGGCAAGAACAGAATGGACAACTAGACTGCAAACATTGTATGATGTATAATGTCATAACATAATTATAATGATAATGACAAATTCACTGAGACTTCCTTAAAAATCTTTGTGATTTGTTTTTTATTGTTCTTTTTATGTTGTATTGTTTTCTGCAGAAATGCCATCTTCGTTTTCCTCACTTCTTCTTCTTTCATTGGCTTGAAATAGATTATCTATATCTACAATGATGTCTCTAGTAGTTTTCCTTTCTAACTGTAGAGTACTTGATATTATTAATTTAATGTGTGTTCAACATTTATTCATTTTTAGAAGCAATTGAAAGCCTTAACAACAAAAATGGATTCAGATTACAGTAAAGAGTTGACAGCTTTGGGCACTGATATACAAGCAAAAAACAAGGTAACATTTGGATTATAATTCATCATCATCATCATCATGAAGCAGGAGTTTTGCAGAATGTTGGTCTTATCACAGTTTGCTGGAGAGCCACTTGGTCCGATGCCAACTCTCCAGAGCCTTTGAGCCTGTGTACGTCATCATCCTGGTCAACTGTTGCCTCTACTTCCGCACCATACTCTCCATTGCTGATCTCCAAGACATTGTGTATTTGGCTGAAGTATTTTAGCTTCCACATCCTAGCAATGATACTCATGGTGGCCTGGAGAGAACTCTGATGGAGGGTACAGATTCTGGAAAATGAGGCAGAGACTGACCTCTGAAAATGTGGGTACAAGACATTGAAAATTTATTGGCTATGAAAGCACATAGGGCTGGAAAATTGGCTAGAGATGCAGACTTTTAAGAATGCTGTGAAGAGAGTAATGTTCTGTAAAGGACCTTCTGATTGATACTGTCCAAGAGCCAGTCCACTTCAATCTTTAGATCCTGAAGAACACCAGTATTTTCCCTTCTCTGATACTCCAGATTCTTTATGTAACATTCAAGTTCTTCTTCGTCCAAGATACTGTAAAAATCTGTGTGTACCGTTTAAAGAGTGTAAAAGCCTTGATTTTCTTTTAAGTGACTGTCTACTAAAGAAAGGTCGTCGGCTCTGTGGCTAAGTCGGTGTGAACGCTTTGTAATGCCTGGATGCCGGTTTGATCCCAGCTGTAGGCCATGTGCCTTGAGTTGGTTTCAACAGTAATATCAAGAAAGCCGACCGTCCAGAAAGCAATGGCAAACTACTGGATGTAAATTTGCCTAGAAAAACAACACAACAGCCAGGAGCTGTTGGGGTTGGTTCTGCAACATCCTGTAAATGATATGCAACTAACCTTAATCTACTAAATGTCTGGCATGGGTTGGTTGAAAGTCTATGTACCACTGAGAACTTAAAGGCAGAAAACAGACACACAGACAGGCCTAATCAAATTAACCTAGAAACAATCTGCACTAACTGTAACTGTTCAGATACCCAGATATACATTGACACATTCTTATCATAAAAATCATCCAATCCATAATTTCTTGGGTGACAAGGTACACAGGGGAGGTGAATGGTCATAGGCCATGAAACAAACCAAGAATATTGTGGAGAGATAATATCCAGGCAGGTCTACAAAAACTTGGAGTCACTAAATGGAAAGAAAAGACCAATTACAAAGATGATCTGAGGCGGGTGATATATGCAGCAGTAAACCTCGAGGGCTCAGAATTTTGAAGAAGAAGAAATGAATGTCTTAAACTGCCAAGCTGTGTCAGAATCAAAAATAGATATATACTGGGTAGTAAGATCAGACGCCCGTGTATATTATTGCACACGAATTTCTGTTTCTTTCACTCTCATCTTTCTATCCATGGTATTTTGTTATGTAATAAACTATTCTAGAAGATCACAACTATCTTCATCCATATAACATGCAGGTAAGATTTGATGACCTGCTATGGAAACATGAGGAAGAAAGAAGGAAGAAAAGGGAAATGCTGAAAGATTTGTCAACTTTGGTAAGTATCGTGAGTATGAGTGAATCTGGTTCATTATAAATATTCCCATTCCATGAATTCAACCAATGTAATGTTCATCAGTTTCCTTAGGCATTTATACTTTGTCACACAAAATGAATGATTCTTCCTTTTTTTTTTTTTTCTCTGTAAGGTGGTAGTTATATATATTGTAAAAAACTTAAACATGCATTTTCTTGCATAATATGGTCGTACTTGATTTTCTAAGAATGTATTTATATAAAGCTACATACATTAACATACACAAATTATATAGTACAGGGCTTTTTTCTGGCAATATGCATCAGTACGTAGTACTGGCACTCTTTTTAGGCATAATTTTTCTTCAGCGCTTATGTAATGGACACACTGTAGTGAAAACCAGCACCATTTTAAAGACACATTGCAGTGAGTACCAACAAGGTGTTATTATCATGTATTCAGTCTTATTTTGATTGATAACTAGTCCAATTTTATGAGCTGCTTCATTTAAGAGAGTCAGTATTTTTACAGTCTCTAGTTCATATTCTCCAATGATATCAATGTCGTCTGCATACCATGTATTCTTATAGTTTCTTCTAAAGTACACTTTTCTTTTAATTTCCTTAAAACTTTCTCTAGGGCCAAGTTGAAAAGAAGTGGGGACACAGCATCACCTTGCTTTAAACCAGATGTTATTTGAAAAGTGTCCAACTTTCTGCCCTAATATATTACTATCTTATGAGTGTCTTCCATACATAGTTTGGTCATGGTGATCAACTTCTTTGGTATTCCAGTCCTTCATAGCATTCCATAAACTGTTTCTAGACACACTATCATACGCATTTTTAAATCCTCAAAAACATTATGTACATCTCTCCTATATTTCCAGTTTCACTCTGCTATTTGCCGTAAAATGAATATCTGATCTATTGTTGATTTCTTCTGTCAGATACCCACTTGGTAATCACCCAATATATCTCTGATGTATGGTTTTAGCCTGTTTAGCAATACCACTGATAGTTTCTTTTAAATTGTAGATCATAGTGATATTCCTCTATAATCTTTTAATTTTTACTCTTCTTTCCACTCATGGCAGCAATTCTATTAACACCAGCTGCTTTATTGTTTTTAAGCCGTGTTATCATATACAGTGCAAGCGGGACATGAATGATACAGGTATTGAGGGAGACTCATGGGAACAAAATGCCATGGACCGTGTTGTGTGGAAAGGGCATATCAGGAAGGGAATGAGACTTTTCTTGACACGGGCGGGTCTTGCTAGTCATATGGGCTATGATTCTCATGTCTCCTCATAGCGCAATATAACATTATCGTCTGGAAAGACGGAAAGGTGCCAATGATGATATCACATATAGTGTTTCTTCAAAATCATGCTCTTTAACACTTGTTCACATGTTATATCTCTTCCTGTGGATAAGTATTTAGTTGAGTTTCTCAGTTTAACAATTCATATAGTGATCCTTTCATCTTTTACATATTTCCTCATTATTATTTATCATGTTCCCATTGTAATCTGTTAAGCAATAAATGCTTTTAATGCTTTGTTTTTGCCCCCGTTTTATAGCCTTCAATTCTTTAAAGAACTTTCTAGATTTGTTGTTCTTATGGTTGGCTTCCATATCCATGACAATGTTGTTCATGCATTCTCACTTTTGGTGCCTAACTACTGTTGTAGCTTCTTTACATTCTATTCTATATTTTTCTTCATTTCATATATTGCTAGTATTTTTTAGCCACATCTGCCTGGCATGCTTTTTTTCTTATTGGCTGCTTCTTCACATTTTTTATCAAACCAGTTGTTCTTTCTGTTTATGGGGCCCACACTAAGACATTCTTCTGCAGTGGTTTGAATTATATTCTTAATATCCATCCAGGTTCGGTCAATGTCTCTTCCTCTGACGAATTTTGTAAAATTTCAATTTTGCATTTTGATTCATCTGCAAATTTCTCTGGTATGGATGTTTCTGACTGACTGACTTTCTACCCCACCAGGACATCACACAAGCGATAAACACCAGATGACACAGTGTGCCACTATGTGGTTGAGGATCCCCGTGGAGAGGTCCCAGAAACCTTGTTTAGCCTTTAGGCCATATTTATGGCCAGGCTATATTGCAGCCCCTCACAAAGCCAGAGTAGGGCTTCAAAGAAAGAAAACTTTTATCCTAAAAAGTACGAGAAGTATTGATGGATGTTTCTTATAATCCTTCTCTATTGTACTCTGGATGTGATCTTTGCAACTTGGTGTAGAAGGATCTCCTAAGCTTGATTTTTAATTTTTGCACCAACCAGGTAATGGTCATATGGCACTCAGCTGCTCTGTAGCTTCTAACTTGTGCGTTCTATGCATTTCTATTATTTATTAAAATGTGATCTACTTGATTATAAGTTATTTTGTCACATGATTAACATGTTTGTTTTTGTATTTCTTTTCTTTGAAATCTGGTGCTGATTATCTGTAGTCCATTAGCTACTGCAAAGTTGATTAATCTCATACATTATCATTTGAATTTGTATGCTGGTTTTCCATGCCTGCTACATTTTTATAGGTGTTTTCCATTCCTATTTTTGTATTGAAATGCATTTAAATCTCATTTTATTTATCTGCTTGCCCAAATAATTCCTGAGACATGCAATTATTATTCCTGTTGGTTTTCTGAAGCTAAAAGTTAATAAGAAAATATTATATATACAGGAAAAGAAACAAACATTAGATGCAATTGACCAACAGCTGCAAACAGAAATGAGTGAACTAACATATAAAATTACCCTGCAGCAGAATGAGGAAATTGAAAAGCTCAGAAAGGTAAATGCTCTTATATTCAAATCTGATTGATTGAAAATTATGCATGATTTCATCAGAATGTTTTATTAGCATCTGCACTAGAGATTTTGGTGTTTCTAGCTGTTTGAGGCTGTGGGTTTTATTTGATTGACTCTTTCATCCACAGAAGATTTTGCTGCTAATAACAACAAGACTGATTCCTCTTTTTCTGCCTGTAAATCTCATTCTCTTTCTTTTGGTGTTTCTCTCTCTTTTCACATTTAACTTCTCTCTTTTCTATTCTGTTTTTTTTCTATTTTCTATGTTTCATAATTTGTTTTGCATGTTCTTTCTTAATAATTTTTTTTTCCAAACTGGATCCCAGATTCCACATGGTGAACTAACCTAATAATTAATCCCTGAAAGATAAACACAGGTTTCACAATTTGTAAAGTTTTTTTTCAATTTATGGCAAGTGAGTAATTATGTTTCTTGTCTCAAATGAATGAAATCAGGAGTTTGCTGTTGGCAAACAAGTGGGAGTTTCAGACATTCTGCAGCATTTTATTGAGGATATAGTTCAGATGGGAACCCTGAATTTTGAGAAAGCAGAGTGGCTTAGGAAAGAACACAAGCGGCAACAGGAAGCAATACACCTCTTATATGATGATGAAATTTCTAGACAGAGAATGAATCTGGAAGACAAAGTCATAAAAAGAAAAGCTCTTGCCTTAGCTAGTGTAAGTATATTTTACATACTGATTCACTATTTTATATGCATTATTCATCTGTTTGTCTTTGTGTATCCATCTCTCTCTCTTTCTCTCTCTGTGTGTTCATGTGTATGTTTGTGTGCATGTATGTGTTTCTCATCAGAGTGGTTTTAATGTTGGAGGGTGTCATAATTGATTAAAATGCTGGCAGAATAATAATAAATATATAGCTGCACTTAAAATTGGAAATTAAGTAGGTTTTTTTGAAAAGATAAATGAGTAAGACATGTGAATATTTTGTCGCTGAATCTTGTATTGTATCTCTGCAGTAAAATAAAAATGATAGAGATCAAAGATTGAGCAGGAATATACATTCTAAGGTTATACCTCAGCAATCTGTGTTATCCGGATGAAATAGTATTGATAGCTGAAATAGGCTGCAAACCCTAGGTGTACCACTTGGAGCTGTGAGACAGAAAAACCACATGGAAGCCACTTGTCGTTATATTAACCAGAGTTGTAAGCCTAAAAACATTGGAGACATACTTACGAGAAGATCAGAGCACTTACGGTCATGTTCGATGAAGTTGATCTTTAAAATGAACAATGAACATTGATAGCTGAAATTACACAAGAACTGTAGCAACTGTTTGGCCACTGTAGAAACAGAAAATGCACATATACATTTATGTTTTTATTTGTTGTTGTTGTTGCTTGTTGAAAAACAGAAACATTTAAATACAGTTGTCTTCTCTCTCCAGAATGAAGATTTGCTACTGTGTAACTATTGCTGTCTTTGAGAGTAGCTACATTGTGATACCCCAGTCTGTTCCGTGGTTCAACTCTCGTACTGCTGTCAAAAAACCTGGGGAAGGTTTTTATCAGAGAAAAATATAACATCAAAATATTATATTAACATAGAACCGAAAAGCTGAACTAAGTTAATACATTTAAAAAAATTTAATATTTGGCAAAAATCAGAACATAAGAAATGAAAAAAATGATGACAAAGATTAAGAGCAGGATAGGTCAGGTAGAAGCTGAATTTCCGAAGATAAAGAATATTATATTATATGTAATAAGTCATTTCCCTGAATTATTTCATCCAACAAAAGAAACAATTGCTAGGCTTCTTAACTTTTGTCCTTATGTCTTTTGGAGTGTCTCTTCCCCAGCTTCTAGTTCTCTTTGTCTCTTTTGTTATTGAACCTCCAATGTTTCAAAAGTCGTAGTTGTTTCTTTCCACTTTATTCTTTGACACTGTGGTGAAATATTGATGGGTTTTCATTTTACATTTTTCTTTTAAAGTTAGGACAAACTGCTATTATTTGTAAATAGTGTTTAATAAATTTTATTTCAGATCACACATAATGAGGCCAGTTTTTTTTTAATGGCTGTGAAATTAGGAGAGTAATTAAAAGAGAGGAAGCCTTATTATACACTTTTGAAATTGAAATTTTAGGACAAATCTTTTGACCAATCAAAGATGTAAACAGCAGGGAATGGAAAGTGAGAAGAAAAAAATTGTTATCTTTTTAAATTACCATTAGAACACTTATCAAAGTGAATACAAGGAACTGTGAAGAGAACAAACTAACAGTAAACATCCACAAGACCCCATCAGCAGACTCAACAGAAAGCAATATACAACAATTTTCCATCTACAAACAGGACACTGCAGGCTTAACTACCACATGCATAAATAAAAGATTGTACATTTCCCACAGTGCCTGTCAAAAGGACCAGAGACTCCTGAGCACATTCTGCAGACCTGCTCACTCTACCTACAACTTTGAAAAGACATCTGGCCTCAAGAGCAAAGTGTGCAGAGCAAGCTATAGGAAACCATGAAGGACCTGCTATTGACATGCGAGTTCATAGAGGCAACCCACCTGATGGTCTGATCTGAGCATATGAAACCGAATGCAAAGAAGAAGAAGAAAATTATTATTGATCAATGGCATCATGATAGCTAATATACTGAAATGGCTGGGGCAAACTGAGAGAATGTCAGATGACAGAGAGGCAAAAACTGTAAATACAAAGGAGCTGATTGTTCGTAGGCAATGAGGGAAGGGAGACTAAGAAGACGGTGAAGAGATAACATTCAGGCACACCTACAAACACTTGCAGTCACCAATTGAAAACAGAGGACCAATCACAGAGATGAGTAGAGGCAGGTGATATCTGCAGCAATGAACCTCAAGGGCTTGGAATGCTGAAGAAGAAGAAGATTACTCACCTTCACTAGTATTCTGTATTTTTCATGATCTCACAGAATGTTTCTATACAGCAAAATGAATATGCTGTCTCAGGAATGTTACTCCTTCATCACCAAAAGATTGCGGCTGTCATCTGAGTAATCAGATGAGTACCAAATATGAATGTTTCTCACATCTAATAAAAAATATGTATTGAATATCAAATACTCCATTCATTTTAAATATAATTGTTTATGATATCATTTAAACAAAGAATATTGTAGCGAGTCATCTTGAAATCTTTTCTTATTTAATGATTTCTTTTAGATGTATATAAGAAAAGTAAAGGTCCCTTCTCCACGCCTTTAGGCTATAGAGCATATAGAGCTGGACCTATATTTTTATAGACCAATCGGCACATGATGGGTGATATTGTCGCATCACGCCGGCCGCCCTTACTTCCTGGGACTACCCCGGTACACACTGACCTGGGATTCAATATCATTTTTTTTTAAAAGTCTCACTCTGGCAGGAAGCGAACCAATTACCTTCCGATTTGCACGCATATAGATGTATATCTTATTTATTTTTGTATTGCACTGATACATCACTATTCTAGGAAATTCAAGCAGATTGTCACACAGAGAGCCTTAACTTGATGATCTCATTACAGACCATGCTGATTACCAACATGAGAAAGTAATCTCATTTTTCTATTATTTTAATCTAAAAATGTAAACACATACTGCTTTTGTACTGAGAATAATGGAAAACTGTTTCACAGATATTGACAAGTTTTTTGGGCTTTTAATGTTTTGAATTCAAAATTTTCCCCTGTACATTGATGATCTGTACATACTGTAAATTATTTGTGAATATTGTCATGATTGTGTCATTTTATGACTTGTATAAATATCCCAACTGATCATCCTTGAAAAAGATAGAGAGAGAAACAACAGCAAAGAGCCAACAATCTAGGGAGGAAACAAAACTGACTGCAGAGCCACATTTTTAGAAATGTATGATGTGCAGGCTTGTATTTTAACATATATGTAATCATAACTACATAGTGCTGTCGCCTAGCCTTTTCAACTTATGTACAGAAACAATTTTTAAAGAAATTGTAGAATTACCAGGACTGCACATCAATGGTAGAATAATAAACAATCTGAGATATGCGGACGGCACAGTGTTGCTAGCAGAGAGTGAACAGGAGTTGCAAGACCTAGTGGAGCAAGTAAACAGAAGGAGTGCAGAATTTGGATTAGATATAAAAGACAAAAACCATGATATTTAGCAAAGAAAATAATCAGCTAACAATGAATATCACAGTGAACGGGGTGAAATTGGAACAAGTTAAAAATTTTTATATCTTGGAAAAGTAATAACATGTGACGGCAGAAGTGAAACAGAAGTCAAGAAAAGAATAGGGATGGCCAAAAACATTTTCACATTCAAAAGTTACGTAAAAGGCATACACGAATACAGAACAAACAACTCATCGTAAAATGTGGATATATACAGAAGATTGTCATGAGAAACAACAGCAAATAAAAACAGAGCAAGTGACATGGACTAGGGAGGAAACAAAACTAGGAAAGGTGCAGAGTTCTACAGAGATGTGGAGGATACAGAAGATGGAGGTGTATGTGGGCAAGAGACAGGGCTTTTATTTTAACATATATGGAGTCATAATTGAGATATCAAGGGGGGTGAGAAGGAGAAAACGATTATAGAGCAAGCAAGAGAGCAAGAGATCCTTATTTAACGTAAACTGTCTGCACAGTTACTTTTATCTTGGAGAATTGCCATGGTCTACTGAGAAAACATTTTTCAGGTTAAGCATCTAGTGACACCAGTAGTATAGTAGCTTCAACAGCAGTGGTAGGAGAAGCAGTAGTAGTAGTTTAATCAATGATATTGTGCCTGTCTCTCTAGCGATTGATTGGCTAAACCGGATTTCGCGGTGTGCGTGACACGAAATAGAGCTCCTTGTGAGTCCGGGATCTTCATTTAATGGGGTGGGCAGAAAAGCCACTTTTCTCCCAGATCTTTAAGTAATTTAAAATGGAATTCTGAGGCCGAATTTTTGCGATATCCATATAGATACCGAGCCTAGTTTTAGCAACTCATATCATTCTGGATACTAAAACAAACAAACAAACAATAAATGATATTCTGTTTACCTCTTTTAGGTTTTAACTATATAAAGAATTCGTCTGTGTGTGCGTGACACTAGTTCTAGTTATGAGTTAAAAGCAGACTTCATATTCCTCGGGACATTCCCATAAGCACTCCCTCCCCATCTTCAGCAGAAAAGTTCAGTACTATAAATTCTATTAACTCTTCTGCATAGTTCTGGAACAATACATTCTATTGACTGTTCTGCATAGTTCTAGCACTATAAATTATATTCATTCTTCTGCTTAGTTCTAGCACTATAAATTATATTCATTCTTCTGCTTAGTTCTAGCACTATAAATTATATTCATTCTTCTGCTTAGTTCTAGCACTATAAATTATATTCATTCTTCTGCTTAGTTCTAGCACTATAAATTATATTCATTCTTCTGCATAGTTCTAGCACTATAAATTATATTCGTTCTTCTTAGTTAGTTAGTTAGTTGGGTTATCCTCATTGCACTCCGGACATGTCCATAGGTGCTCAGATCCTCCCCTCAGTATGAACCCCAACGTCCAATGGCTAATAGTACCAGTTCTATGTTGATTGACAAGTCTTCTGGCGTGTCTGGTGTGCGTCTCGTTTTTTGCTGTGCCGATCTTAATTCCCAAGTCTGCCATTCTGGCGAGTGATGTGGATTCACTGCCACCAAAGTCCTCTATCCTTCCCATTTCTCTGAGGGCATTGATAATATCAGCATGATCCATAGGCTGACCGACGGTAGTGATAGCGGATCCAGCCAACCTGTCAGCTCTTTCATTTTCATCGACGCCTGCGTGTCCCGGAACAAAAATAAAGGTGACTCCACGCACAGTGGACTTCTGTAATGATTCAAGCCATAGTCTTCGCACTGAACATGCCTGAACCCTCCGGATCATACTCATTGAATCACCGAGTATACATACACGGGTGTATTTTTGTGTTTCAAGCCAGGCAAACGCTTGCGTCACTGCCATCACCTCCATCGTCATGCTGCTGGTTGTCATGGAGAAGGCGCCGTTGGCTTCTTTGACTGTTCTGCCCGCTGAGCGTGCTGTAAATGCCCATGCGCTTCTTCTTTGGCGTATAACGGATCCGTCTGTATAGATTATTGCATCTGCTTCGTCTGAATTTTCACCGATGAGAGCGTTGACCTCTGCATTAACAGCAACAGGATTCTCTTCTCTACATCGCCGGTTGAGTGTGACAATACAGGAAAATGTACAAATAAACGCCTGAGGCACAGGTATCCATTCTTCTGCTTAGTTCTAGCACTATAGATTACAAAAGTCAAAAGCAAAGCTGTCAATTACTGCCTTTATTATACAACTTTTGCAGTTTAGGCATGGTAGAGGTGGGGGGGGGGGGGGGTGTCTTTTAAGCCTGAAGATTTACTGCTGCATGGCTAGTTCTGTCGCCATGACTGTACCGGTGAGGATTTTTTTTTGCCTCCAACAGAAAAAATCCCCAGCCTTAAGGAGGATTTCAAACTGGGTCTTCCGCTTAGGAGCCCTTAGGAGCCCAGCGTTCTAACCATTTGGCCAGCCGCTTCTAAATTACACAAGTAATGAACCCTATTCACTCCACTAGCACATCTAGCATCTGATGCTAGACTTATTATAATCCAGTCAGCCCTCAATGGGTGATATGATTAACATCATCCTAGCCGCCTTAATTTTCCAGAATAATACCTGGTACCCATTTCAGGCTGGATTGACCTAGGAACCAACGTTAGTTTTGGGGGCAAAAATCCAACTCAGTGCTGATTAGTCCAAGATCTTTGAGCCAGCAGGTGAGTAACTTGCCACAGTGCTACCATGACTCACTAAAATACTATAGGCTGGGCAAAAGAGTTAACTTACCTAAGTAAGTTGTTTTGTTACAAATATAATTGTTGAGTCCAATATTTCATCATTTTCTTGCCCTAACTTCTTTATTACTCTCCCTAAGCTCCACAAATCACTAGAAGTCGTGTGGGATGCAATTTTTGTTATTTGAAGCCCTACCCTGGCTTCTGCCATGGGCCCTGAATATAGACAAGGCATATATATGGCCTAGCCATAGATATGGTCTAATGGCTGAAAGGGGTTTCTGAGACCTTTCCATGGGTGATCCTTATCCACATAGTGGCCCTTTGTGTCCCCGGGTGTTTATCACTTGTATGATGTCTTGGTGGGGTACAACTACCTATCTACCCTCTTAAGCTCCACATAAGTAATTATGTCACACTGTTTCATTCCTTCGATTACAATATTTTAAGTTTGGTAATAAATTTAATTTGTTTTCTACTTCTGAAGATTTCCTTGTGTTATGAAAAGTTCTCTTCTTAACAGTGTTGATCTATGCAACAGTGCATTATCATAACTCTGAAATTTTAGAAATAATTAATAACAGAGACTTTTTGATTATCTACCCTTTTAGACAGCTGAGTCCTGAAAAAGTTGAAGTGTACTTGAATGAAGCTAAACGTGAGTTCCAAGCAATCAAAGATCAGATGGATAAGGAGAAGGAGTTAAAACAGAAGGACTTGATCAAAAAACATGGTCAGGTCAAAAAGAAGCATTTAGAGGAAAAGGTAATAAATATATTAGTTTTTTAATTTTATTCACAACATTAATGTTTGGTTGTGCTGATATTAAATTTGATTGCAAACTGTTGAGCTAAGTCGACTTTAGAACTCACACTTGGGACATTCTTATAAATACTCTGTCTCTATCTTCAGCAGCCAGTTCAGAGTTTCAAATGCCGAAGGTAGCAGTAGCAGTCTGACGATATTTGGTTAGTTAGTTAGTTGGTTGGGTTATCATCATTGCACTCCGGACATTTCCATAGGTGCTCAGATCCTTCCCTCGGTATGAACCCCAACGTCCGATGGCTAATAGTACCAGTTCTATGTTGATTAACAAGTCTTCTGGTGTATCTGGTGTGCATCTCGTTTTTTGCTATGCTGATCCTAATTCCCAAGTCTGTCATTCTAGCGAGTGATCTGACTATATGTTAAGTGTCACCTACTCACTCTTTTCCCCACCAAACTCTCCAGACCCTGATGATCTATTAACTCTTCTGTATAGTTCATCTGCTTCCAAAAATCCTTTACAGCATTCACTTTGTTGTGAAACAGTTCAGTGATGCAGAACCAGCAAACTGTGTGCTTCATTTTCCAACACAGTAGCTTGCCCTGGAGAAAAGATCCAAAGGACGTTAGGGAGTCCGACATGTAGGATGCAGAGGTGCCAGAAGAGGAAATTTGTAACTGATGTTGTGTGTGTGAAAAATTTTATTTATGCATAGAGAGAGAGAGCTGTGGCATGACTACAATTTCTCACTGCAATTATTTATTAATCTTTACAATTTATAGAGCCATACATTTTGTTTTTTGTTTGTTAATCTTTTGCAAAATCTTCTGAGACTGAGAGAATTAAAAACCTTCCACTAATTCAGACCATGTTTAATGTTTAAAATAGCTGGTCTCTTTCTACTGCATTCTCTTCCACTAGATCAATGAACATGCACATGAACTGAAAAGATATTAGTTCACAGAGTAAAACTAAACAAGCGGAGGGTCCAGTTGGTAAGTTTGATCATTGCTTCAGTCTTCTTTTCAGCTTTATCTTCAGCTTGTAAATATTTTATCTCAAACACATTTGATTCCACAGCATTTAGTTATCATGATTTGAGTCCCCACCTTGTTATTCATGTTACATTCTCCTCTTCTTCATGGAAAAACTCTTGCTAATTTACATGCTCCTTGTATGTCTTATTTTCACTTACTGTTTCAATCTAAATTTCATTGTCATCAAAGCCTCTTAATCTAAAGGTCATGAGGGTTTTCCCAGGTTTTATCAGTCTTCAAGTTGAATATAATTTAAGTTCTTTTAGAAGACAGAAGATAATATTTTTTGCTGAATCCGTCTCTGACTCAGGTAACCTTGCTTCATCTCATAGAGTTGACAGTTTATAATTTTATAATCTTATCCTCTTATCCCTCACTTGTCTGTCATTCCCATTTCTGTTTGTGTACCCTTCCCTTGTTCTGTCTATCTCACTAGTGTCTTTCCTATAGAGATGTTTCTTTGTCCCTTACCCAGAATCATTTTTCTTTCTCATCAGTGTTCCTCTCACTGTGGGGAAATATGGAATTATGTCATATACCAATAAAAATAATAAATATTATTAAAGCATTCAGGTTCAGAGTGTACAATTCGAACGTTATTTCAGTTTTAACATATACTAGTGAAAGTTGGAAAACCACTTAAGACATGGAACAAAGAATCATGTAGACAATGTCATAGTTAGAGCCAGGAAAGGTCTGACGGCACTGAAGTCAATGGCATATGCCGACATTGAAAAACGACTACTGTGCCTGCTTTATCAGGGGCTTATATTAAATGTTAAAGAATATGGTCTGGGCCTCCTCACTGTAAGCAGAACCCAGCTTGAAAGACTGGACAGGGTACAAAATGAGGCCATGAGACTCATACTCGGCTGCACAAATGACACCTCATGCCAAGCCATAACCTGGGTTTACCAACGATGGCCACCAGACATAAAGTGGCATACTTAAAAGAGTACATGAGGATATCAGCAGATATCAACCACCCACTGCACAACGCTATCAATGATATGAAAGGATTGTTGAATCTGTAATACTGATGACATGTGTGACTGTGTTTACAGTATTCATTTTGTTTCAATTGTTACTTGTTTGTTCTGAAATACTGATAAGTATTTAATTAAATTTGCAGTTTTCAGTTGTGATTGATTTCTGATGTCATTTTCTCATTACTTGATAGTAAGTGTTTTTTTTTTCTGGTTTTCCTAGAAGATTTCAGTTTTGATTACTTTCCTTGCAGTGTTCATTATTTCTGGGATTTTCCTATGTATTTTCATGTTTTTTTTTTGCTGCTATCATAAGGTTGTCAAAGAGCTAATACAGTGTATTTCTGTATTTGTTATAGTCACAATATCTCTGGTGTACATTATGGTATGTAAATGGTCTTTACAAATGCATAAATACTTGCACACCCAAAAGTACACTGCGGCATACGTGGCTTAGGCGTTTCGATCCTGACTCGTAATTCCAACATACCATGATCGAAACCCACTGCTGGCTGCGTGAATTTTTATCGTGGTATGGGGCGTCGCAGGTCGACCCAGCCTAAAATGTGTACCAGGATGGCTGTCCTGGGGAAGTAAAGATGGCCAGCATAATGCTGACTTCATTACCCAACTAGTGTCGATTGGTCTGTAAAAATATGGGGTGCTCTTCCCATATACTCGATGCGCCTAAGGGGTTAAAAAGGAAATTTACTTTTTACTTTTACAAAAGTACACTTGCATACATTTGACACGCACACACACACACATGCACACACGCATGCATGCACCTGCACACACACATGCATGCACCTGTGTCTTCACACATACACACACACATCCATATACAAACACATGCATACAAATGTATATTAATTTTCAAGAGGTCTGTTTGTCTTCACAGATCCAGTCTTGTATGTGGATGGTTTGGTGAAGCTGAAATCCCAGCATCGGCAAGAGCTTTTTGAGATAGATAATAAAATTGATGAGCTTCAGGCAAAGGAACTTGAGGTGGTTAGAAACCAGGTCGCAGAGAATGCAAAACAAAAACTAATGGCTGTTGAGAAAACTCTTGTGAACAAACTACAATCTGAAGGTATAGTTGCTCTTGATATAGTTGCTCTTGATGTTCATCCACCACAGTTTGTCAGTCATTTTGGTGGTCTTTAGAAATTAAAACAGTCAGATTCCCATGTGAGTTCATGGATTTTTTTGGCGGAAAAGGGGGCGGGGGGATGGGGAGATATGCCCTCTGTCATTTAACACAATGTCACAAAAATGACTAAAGAAGGGCTTTCTTTAATCAGTGTGTTGAGTCAAATGACATTTGCAAAGGCCCTCCTTCCTGGCATCGTGCCTTCTGCTATTATTTGTTCAAATTCATGACCAACATATTTTGCAGATGAGATGCGGTTTATTAAACAATCTTCCTTGATTTTTAGATCTTTTAAAATGTAAGTATTTCTTTTCTTCTTTGTCCATATATAGCATATCTATAGCATATCAGCTTATATGCCCATATTTTCTTTCTTAACTACTGTAAGATTGTCTACGACTCACATTCGTATGTTGCTACAGGGAAGATGCATGCTTTCACAATATTAATTTTGAATTCCTTGCTGGTTCTTAACCATATACTTTAAATGCTGTTTAATATTTGCATTTCTGTGGCCATCCTCATTTTGATTTCTGACAGTCTCCATTGCTGTTTATTATAGAGCCTAAATATTCAAAGTTTGTTATTTTTCAATTTGCCAGAAAAAATGTTCTATTTTCCATCCTTCTCATTTCTGGCCGAATGATTGTTGTTCTTCTGATGTTCTGGGAGACAGCCAAATTTGACTGTGGACATTATTTTTGTTTTCAGAATACTATGTTGTAATTTTTACTCACAATATCATTAATTTTAAAAAAATGCATTCAATGACAGGTATGCAGAGAGATGTCATTGACAAACTTATTTCTAACACCACAAGCAGAGCTCATAAGAAAGAGGTTGAAAAGGTGGCATCCAGACAGTTGACAGACAAACATCCTTGCAGCATGCTTTGAGATGAAGCCAAACAGTGTTGCCCACTTAACTGTTTTGTTTGAGACCAGACATTAGCCTGCTGTGTTACAGAAACTAAAACAACAATAATCATAAAAGGAATAAACTAAGGGTGCTCTAGTTTTCAAAGAAAATAGTTTTCTGTTCACTTTGTTAGCAGTGTCCTCATGAGCAGCAAAGAACTGTGCACAGCGTACCCAACTTCTGCACTTATTGGTAGATAATCATTGTTGGTCTGCTGTTCTAAACATCATACAATTCCCCTATGGCTCAACAGGGAATTAAGGACAGGAATTTCTTGGGATTGGCCATCCCATCTTTATCCTACTAAAAAACAACCTTTGAGCCTTTGCTTTTGATGTTCATAAAGGGTTCCAGAATTTCTTTTTTGAGATGGTGGAGGTGGTGGCACTTGATCTTTAGATGTCTGATGTCTACAACTAGAGTCGGATATATTATTTACATTATTTTTGAAGGAATTCTTCACCTAGTGTGGTGTCCTACTGAGAGGGACAGAGGGTCTAGTTTTGGCTCAACTAAGACATACAAAATATAATCAATGCTTTTACAAAAGTCCACAATAGAGCTACTTTTGGAAGCTTGAAGCCCATGCAAATCTGACCTCTAGCAATTCTCCTAGGCCGTAGAGGAACAACAACTCCGATTTGCGCGTTACAAGAGCCATTGTTCACTTCACAATTTTGCATTGGCCATTTTTGGCGTCAAAATGTCTGCTGTTGGGGCATAAATCACTAAGTTGATGAATGAGCAAAAAGGATCTTTTCACACAAGCTTTTGAACCCACCTACCACCCCACCCGACATAATTCTATGAAGAATTTCACTAATTTTGCAAATTTATCTGGCCAGCTTTGAATTCATGTAAACTGTTTCTACCAAACTTTTCAAGTAGCTGGATGACGGTCGGGTACAAGAACATTGATACCCTACCTAGACTGAATCCCAGTACGTCGTTATAACTGTAAGAGAAGATGGGATTAACAGCGGTGGTTTCCCCTTGACTTCGCTTGGCCACATTGTCTGAAGAGACCCTAATGCAAGGCATACCAGGTGGGAGAGGTTATTATGGCCAAAACAATGGCCATGTCGTAGAGTTTTGAGGTATTTTATAGAGTAGGTCCCACCAACTAACTCTAATGCTGTCCACCTTATTCAATATATTCGTGGCTAACCTCTATATCTAGAGGCCTGTCCACCATCCGCCACCTGGTGAACGCGCCTAGTAGTAGGAACAGGAACCAGGGCTGTTTATTATAGAACCTAAATTTTCAAAGTTTGTTATTTTCAATTTCTTAATTTTTTGTTGTTATTTCTGGGAGACAGCCAAATTTGACTGTGGACATTATTTTTGTTTTCAGACTACTATGTTGTAATTTTTACTCACAATATCATTAATTTTAAAAAAAAAGCATTCAATGACAGGTATGCAGAGAGATGTCATTGACAAACTTATGCAGACTCATAAGAAAGAGGTTGAAAAGGTGGCATCCAGACAGTTGACAGACAAACAGCAGCAGGAGATGAAGCTCAAGGTTTGGCCACTTAACTGTTTTGTTTGAGACCAGACATTAGCCTGCTGTGTTACAGAAACTAAAACAAACAATAATCATAAAAGGAATAAAACTAAGGGTGCTCTAGTTTTCAAAGAAAATAGTTTTCTGTTCACTTTGTTAGCAGTGTCCTCATGAGCAAGCAAAGAACTGTGACAGCGTACCCAACTAAACATGGCTCAACAGGGAATTAAGGACAGGGTTTTCTTGGGATTGGCCATCCCATTCTGTTAAAAAAAACAAAAGCTTGAAACCTTTGCTTTTGATATTCATAAAGGGTTCCAGAATAGAAAGGAGATGGTGGAGGTGGTGGCACTTGATCTTGTGGATGTCTACAATAGAGTCGGATATATTATTTACAATTTTGGTTAAATTCTTCACCTAGTGTGGTGTCCATCTACTTTCAATTAATCATCATTTTACAATGAACTTGTTGGATGCTTGAGGCAACATCATAATCTAGCCATTGTGAATATCAGTGAAATATAACAGTGCTTTAGTCATTTTTCATTTTTTGCATTGTGAATGAGAATGAAAAAAAGTCTGCGCACAAGCTTGTCATTAACAATGTCTATCTATGCAGAACTGTTAACATTGTCTGGCCATCTTTAAATATCATCACATAAACTCCAACATATAAGAGAAATTTCACAGACACATAGCGCAAGCAGAAATGAAGAATAAAACAAAGAGAAACGAAGGATCATGGCACATCAGTCCAAATGAATTAAACAGTAGGTCCAAAATGTAGAACATCTCTCTTGGAATCATTCCTTGTGACCATGAACAATGTCTTTGTGAATTAAGTTCCTTATGTTAGAAGGAACAAAGTCTTTATCATTCTCTTGTAAGTGCTTAATCACTCCCTGTGAATGAAAATCTTTAATCATTTTCCTCAAAAGAAATTGCTTTATGAACAAAAGCAGTGAACAATTAATCCATTTCCTTGTGAATGAACAATTTCTGAGAAGATACAATGTCTTTAATCATTCCTTGTGAATGAACAATGTCTTTAATCATTTCTTGTGAATGAACAAAGTCTTTAATCATTTCTTGTGAATGAACAATGTCTTTAATCATTCCTTGTGAATGAACAAAGTCTTTAATCATTCCTTGTGCATGAACAAAGTCTTTAATCATTCCTTGTGAATGAACAATGTCTCATTCTCTAATGAACAATCTTAGTATCATCCTTGTGAATGAACAATGTCTTTAATCATTCCTTGTGAATGATGAACTTTAAATTCAAAGTCAATGTCTTTAATCATTCCTTGTGAAAGAACAATGTCTTTAATCATTCCTTGTGAATGAACAAAGTCTTTAATCATTCCTTGTGAATGAACAGTGTCTTTAATCATTCCTTGTGAATGAACAAAGTCTTTAATCATTCCTTGTGAATGAACAATGTATTTAAATCAGTGAATGAACAAAGTCTTTAATCATTCCTTGTGAATGAACAAAGTCTTTAATCATTCCTTGTGAATGAACAAAGTCTTTAATCATTCCTTGTGAATGAACAATTTCTTTAATCATTCCTTGTGAATGAACAATGTCTTTAATCATTCCTTGTGAATGAACAATGTCTTTAATCATTCCTTGTGAATGAACAATTTCTTTAATCATCCCTTGTGAATGAACAATGTCTTTAATCATTCCTTGTGAATGAACAATTTCTTTAATCATTTCTTGTTAATGAACAATGTCTTTAATCATTCCTTGTGAATGAACAATGTCTTTAATCATTCCTTGTGAATGAACAATGTCTTTAATCATTCCTTGTGAATGAAAAATGTCTTTAATCATTCCTTGTGAATGAACAATGTCTTTAATCATTTCTTGTGAATGAACAATTTCTTTAATCATTCCTTGTGAATGAGCAATGTCTTTAATCATTCCTTGTCAATGAACAATGTCTTTAATCATTCCTTGTCAATGAACAAAGTCTTTAATATCATCAGTGTATCTTTGCAGAGGGCAGTGGTGGCGAGATGCTTGCCTGCTGGCCCAACAGATTTGAGTTTTAATCTGCATCAAGATGGATATTTATCTTCTTCTGAACATTCAACGGCTGTAAGCTCAGCTCAAAAGTTTTAGTTTTTCATTCACTTCTGGATTTTAATCTTGTTCCAGAACTTGGGTTTAGCTATTTTACAAATCTGGCTTATTTATAAGCAGACGGTTAGTTTCCCACCTCTCAGGCAGATGCACTCTAGCTTTAAAGGAAACAACCCTAATTATTTGACCAGCCGTGGAACCCACACTGGGAGGATATTTATAAATTGCCTAGGATCCCAGGTCAACCCAGCCTAAAATGAGTACCAGGACATCAGTGTAATAATGTCAAGGACTTGCCTACTGCACTACTCGCAATAGCTTACATGCAGCTGTCAGGACAGGCCTTGTGTCCACACACAAAACCATCAGGCACTGGTTTTTTTTACAATATCTGACGATCAGTAATTGACCTGAAAGGTTGCTGAAAGGTCTCGGGTAGTTAGCATCCTTTGGATATTTTCTCCAGGTTATGCCAGTGCGAAATGAGCCAGTTCTGCACCACTTGGTGGTGAACTGATGTATGACAAGCTGGATGTTGTGAGGGCCTTTTGGGAACGAGTGAACAGTGCTGAGGAATGGATGGATCGTTACGGCCTGAGGAGAATGGCACTGCCAGGAGTTACAAGGGGATCTGGCTGACGCTCGACACTCAGGGGATAGGCGAGAGGGATATACAATCAGTTACTGGTACCATCAGAATTTTAACTCTTCGCTTGCTGCTGAAGATGGGGACGGAGCACTTATGGGGGTGTCCAGAGTGCTGTGATGTTGATTCTTAATTCAACATTCATAATTCAACATTCAACAAGTTGCTCGTTTTACATCTACCCCACCACAACCTATACGGGGTGCTTTAAATCACCATCCACACTTGGGATCTCATGGTGCATCCAGTGTTACAGGGTCCAAGACAAGACCTCTCAAACAAGCTCCCATTTCTGGGCCCCAGTACTGCAAGCTCAACTGGTGCACCCCTGCATGACAATATGACTGGGCTAGGATAGTAAAGGTCACTGAATTCACAATATTGGCACTGGACCAATAACAGCTCTTATTCCCCCCCCCTCCCCCCTCTGTACATCCACATGGAATGGCATGATAGTGATACTGATATACTCTTATAATATTTTTTTAAAACCTTAAGCTACTTACTTTTACCCAATCAAAAGTTAATTCATTAGATAATCTATCTGTCTGTCTGTCAGAAATAAATCTATCACACAAAAAGCTATCACACAATTACTGACTAAACTAACAAGCACATTCTATGAATCCATCATTACACTTTTACACCTGGCTGTCACTAAAAAGTAACTCCTGAGCCATCATGAAACTATGCTATTAAACAACTTTATCAGTCATCTAACATTAAGTCTGTCTCAGTCCAAGTTCTCCAACCAGCTGTCCTTTATTTAACCAGCGAATCCTTTTTCTCCCATGTGTTCTATTGTTTCAAAGTGTCTCTCATAGAGTTTACTCAGTCAGTCTCACATTTTGCTAATCGGCATCTGTGTATCGTGAACTCCTGGCCGCCTAGTGCTTGTCAACCAGTCACTGTCATCATATGCATGCACACATAGCCACACAGGGTCCTGACTAATAACAAATGCACATTTGTATTACTTTCACATGTGTTTCATTGCAGAATAGCAGCCTGCACTTTGTAATCAATTTTTCTTATTTTTTGAACTATTTTTAGAATGAATTAGCCAGGCGGAAAAGAGAGCTAGAAGAGATGAGAGAAAGGGAGAAAAAGGAGCAACAGGAAGTGAGAGAACGTGAAACAGTCATTTTAAAGTGAGTGTGTTGTACATACAATTTAAATCAGACAATATTTTTAAATATTAAATAAACTGTTATAGTTAATACAATAATATAAGCATATGCTAGCCATTTATAAAAAATTTTACTTTGATGTTGGTAAATTTATCATTATGTAAATAGTTGATGTATGTTTATGTTTATTCAACGTATCAACATCATGGCACTTGAATGTAACCCATAAGTGCTCCGTTCTTCTTCTAACTCAAGCCAGAGTCTCAAGAATCTCAGTTCAGTGCACGAACTCTGTTGCACCAGCAAGGATCGTGAAATAATTTGGGTAGATTTTACACTCCAAATTTTGCAGTGCCATTAGGCTACTCTTTTCGATTTCCAGCCGCCAATGGATTTTTTTTATGAGAGCAACAATACACATGGGCATCCGGTCTTACTACCCAGAGACCAGAAGAAATTACTAGAAGTCCACGTGAAAAAAATCCCAGCCCTCACCGGGGCTTGAACCCAGGACCTCTAGCACTCAAAGTGGACACCATGCCTCGAGACCATGCAGCTTCCCCCCCCCCCTCCCCCAGTTAATGTAATGTTCCTGTAAAGAAAACTGAGTAAATGGATTAAAGTGATTAAACAATTTCTTATTAAATGAGATTTTTTGAGGGACTTGATGTTTGAAGTGTAGCACCCTTAAAACTATTAAAATAACGGTAACTTTATCCGTTTTCATTCTGTTACTAGAAAACTACTGTCCTGTCAAGTAGCCATTTCTGACGAACAACATGAAAAGATCCTCAAAGAACATGAAAAACAGTTGGTTGAACTGGAAAATAGGTAAATGGTACTTTCATTGTTTTTTTGTTTTTTTTCTAATGAGTTAGATAAATCTATTGTTTTAGACTTTAACCACTACAGTGAAATCATCATTCACTGAAAATTGCTGACCATGGCTTTGTTCTGCTCCTGCACAAAGGTAAACAGAACTAGCTCCCCTTTTTCTGTGTACCTCATTTGTTTAGACTGTGCTGTAATAGATACTTTGTTGTGGGCACCGGCACTTTTTGTTTACACGCTTTATGGTGAGTATTATCATTTTGTGTGTGTTTGTGTGTGTGTGTGTGTTTTGAAAGAGGCAGAAAACCCAAAAAAACTTATCAGAGAAATCAGAAGGAGACAGTTATTTTTTTTCGGTGATGTTATAAGAAGAGGGAAAATGGAACATGTTGCAACCACTGGAAAGATCTGTGGAAGGAGGGATAGGGGAAGACAATGAGAGAAGATTCTTTACAGTCTTTTTGCATGGCATGGAGGTGTGTCGGCACACAAACTGATACATGCTGCAAGAGATCGCAGATTGTGGAGAGGCATGCTCGCACACGCCAGTCGGCAAGGCACCTGATGATAGTGTGCGTATGCACATGCCTGTCTGCATGTATGCCTGCGCGCAAGCGTGTGTATGTGTATGGCGGGGGGGGGGGGGGGAGGGGGGAAGCTCTGCAGATGATCATACACTTTGTGTACTTACTCAACATCAGACATGGAGCTAGTATGTTTGCTTTTCAGCCTGGTAATCATACGTTTGAATCTCTGTAAAGGTTAAGATTATTTTATTTTTAAATATGAACCTGGGCTCCCAGATCAACCACACCTGTAACTGGTACTAGGAAATTGTCTGGGAAGTAAAGGAAAGTAGCATATCATCTGCAAAGGCAAATCAGGTCCTAGACAAAACTGTGTTTGAGACAAAAAGATAACTATTTCTATCAAGGCAAAGCTCATAAGAAACATTTTTTGTGGTCAACATTATGTTACCATTGTCAAATATCTACCTTAACTCTTTGAGTCCCAGGGGGTTTAGCATCACAGGTCCAGGGAGTAGTAAAGAAAGTAATAAAATTGGCGCATCATGCGTTCATTGGGCTTCTAGGTAGGAACATATGAACGTATGATGCGTTCCTTGGGACTCAAAGAGTTAACTAAAACTTACAAAAGAAAAATCATAACAACACAGAAGAAATGTTTTAGTGAAGCTGCTGGGGTTTAAAAACAAAATTAGAAAAAAAAAAAACTAAGAAAAAAAATTAGAATTAGGTTAGTCCTGAAATCAGTCATAAGAGTACAGTTTGCTTACAGAACAAGAGATCAAATGGTTTGGTTGTTTTAACAAAAATAAATGTCATGGCACTAACTGCCACAGAGAGCCACGTTGAAGAAGTATAATAAGCAGAGAGCAAGATGAGAAAGACCATGTAAAGAATGGAGTAATAGCATAAAGAACAACTTAAAGGAAATGAACATAAATTTTCGCAGGTCTATGAATTTTGACATTTTTTTTTAATCTGATGATATGTTTTTGTTTAATTCTGTTATAGTTTTTAGGGAAAAAAGGAATTCAGTAGGGGTTATGTTTAAAAAGGCACAGTTTAAAAAAACAAACTCTTCACTCACCATGGTTTTACAGCCACAAGAGCAGTGAATACCCAAATTTGAGAAAAACACTTTTAAGTTTGTTCAATTTTCTAATAGATGCAAAAGTTATGATAAGTTTCTGGGTTAGTTTATCAGAAGCTTTAGGTTCTCGTAGGGTGCTGAACAAAATTTGAAGAATAACGTGGCAGAAAATGGACAATTACTTTGTACAGTTATATACAGACTGTAGCTACGATGTATTCAATGCAGCTTAGCCATAGTATGGTACTGTTTGAAACTGTTCTTTGGATTCATGTGTAGGAGGCAACTATCACATCCTTCACAAATGAACTGGGTCCTCTTATGTTTGCTTCATCAGAAGTGTTAGATTCTCTAACAGTTGACTGTTCAGCTGCCAGTGGTGTAAATTCACCATCTGAATCACTTACCGAAAAATGTATGTTTTCAATATCATTATCACAATCAAAAACTTTTAACTGAAACAATTTCAGACCACAGAATGGTGCATTTTACAACCTTCGCTTGTGTTTGGAACATTGGTATCCTTGGCCAGCTGAAGACGAAAACAAAAAAATTCACTGTCTTAAAATGACGCTAGCAATGAACTGGATAGATTTGTGCCTAAATGTGTGAACAAAGACTTGTAACTGAAAGTAAAATTATTAGAGTAACCTTCCATTAATATTTAATAAAATGATGCTAGCAATGAATTAGATAAATTTGGGCCTAAATGTATGAACAAAGACTTGTAAATGGAAGTAAAATTATTGGAGTAACCTTCCATTGATATTAATAAAATGATGCTAGCAATGAATTAGATAAATTTGGGCCTAAATGTGTGAACAAAGACTTGTAAATGGAAGTAAAATTATTGGAGTAACCTTCCATCAATTTTAATAAAATGATGCTAGCAATGAATTAGATAAATTTGGGCCTAAATGTGTGAACAAAGACTTGTAACTGAAAGTAAAATTATTGGAGTAACCTTCCATTAATATTTAATAAAATGATGCTAGCAATGAACTGGATAAATTTGTGCCTAAATGTGTGAACAAAGACTTGTAAATGAAAGTAAAATTATTGGAGTAACCTTCCATTAATATTTAATAAAATGATGCTAGCAATGAATTAGATAAATTTGTGCCTAAATGTGTGAACAAAGACTTGTAAATGAAAGTAAAATTATTGGAGTAACCTTCCATTAATATTTAATAAAATGATGCTAGCAATGAATTAGATAAATTTGGGCCTAAATATGTGAACAAAGACTTGTAAATGGAAGTAAAATTATTGGAGTAACCTTCCCTTAATATTTAATAAAATGATGCTAGCAATGAATTAGATAAATTTGGGCCTAAATGTGTGAACAAAGACTTGTAAATGAAAGTAAAATTATTGGAGTAACCTTCCATTAATATTTAATAAAATTAGTTAGTTAGTTAGTTGGGTTATCCTCATTGCACTCCGGACATGTCCATAGGTGCTCCTATCCTCCCCTCAGTATGAACCCCAACGTCCGATGGCTAATAGTACCAGTTCTATGTTGATTAACAAGTCTTCTGGCGTGTCTGGTGTGCGTCTCGTTTTTTGCTGTGCCAATCTTAATTCCCAAGTCTGCCATTCTGGCGAGTGATGTGGATTCACTGCCACCAAAGTCCTCTATCCTTCCCATTTCTCGGAGGGCATTGATAATATCAGCATGATCCATAGGCTGACCGTCGGTAGTGATAGCGGATCCAGCCAATAAAATGATGCTAGCAATGAATTAGATAAATTTAGGCCTAAATGTGTGAACAAAGACTTGAAAATGAAAGTAAAATCATTAGAGTAACCTTGCCTTAATATTTTAATTGTACTTCCAAAAATTAAAAGCAAATACCGAGCAGTATTCAAATCAATATGTACGGGAGACAGTCGATGCAGACTGTGTGGTTTGGTCAGATCGGAACTTCTCCATCAACACACACAGCATTGCTCAGGCCTAAAAGAGTTAAAAAAGGCACATGATAAATTCTTTCATTTCTCCAATACTTCATTGAGATAACTGGAGGAACATAAGAAAAAGAAATAGAAGATAACTTACATGTGTATTTTGTCGTTCTCCAGTAAAATTATATCACATGACACATCTGCACAAAATGTATGGAATAATTACTTTGATACCCTGGACCATCTCTTTATTATGTGATATATGATAATCCCAAAACTATTGAAAATAACTAATACAATAACTTCGAAAAAGTTTGTTTTAAACACAAAACTGTAGTTGTGTTTTCCTGTTCAAGAAGCTGTTTAGTTTCTCAAAGCATTTTAAACAAGAACTATGGCTTTGTTTAATGTCCATTTCAGTTTGACACTAAACAGGCTGAAACAAAAGCGCCTTCTGGAAGAAAAAATTATCCAGAGAAAAGCACAACAGTTGGAAGAACTACAACAAAAACAGAGTGCTGAACTTGCTGTAAGTTTACTCTCGGCTGTTTATCTTTCTCTGGTTAATGATGCTTTTCTACTTATTCTGCATTAACCCTCAAAAGGGGGTTGTTTTATGGTTTACAGCTAGGCTGCAGTATCTGTGCCTTTCAGCCCAACACATCTGATTTTAATCCCTAATTAGTCACATTCTTACTGGGTGGGCGTGGCTTATTCTCCCCCGTCACCCCCCCCCCCCCCCCCCCCCCCCCCCCCCCCCCCCCCCCCCCCCCCGAAAATCAGACCACGGGAGGTGAAAATCATGATTCAGTGTTGTCATATACTGATATTCTATATTCTAGCAGCAGTTTAGTGAGTAGAAAACAAATTCCACACATTTCAGCATCTCAGTATAAATAGTGGGTAAGAAACCACTTCGGTAACTTTGAGAATATTCATTCTTCAGTCTACAAGGCTTAGAATAAGAGAGACTAGTCCCATGGACCCCTGCAAATGAGAACCTTCAGTTGTCGAGACTTAGAAGCAGAGGAGCCAGCCACATGGAGCCTCAAAGATAGTTATAAGAGAGGAGATATGAACGAGATATTGAACTACAGAGACAATAGACAAGATACATGGATCCATGGTTAACAGACACATCAGATAGAAACTCTATTGATATGTCAGAGTTGATGATTAGGCCCTTAGTACCAGACAATACTAGAAGCCAGGTGGCAGTTACAGACACTAGAACCAGTTAACGTGTTGAATGTTGAATTAGGATTTGACATCACAGCACTAGGGACACCCCCATAAGTGCTCCGTCCCCATCTTCAGCAGCAAGTGAAGAGTTACAATTCTGATCATCATCATCAGTTCTCGTTATGCCTAGTGGCACATGAGGCTTCAGAGAGGACTTTCCATGCTTTCCTGTCCTGTGCAATCTTCAATGCAGTTTTCCATGTCAAAGATGCCACACTCTGGTCACTTTCCATCGTTCGTCCCCATGTTGTTTTTGGGCGCTCCTGTTTTCTCTTTCCCTCTGGTGTCCATGTGAGAGCTGTTTTGGCAGGTATATCAGAAGTCATTCTCATAACGTGGCCAAGCCATTTCCATCTTCTCTTGGTAATCATACTGTCTAAAGTTTCTTGGTTTGTGGCTTGAAGTAGTTTAGTGTTTTAGATTGTATTTGGCCAGAAAATTTTGATAATTCTACGTAGACATGTGTGGTGGAAGGTGGACAGCTTGTGTGCATCCTTTTTGGTCATTCTCCAGTATTCCGCTCCATAGAGAAGAACTGGCAAAATGATGCTCTTGTAGAGTCGGAGTTTGGTTCCTCTGCAGTAATTGTAGGATTTCCAGATTTGCCTCATCCTTCCAAAAGCAGCTCTAGCTTTGTTCAGACGTGACTGTATGTCTTCCTCTGTCCCTCCCAGTAGGGACACCACACTGCCAAGATACGTGAAATGTTCTACATTTTCAAGTGATTGGTTACTTATGGTCACTGGTTGTTGGTTTGGACTGTTTGTCATGATCTTAGTTTTCTTTGTATTTATTCTCAGTCCCACCATTTCTGCTGTGCAGTTTAGTCTGTTACTTTTCTCTTGTATATGTTCATGTTTATGTGATAGGAGTGCTATATCATCTGCAAAATCAAGGTTCTCAAGCATGGTGAATGGAGTCCATCGTGTGCCTCTTAATGTCCTGTCTACTGTGTTCTTTAGTATCCAATCAATCACAAGGTTGAAGAGAAGAGATGACATAACACATCCCTGTCTTACACCCGTCTTTACTGGGAAAGATGTATTGTAATTTTTTATACTGCAGGAAAAGTCTTTATAGAAGAGAGCAATTATGTTGACTATTTTTTTCTGGAATTCAATAATGTCGTAAAATTTTCCACAGACCGTCTCTATGGACGCTGTCAAAAGCTTTCTCAAGTCCACAAAATTAATATATATACTTCTCTGCCATTTGTTGCATTGTTCTAAAATGTTCCGTATGGCGAAGATGTGCTCAGTTGTTCCTCTACCCTTTCTGAATCCTGCTTGTTCCACTCGTAGGCATTTATTTACTCCTTTTTCAAGCCGCGTTATGATGATTTTATAAAATATTTTGCTTGGTACTGAGAGTAGAGTAATTCCCCTCCAATTATTGCAGTCTGTTAAGTCTCCTTTTTTTGGGATTTTGACTATTGTTCCTTCAGTGCAGTCATCAGGCAACACTTCTTTTTCCCAAATATCCTTGAACAATGGTTCTAGAATGCTAGCAGTTGTGTTGGGATCTACTTTGAGAAGTTCTGCTGACAATTCGTCTTTGCCTGGTGCTTTGTTGTTCTTTAAAGTGTGGATAGCTTTAAGGATTTCTTGTTTGCTTGATGGTTCAGTAATAATGTCAATGTCCTGAGAGGCTGGTTGAATTTCTGGTGTATTTTCAGGATCAGGTCTGTTAAAGAGGTCGGAGAAGTGTTTAGTCCACTGCATGTCTTGTTTTTGTTCTGTGGTGAGCAGTCTGCCTTGGTTATCTCTGATGGGTATGCTACAATTCTGATGGTACTAGTAACTGTCTGTATATCCGTCTCACCTTTGCCCTGAGTGTCAAGCATCGGCCACATCCCCTTGTAACTCCTCGCAGTGCCATTCTCCTAGGTACGATGTCAATATCCACAAAGACGACCACTGTGCTACATTACATTTTTTGTATTTTAATTTAAAGCATTGATGTTTTTGTTGTTGTTCTGTGTTGTTTTAGAAAATGAAGAAAGTGGCTGTTAACAATGGAGAAGAAGATGATGAGGAAACATACAGAAAGGAAATGATGCTGCTTAAAAAACATACAGAACAACAACTAGCACTTGCTCAGGGTTTACAGTTAAACATTGAACAGGAATTGAAAGATGTAAGTTTATATACTCATTATTTATCACATCATAATATTATTAGACTTTCAGGACAAGATGGAATTGTTTTTAACTGCCTGTTAATGTGGTCCAAAATAACACAAGAGGTCTATTCTTTCAAGATTTTTGCAGGTGTTACAAAGTTTTTTCATGCATCTGAACTGAAACCATCTTGACAATAGGTAAAGCAGCATGCAACAGCTTCGGTGTATTTGACGTCATCATGTTGGAAGGGTTCAAGGGTTTTGATGAGATTGATAAGACCCACAGAGGTAAGCGAGGAGGACAAAAAGAACTTCAGGTGAACAAAAATTATATTGGCATACATGAACACTCTACAGAACACCAAAGATTAGTAAACCAACCTATAACAGGTGTTATCAATTAACACATGCTGAGGAATATAACATAACATAATCCTTGACCCATTAGTGGTGTGGAGGTCTATTGATGGAGGCACTAGCACATTTAACCTGCCATCTTTTTCGGTCTTCCGCTTGATGAATAAGTGAATGATAACTTAGTCCTGTCCACTTCTTGATGTTGTCTTTCCAGTTTCTTCATTGCCCTCCATTTCTTCGACTACCCCCCAATATTCCTTGAATTACAGTCTTTGCAATCGAATCATGTCTCACCACGTGCCCAAACTAAGCTACCTTGTGACGTTTCAGCTTGCGAATATACAGAAGATGAGATCTAAGTGCTTATGGACTTTTCTGATGTGCGATAAGGATAATGAGTCAGTTAACTAAGTGTGGCAATATTAGGAATTTACAAAATATGTAAATTGTTCTTCTGACCTTCATTCCTTTTTGGAGCATAAACCATGAACGAACACACCAAGATGTCATATCCTTCATGATCCTGTGCAGCTTATCATATGTCCAGTCTATATTATTGACTTGTCTCTAATGCCCTTCTATGTTTGCTTTTCAGTCATCAACAATGATGGGTAATGTGTTTAGTTACTTTAACAACAGCAGATGGAAGATGTGTTATAAAAGTGTTAAATTTAGAATATCCCTATTTTTTTTTAAAATCTCACAGGAGCAAGACTATTTTATGCCAAATATCTTTGTAGCATAAAAAAAGAATGAGTTCTTAAGAGCTTTATAAAACCATGTAATATGTGCGGGGATAAGTAATGAGCAATCGGCATATAAGTATGAAATTAAATATGGAAGCTTCAGAGATATAGTTTTATAAAAGAATTTTGCGAACTCCTTCAACAAATAAAAAGTGTAATCACAAAAATGTCCTGACATAAATTAATCTTTAAAGAGAAGTTTACCAATATCAGAAGACAGTCTGCATCCTTTAGACATGTCTTGACAAGGGGAACACTGAGATATATCTTCTTCTTCTGCCTTTCTATCCCCCAATGGAGCATGGGCCCTCAACCAATTCACGCCACGTCATTCTATCCTTCGCTATTACATGGAGCTCTCCCCATGTCCTCCCTATCTTTCTAACTTCATTCTCCAGCTCTCTTCTCTGTGTGGTTTTTGGCCTTTCTTTATTCCTATGCCCCTGTGGGTTCCAATGCAAAGACTTTCTAGTTATGCTGTTCTCTGGTTTTCTCAATGTGTGTCCTATCCAACACCAGCATCTTTTCCTCACCTCTTTGTGACGGCACTAGCCATACGGCCCTAAATCCTCAGGCCCACAATCCTCTGTCTACACTGCCCTAAAAAGTGGTAGATTTAGACAGTTAGAAATAATTGTTATATAATTATTAGGTTTTCTCTGTGTGTGTCCCATGTTAGACCAGCAGTTGTTTCTCACCTCTTATATTTAATCCTGCTCTTAAATTGAGTCAGGAACCAGTATCACAATATTCAAGTGCTTCAGCCACATGTTCAGCAGCAAGCAAAGCCAGATGGCACGTCAGCCGGTCTGTCTGCCTGTTTGTTTCCCAACACACCTGCATCACCCGGAGAAAAGATCCAAAGAAACCAAACTCTACATGGAGCTTGCCTTTTTTCACCTTTCTCAGCATGCAGTCATAACATGTGTATGTGACAGGTTCTCAAGACAGACAAAGCTTTTGTAACTGCCTCCACCTCCATTATCAAACTGGGTGTGGTATTTGTCCTCTCATCATAAATTCCACACTGCCAGCGTAATGCTGACCACATTACCCACCGAGTGCCGATTGGTCTATAAAAATATGGGTGCTCTTCCCATATGCCCGATGCGCCCAAAGGCGTGAAAAGAGATCTTTACTTTCTTTTTACATAAACTCCAAACTGGTAATTCTGTAATACTAAAGCACTTCTATTCCACCCAGTTCATAATTAATACAAGTTTGTAATCAATTAGTAATTGTTTTAGCCCTTCATCATATTTCCACTCCATTCAGCATAACTGATTTGAAACTAGATTTTAATATTCCAAGATTTAATTTCTCTTTCTTCTCTATCTATATATTCAAAAAATCATTGCATGACTTTTTGATTGCTTTTGCCCTATAGCTGTATATCTGCTGGCTGGCAGTTTGGCTAGTATTGTGGTCTCTCTCAGTCTTCTTGAGAAACCATGGTTATAATTAAATTGATCAACCAAATGTCACTGATGAGATTGATTCTTTTACAGTCTTTTTAGTTCTGTTTATGTCTGAAAATAAATGTTTCTGTCTTTCTGTCTTTATTCGCCTCTCTTCTTCTACTTTTTTCATTTTATTTTTGCTAACACTTGGTATAAAATAAAACATGGCTGTTACATATTGCAAACGATTATTATTTTTACTTTTGCTCTTACAGGTTCAAACAGAAATGATTCGAGACAGAGCTATTGCACTCAAAGAACAAGAAGAAAGACTAAGTGCATTTATAGCCACTCTTCAAATAAGGAAAGCAGAAGAGGTTGTCCTATTTGTTTAAGTATTAGTTTTATACATTCAGCTTTTTTTTTTAAAACCAAAGCTAGTTATTTCTCCATGTCTTCAGCTTAGTGAGTTTTGGAAGTTATATTTTTTTAAAGTTAAATGTGCCAGGCTTCTTAAACTAAGTATCCTGTATTAGTAGTTTTTGTGCCATAATTGATTAACTTGAAAGTCATAATATATGAACTTGAATGTCATAATATATTAGTAAATCCGCCACATTATTGGACGCAATTTTATTATTATTTTAAAAACCCACCCCGGCTCTTGTCAGTAGCCCTACATATAATCTAACAGTTGAACAGGGTTTTTAGGACTTGTGCCCAGGTTATTCTCATCCTATTGTTGGCACTTTGTGTCACCGGGTGTTTACTGCTCATCATGCGGCCCTGTGGGGTTGAACATCCTCATAATACATTAGTTTGAATGTCATAATTAACTTTAGTGCCATTCGGTAAAGAGTAAAAAAATGCAGGATTATTTTGGTCATATGGCAAGAATGGTTGCAAGTCTACTTACTCATTTCCTTGTATGCCGCAGTGAGCTGGGTTATTCTCATCCGATTGTTGGCATTTTGTGTCACTGGGTATTTACTGCTCATCAAGTAGTCCTGGGAGGTTGAACATCACTCACTCATCATAAATTAGTTTGAATGTCATAATTAACTTCAGTGCTATTCAGTAAAGAGTAAAATAATGCAGGATTATTTAGGTCATATGGCAAGAATGATAGCTAACTCATTTCCTGGTATGCCGCAGTGAGCCAGGATCCACTGGAGAAAGATTTGATTGTTTTCTGATCAAATTAAATGACTGCGGTAACATGTAGCATGGTATATTTCAGATAACCCAAATTGAAGAGCAGCAGAAAGCAATAATGAAACTGAAAATGGGCATGATGGATGATCTCAGCGACAGAGGAATTCTTTCTACTCATGGAATCAAACAAATTCTCAGAAATCATGAACAGGTTTGTCTTATGTATTCTCACTACCATTACATTCCTGCTTCACAATGTTTACCAAGACGTTTGCCTTTAGTTTGGTTGACCCCCCACTAAATGCCGATTGATCTATAAAATTGTGAACTTATCATCATATGCCCCAGTGCACAACTGGCATAGAAAGAGTGCCTTTACTTACTCTTTACTTTTGGCTCAGAAGTTAGCAGATTTATCCCTAGAACAGGACTTGGAAAGTGTTACAAAAACCACTGCCTTCTATATCTGCAGTGTTGTCTCCAGTATGAATTTCACTGTCTTTTTCATTTTTTTAAAATTTTTATTATTTACTCCATCTATATATATAAAAATCAATGTTTGTGTGTTTGTTTGCCCCCTATAGACTCGGAAACTACTGAACCGATTTAGCTGAAATTTTCAGGATATGTTTGTTTTGATACCGGATGTTGAACCATCATGGTTTCAAATTCAACCTGTCACTAGATAGGTGACCACAATTTAAGCCATAATATTCGAAACTAATATTTATAATTTTAGTGATTTCTAATTATAGCCACGTTAGTAATTGCGCATGCGCCGCCGTAGTCAGAACGCAAGGCTTCCACCATTCGCCGGCGAGTTACGTGCAGCCAACGCCTTCTCTAATACATAGAGTAGGTCGAGGTACAGCAAACAAGACTATCTCTATATTTGCCACAATAACCATATTAAACACGATTTCTATTTTCTGTTTGTTTTTTCAAACAACCTTCGATAGGGGGGGGGGGGGGCAATCAAGGACTATCTTGACGTCGGCGCAGACATTGACTGCGACATTAACTTCATTAACCGTGTTAGACACGTGCGATTTCTATTGTTGTGCCATTTCATTAATATATCTGGTGTATCTGTCTACGAGAAAACAATTGCCTGCGGTTTTGAATTGTGTTTTAATCAGGACACAGTAGTAGGGACACACATCTCTAATAGTTAAGTTCTCTTTTCGTTTATCCGATTAAGTGGCTGCTTGGTCGAATGGTTAGAACACTGGGTTCCTGTGCGGGAGACCTGGGTTCAAATCCACAGTAGTTAATTTTTTTTTTACCCCGGACTAAAATAATATCCTCATCTGCTCTGTCGTGGTGACAGCACTAGCCATGTTGCCTTAATAATTAAAAAAAAGACAAGTAAATGGGTAAACCATTTGATAATTAAATTTGACCATTTCGCATACTTATGATTGCATTTTTAAACTTTCTGATTGCATGGTTACGCTGAAATTTTATAGATTTTCATTTATTTTCATTTAGATTTAGTTATTTCATCTGCGTTGGAATTTTAAGCTGTGCTGTTTACCGTGGCGTTCATTTCCTAATTATGGTGTTTTTTTCCTGTGTTCATTTGCTTTTCAAGTGTTTTTTTTTCTTCTCCCAACTACTTCAATGAGGAAAGAGTTGTCGGTGAATTTGGGGGGGGGGGGGGGGCAAACTATTTACTGAGAGAGCTTTAAGTCACAGTAACTGCTTTACCCACTTAAAGTAGCAGCAGCAGTAATAGTTGTTACACCAGGGCTGTTACACCATAGTGCTCTCATGTGAAGACCGCCGGTAAGGTTATGGCGTTCTTCTGTCGGCAAGTGAAATTATACCTCCTAACCTGACCAGTCTGTGGCGACAGCACTAGCCATGCAGAACCAAATCTTCTGGCTCACGACTCTCTGTCTACTCCGATGGTAACACAGATAGCAGTGACATTATTTTAGTAGTTGTACTGGTACTTGAAGGATGATGTGGTAAATATTACACTAGCCCCATTCACTACCTATTACAATTCCTGCTCCCCATTTTCATCCTGATGGACAGGGATGTCAATGTCAGTTACAGCAACAACAAAATATCGCCAGGTAATGATTTTCAAATATTTCGAAGAGGGAGAGAGCAGTAGTCGGTGGAAGAGGGGAGGGGAGGGGAGTAATGACTTAAATTTAAGAGAACTTAAAGAGCTTTACACGTGATTTTCAAGTTCTCATTACCTAATTTGTTTATATTTTACTAACGCTACCTCCGCTTTTCTATTTTTTACGACTTACTTTGTTATTTACAAGTACAGTTGTAGCTTTACTTCCGTCTCCTATAAAAATACAAACAGCTTTAGCATGTGATAACCAAATAACCACTTTTGTTACAGTGCTAATAGCACCATTTAAACGACCACTAATATAAAGACACAATTATGTGGTGTGTGTTCTAAAGTTGGAAAACCAGACTATCTCTATATAAATGTGCAGAGAATGATTGCGACATTAACTATATTAGACAGGTGCGATTTCCATTGTCTTTCTTTTCCAAAAACCTTTGATGAGGGAGAGGGTAGTAGGTGGATTTAGTTGTGGGGTGGGGGGGGGTGGAGTGGGGATCAAAGACTATCTCTATATCTGAGCAGACAATGATTGTATTAGACACGTGCGATTTCTATTTTCTTTCATTTCCATTTAGCCAAACTATGCCACAGCAACGCGTGGCCGGGTACAGCTAGTGACCTATAAAGTTTGAGTCTCCTGATATCTTATGTAGTGAAAACAAAACAGCAAGAAGCCTGTTTAAAAAAAACCTTGCAGCTAAAAATAAAAAAAAAAGAGTGAGTTTTAAGCATGACATTAGTTTCTGAAAACAATCTTAATCCTCAGTATATATAACTGAGGAAAGGCAAGACAGATATACGGTCAGACTGCTTCTTGTACAGTCTGAATTAAAACTCTGCGCTGGCACTGAAAGTGTAGTCAGTGTTTATGGGAATATTCTGAGGGCTGTTAAATCAGTTTGTAACAGCTCAACTACATTTAGCTGATTACCTTAGAACAAATCAGTGTTGAGGATTTAAATCTTACACAAATTCATCCTCAAAACTTATCATATGAGTTGGAAAAAATCCACCAAAATGACAATTTAGACTGAGTGGTTTCAACAACAACAACAAAACTACAAGTTATAAAATGAACATTGCAGCCAGAAAGCCTTCAGCATTTGGACAATGATAAAACTACATAAAAACTATTTAAAAATTACAGCTTTTGGTAAAAATATTCATACACACTGGAACAATGAGCTTGATAATCCATACTGGGACACTGAGCTTGATAATCCATGCACACACGGGAATAGCAAATTTCTTCACAAGTGCTTGCGCCAGGTAGACAATAAAGAAGAAGTGAGACAGAAAATGGACAGGTTGAGAGGTCCTTTTCTTCTTCTTCTTCATTTTCTTCTTTTTTTTCTTCTTCTTTTTTTTTCCTTCTCTAGCCCTGTTCTGCTTTTCAACTTCTGGTTTTGAAGAGGCAATTGGTGCGAGCCTTGCTATGTGGTACATAGATGCTGGTATACTGCCTAGGATATACCATCTATTCCTCGCTTACATGGTTGATCTCTAGATTTGCTTCCATTATGTCTAAGTGACAGGGCTTTCTGTGGCATACTATTTGGTGGTCATCTTGATTCATGTCCATGTCATTTGATCTGTTGAGACATCATGAGGGAAAATTACACAGGAAGTACACGGGGGTGGACATGTACACATAATTATATACTTTTGTTTTCTCACAGGAGCATGATGAACTAAACCATAAAATTGAGGTTGAAAGGAAAATTAATGAAGAAGTAGGTTCTATTATTTGTTTAATTTTCATTATATATTTGAAATCACTAGTAAACTTCATTGTTACAGTTTAGTGTCAAAAATATGTTTCTATCTTTCCTTCTGAGCATAAAATATCCATTTTATAGCTAATGATAACATTGAGAAGGTTATCAAGTGATGATTGTGAATCTACAGCCATGACCACACTGCGTGGACAGCATGTTAAAAGAAGTGCTGTCAGAAAAATGTGCTGTTTGGGAAGCTAAAGAAGAATAGTACATAAAAATAATCTGTTCACATACTGGGATACTGAGCTTGATAATCCATGTGCACACAGGAATAGCAAATCAAATAGCAAGTCCTGCTATTGTCAGCTACACACTGCAGGATTTATTGAGGATTTACTGAGGAACAGGTTGATATGTTCACTAACAGTTTGGGGACATCTCTATTGAGAGTTATGTGGTTTTGTGAAAGAATGATGAGAACAACATAGCCAGATAAAATGTGTAATGAAAATATTTTGAAAACAATTAACTCAGAAAGAGAACTGATTTTTTGCCCCACAAGACAATCTACATTATTTGGACATGTTGTGAGAAAAGGAAAACTGGGGTTAGCAGATAAGCTCCAGGGGAAGACTGAAAGAGAAGGTGTTGGATGATTTAAATGATGGAAATGCAAGAATATATGATCAGAATAACACAAGCCAGAAAGCTGTGCACTGATGCTATGATCCATTTCCTGTTGTCTTTTTCCATTTAAGAAGAGAAGTAAATAAGTATCTTTAATGTTAGATTAAGAATTTCATTTTCTCTATCTCTTATCTTTGTGAGGATATGCAAATTTAAGTACATACATAATGCATTGTTATCATATGATTACAATGGTAATAACAAATTACTGTTAGTTCCATATCTGCCATTTTATTTTTGCTTTATTTTGTCCACATTATTTTTTTAAAATTCATATTATCTTTTTATTTCCATGGTAAGTCTAACCAAATAATAATTCAAGCTTTTTATTACTGTAAATCTAAATTGGAAACTAACTTGTAGTTTATGTGTTAAAAGACATAAAAGTACTGTTAAAAAAAAAGTGATAGTAGGAAAATATGGTTTAACCTGCCTGGAAAAACAAGTGTAAAGTCTGGAGCATAAAGGTTAGCATAAAATGAGTCAAATGAGCTACAGATTGGTCTGGAAATGTTCTCTATCCATTTTACATTTTAACAGTTCTGTTCACAGTTGTGCATATTCAGATTCCTCAGTATACTCAATTTATGTTCATGAAATCAGCTAAATCACATCTGCTCATTGAGATGAGATCTGTCACTGAAGGCCTATGGAGTTAGGTAGCATCTATCAAACTGAATAGAAGGAATATCTATTTATACCATCATCCACATAGCAAGCACCAAGGCTTGCACAAGATGCCTCTTCAAATGCTGACAATGAAAGACAAAACAGGATCTAGAGAAAAGAAAGAAAAAGAAACAGATATCTGCTGATCTAATTTACCACACTATTTTAAATACTTTCTTTACATCTTTTTTTTTCTTCTCAAAAGGACTTGGACTTGGACATTTTTATTAACTTTTCTTCATCATAACAACATGCAACCATTTTCTCCTAATAGGTGAAGTCATGATGAAGTATAGGTAACTTCTTAAATTGAGGCAGTAGACAGTGATCTAGAAACAAAACATAACATAACTCTTGACCTGTTAGGGTTGTGGAGGTGTATTGATGGAAGCACCAGCACATAAAACCCTTTCTCTGTCTTCCGTTTGATGAATAAGTGTATGATAACTTAGTCCTGTCCATTTCTTGATGTTGTCATTCTAGTTTCTTCTTTGCCCTCCTTTTCTTCAACTAACCCCCAATATTCCTTGAAGTACAGTCTTTGCAATCGAGTCATGTCTCACCACGTGCCCAAACCAAGCCAGCTTGCAACATTTCACCACTGCCAGGAGAGGCTCCTGATGTCCCGCAAATTTGTATATTTTGTTTCTGACATATTTATTAGTTGTATGTTCTAAATAACTCATTTTTAAAATGCATCTGTAGCATTTACATTCTAAATTTACAGAAACAAAACAAACAAAATTAGATTTGCTGACTGAGATCACCTCGTTATTTACACCTAAATTATTTACAATTTTATTAGCCTTTTGATACATCATAACAATACGCATTAATTTATTTCCATCAGGCGTTCTTGTTAAAATACAAGCAGCTCCTTATTCAGAGGCAGCAGTCAGTTATTCAGAATCAAAAGGAGGAGATTGACCACTTCTTGAAAGCCACTGCTAATAAAGCTAGCGCCAAATTCAAATGTGCTCTCCTCAAACATAAACATGCTGTGGAGCTGGAGAAGTTCAGGTAAAATCCCTGAATGAAAAGTAAGATCTATCTATATCCTCTCCATGTTATTGTTGACACATAAAGCATTCTCAAGTGATCTCCACTGTTGCCTGTCTATTGTTGCTCTGCCTGTGGTCTCTTATGTTTGTTTACACTTCTTCATTTTCTGTTCTACTGTTTTTCTTCAGCTTTTCTTAGTTCATCCACATTTCTTTTTTATTTCACTTGATCCTGTTTCCAAAATAAAGTATTATTGTGTGAGTGTGTACAGTAACGAGTTCTCAACCCTTTGCCCAATCCCCAGGGGATTGCTAGTTTGGTCTGATCCTTCTCAAGACCTTTCCGATTTAGTTATTAAACTTGCTAGACACAAATTTAACATACCAAATATGTTTGTCCCTATGTGGTTTCTGGGACCCTATTTTAGAGGAAAACAAAATATACCTTAAAAAGCATGCCAAAAAGGCAACTGATTAAGGGTGTGCTGAAATCAAAGAAATAAAGAAAGAAAGAAAGAAGGAAGGGAGGGAGGGAGGAAGGAAGGAAGGAAGGAAGGGAGGAGGAGGGAGGGGGGAGGGAGGGAGGGGAGGGAGGGAGGGAGGTGAGGAGGGAGGGAGGGAGGAAGAGAAGGAAGGAAGGAAGGAAGGAAGGAAGGAAGGAAGGAAGGAAGGAAGGAACCAATTCTGATGGTACCATTAACAGCCAGGTAGTATAATCCATTGTTTTTATGTTGCCTTGATCAGATCTGCTTGTCATTCTTTGCTGCACCATTCTCTTCAGACTGGGTTAATTTATTTTGTTTGCACAATGTTCAGGCACTACCTATGGCCTTGAACACAGCTAGCTGCATCAGTTTACCACCAAATGGTGCAGAAACAGCCAGTCTGTTCATTCCTATATCAATACCCTGGAGAAAAAAATCCAAAGACCACTAGTTGAAATGGATATCTGCAGCGATGCTTGCCACTCTATACAAAGCTTACTTGACTCCACCTTTCTCACAAAGCTTTGTGAGTCTGTTATAGTCCTGACAAGTGTGTGCAGCTGGTTTTCAAGCCAGTAGAAGAAGACACTGTTGATTGGAGAGCACATGCTCTGTAGCTACGACAATAATAGCAGTCAGTCATACTAACAATGCTGCCAGCTAGCCTACTTCTTCTTCTGCCTTTCTATCCCCCAATGGAGCATAGGCCCTCAACCAACTCACGCAAAGTCATTCTATCCTTCGCCATTGCATGGAGCTCTCCCCGTGTCCTTCTAATCTTTCTAACTTCATTCTCCAGCTCTCTTCTCCATGTGTTTTTTGGCCTTCCTTTATTCCTATGCCCCTGTGGGTTCCAATGCAAAGACATTCTAGTTATGCTGCAACGATCCGGACTCCATACAGCTTTCTCCACACCGTGTCATACTTCTTCTATTCGAAGAGCCTCCCTCATCTTGGTTTGCTGAATTTTTTTTGCTTCTCTTTTTAACTTATCCATGGTTGTTTGTTTTTTGTGGCTATGGTTTTTACAGGATGAGGTAGCCAACCTCAAGCCCAACCCTACCCTTAGTCACCTCTTATGACATGCCTGGTAGGGTGCAGTGTCACTATTCTTTGCTTTCCGTGAGGGCCCCGGTGACACACAAGCGAGCTTGCCTACTATTGTATAATATCTGTTAATTTAATAACATCTGGGATACATGTATTTAATTACACACTTAATAGTTACCAATGGAAAACTTTGGCTAAATTGCATCCATCAAAATAATCCTGTTATTGACAGATGGGGTTTTGGGATAAAGAAAAAAAAAATTGTTGTAATTATATCCAAGATGCTAAGTTTGTCACTGATTATAATGAGAACAGATTTTAATGTGACTTTTAAAATACCCTGCCAAATTGTTATTTTGTTGTGATAAATGTGTATGCAGTACTGCTGTTTTATTTTATTCATTTATTCATTTAATTAGAAATGAAATGCAAAGGGAAATCAGACTGCCAAAGAAAAAAAAAAAAAAAAAAAAAAAAACAAACAAAAAATCGGGAAAGTTTTAGAAGAGATTTTGAGATACAGAAATGGAAAGCTATTCAAACAAAGGTGAAGTTTGATTGTAAATTTTCTTTCATTTGTTTCATACTCTTGTTCTTCTTGAGTTCACCAGCTGTAAATTCAGACAGAAAGTTCTGGTTTTTTGCTCACCTTTGGGCTTCAGTCCTCTTCAGGGATCTCTGAAACAACTACACCAGTGAATCTAAAAAACAGAGCCTGAAAATGAAACTTAACTTTTAGAATGGAAGGCAGATGGCTTTACCAGTTTGCTACAGAGCTAACCTCTTTACTGTTTCAACTTCAGCAAAGTTTTACTTCAACTCATTATGTCTTTACAAGTTGTTATTATAATTAATAAATGTTTGGACCTTAAAAATTAAAATGACAACACCAGGAGACAGAGGAAGTTAAAGTGACAACTGGGGCAGAGTAGAATAATGTAGTAATGTAAACAATAAAGTAAGGGAGGTAAAGAACCTTTTCTCCTGCCTTCAGCTCATCAGGCATATAGTAAACAGTTTTTTTTTTAAGTAAAGGACCCTTTTTACATGACTTTCAGGTTTATTGGGTATATAGGGCTAGACCTATAATTTTTACAGACTAATCGCACTTGATGGCAAATGTGGTCAAAATCATGTTGGCCACCTTTACTTCCCAGTTCATTATTTGATACTCATTGTAGGTTGGGTTGACCTGGGAGCTAAGATCAGTTTTAGACAAAAACCTGCCTCGATGCAGATTTGAACTGTATCCCCTGGAGAGTACAAAGAGTCATAAATTGATTAGAAAAATTAAATATAGTCAGCATTTTTTGACATATGAGAAGGAATCAACTCAGTGATGATTGGCAACATTGAGGGAAAGAAAGCAAGGGGAGGGCAAACAAACAAGTTAAATTTCTGGATGGCTTAGCCATACAGATGGGCTGAGATAAGAACTCAACCTTATCCATGATTCTGGTCACTGTGTGGGATCACAAAACATGGCAGCCTATGTTTATTGACATGGCACATGTTGATTTTTGTTTAAATATTTGGAAATTTTTACAATAACTTTTAGTTTTCCAGTTTCTATATCTGATCTGTCATGTTTAGTATCAAAATTGTAACTTTCAGGAAATCCAACTCCTAAGCAGACTTGTGAAAATTGGAAAGTTTAGTCGCAGTGTACTTTTAGACGTCCTTCATATATTATTTCCTGGAACAACTGAAGAGACAGTTACTGAGTTATTGAACCAGATCTGTCAAGAAGATAGCAGTACAAACAAGAAAGGGTGAGGTGGCATTTCTTCTTATGATTTTATTAAATTATCAAATGTAATCTAAGAAGAGCTGTAACTCTTTCTGCACTAGCTATTGTTACTGTAACTTTTAAGTCTCAGGCAGTAAAATAACTAATAATTTAAGTTAAGATAATAAAACAGAATGCATGATTGAGTTTGCGAAAGCACAAATTCCAATATTGTAAGGGAGGGGGTTCTAACTGTCTAGGATGGATGGAATAACAAAAACTGACACTGAGTTGGTCGTAGCAGAAGTAATTAATTAACATATTGTAAATAAATTGGTTAGAAATAAATTAAGAATTTTTTCTGTAAAAAATGCAATTTAAAATTTTAAAAACTTATTTTTTTGCTTACTGTTTTGAACTCCTTTTTGCTTTCTACCTTAAGATGTAACTGATCTGTAATTGCTTTAATCTGATTCATCTTGGATATCTTTAGAGATTCATCATCTGTGAGCACACTGGCTGACAAAATTAGTGAGATACAATACTCACAGCTAAGTCCGCTGCACAGTTACAGGTGAGTCATTTTTTTTTAAAAGTGTGTTATTAAAGTATCATCGTCATCGTCTTATTATTAGCATTCACTGGCTGTAAACTCCTGCGGAAAGTTCTGGTTGTTCATCCACTTCTGGACATTAGCCTTCTTCCAGTACCTGAATTTTGTGTGGACATTAATTTTACAGATCTAGCTTACTTGTGTGCAAACTATTGGTTCCTTGTCGCTCAAGCAGATGCACTCTGACTTTGGAGGGAAAATCCCTAATTAGTTGCCTTTTAGAACTTTCTTATTAAAGAGGCAGTAGGTCTGTTCCCCCCCCCCCCCTCCCCTTTTCCCAAAAGTGAACCCAGAACTCACTCGGGACCCCGTCAACTTGTATAGGCAATTATCCTTGTCCACAGCTTGCTACCTCCAAAAGAATGCAGCATTTCAAGTGCTAGCGCCTTTCATGGCATGACAAAAGGCTGCCAGGAGTCTTCTCTTGCTGCCTTCTTCTTTCTCTTTTCCATAAATTGTACAGTTGTCGCAACATAATCCAGTTTTTATCTTCTCATAATATAATCATAAAATTATAATTGCCTCTTTCTGATGATTGTGATGGGCTGTCTTTGGGTCTTAGCTCTCCCTCTTTTCAAACTCAGAATATTAATTTTGGCTGTTGAAAAAATTGAATGCATTCTTCTGTAAAATCTCATATCTGCGGCCTCAAGAATTTCTTTGGTTTGTTCAGGATTTATGAGTCTATGTTAAAAGTGGTTTCGTTTGACATTGCAAGAATTCTATTTGTAACCACCAGTGTCTGGGATTTATTGCATAAAATATTTATGTTTCATGAAATGCAGTTGCGTGCTTGTCCTGTTCTGTTAGTATCTATGGGATACAGAATTCAAGTATTTGGGAGCAATTTTCACATCCGATGGAAAACTGGACAGAGAAATGAGTGTGAGATGTACCAAAGCTAATCAAGTACTGGGGCAACTATCTCCCTTGTTGACAAACAAGCAGATACCCCTTTGTATTAAAGTAAGTCTTATCAGAACTATTTTTTGGCCAACACTATGCTATTAGTGTCAAACGTGGACACTTACATCCTCTAATGAATATAAAATTGTGGCAACATAGATGAAGTGCATTAGAAATGATGCAGGAATTTCAAGGAAAGACAGAATACAAAACCACAAAATCAGACGAATGCTAGGAATAAGGCCAGTCTTACAGGTCATCAAAGAACAACAAATGAAGTGGTTTGGACACCTAACAAGAATGCCTTTGTACTATCTACCACAGTGAGTCACACTGAAATATTGCAATGGGTATAGAGCGATGGGAAGACATAAATTAACATCAATTTTAATAGTGCTCTTGACAGAGCTCATCAACAAACATTACATCACCCCCGACACTTCACTGAGGTACAAGGTGGAAGAGAAGCTGAAGAAGAAGAAGATGATCTACGGGATATGTATTCTGTATAATGTTAACCCTGTCACTCTGAGAATGCCATTTTTCCAACATTTATGGGGTTCGATGATATGAAATCTTTAGGCAGTGGCCACCACAACCGTAAAAAGCTTTGTTACTGGTTTCAGCTGCATATTGTGTAGACATGGTTAGTATGATTATATTCTTACACACATGCGGGCGCGCGCGTGTGCACAAACACTCACACAATTATTTGTGAATTTTTTTTTTTTTATTGTGATGTCATTATAATAATCTCTTTATGATCACATGTATGCCCCATGGTTAAGTTAACAAAACTATATTTGTCCTGGTCATTATATAATATTTTTGCTCCTGTTTTATTTTGTTTCTGCTTTAAAAAGTAATAATAGTTATAAATAATATGAATTATTAGTGATTTAATGGCCATAATCTATCTGTGGACTTCACACTTTAATGTCTGCTTGGTGGTCTAGAAATTCAACCCCCGGGATTTTTTTAAAAGTGCCTCAAACTGAATTTCTTCTGCTTCTTCTTCTCTCCCTTTAATTTCTTTGTGAAGAGTTTAAGAGAATTATAACAGTATGGTTTTTTTTTTTTTAACAACATTTTGAAAAAGGTCATTTTTTTTAAAAACTCTTTGGGACAAAAGGGTCAATAATGGGCCTATATTTTTTGACGATTCTTGCCATAGCTCCTGCTTTAGAGCTAAAAAATGTGGGTCCCAGGGCCCTGTTATAGGGAAAACAAGAAATAGACCCACTGCCTACACAAAAGCATGTCGTGAGAGTTAACTAATTGGGAGCTTCCTTCAAGGTTGGAGTGTATCTGCCTGAGAGGCATACAAATGAGTCAGATCTGTAAAACAGATGCACACGCTACACTCAGGTTCTGTCACAACAGGACTGCAGTCCAGAAGTGGATGAACAACCAGAACTTTCTGTCAAAGTTTACAGCTGGTGAATGCAAGAAGAAGAATCAAGACCATTGCTTCATCAAGTGAGTACAATATCCAAATTGCTGCAATATTTTTGAAGCCAAAAAATGAACTGGAACCAGGTACACTTTCTATTAAGCTGCCATAAATGCTTATTTTGGGGTGTTTTTTTAGGAAGGTTTGTATGTTTGTTTTATTTTTTAGCCACTTTGATTTATTATTTCCACAGTGTGCCATACAGACAGTTTTCAACAGATTCTGGATGAGTCTGGAAGGGACTTCCCCCCAACCCCCCCCCACCCCCCCCCCCCCCCCCCCTCCCGAAGTGAACACACATCCAGCTTACTTGAAAAGCCTTGTTTACGCCTACTGGCACAGAACAGTCATTCAGAATATGAAAATACAAATCAATTTAGTACCCAGATTTCCAACCAGAGTTATGGGCAAGACAAAATATGACAAACTCCAAGTACAATCAGAAGTCAGAAAGGTTACAGTTCTCCATATACTTCTGAAGAAGATGGGTACAGCTTATTCAAACTTGACAGATACCATGAAGAAGATGAAGAGGTTAGACTAATATTGGGTAGAGCTGTAAGTAAGAATCACTCACAGTCAAGTTCTAATTACCCAGGGAGATTACCTCCGTTACAAAATCAGGATAAACCTGCATCTAAAAAGAAGAAAAGTTTTTCTGAAGAAGTTAGCAAGTGGAAGCAAATCAGGTATCTGAGCAAATAGACAACTAAAATACTGTGTGTTGTTATTCCGAATTATTCATTAAAAGAATCCTGAATAGAAATACACATGGTAGGTGGTGATATATTGTAATTACTCATATAAAGCAGATATGTTTGAAACATTAAGTGAAGTTTAGGCTTGCAGGGCCATTATCAGCCTAAATGACATTGTTGTTTGTGGTTTGGCACCTTGCCATCCTTTCAGCACGAAACTGTTATATATTATGCTATTTGAAGAATGGAAATCACAGCCTATGAGAGTTGGGTCTAACTGGCCAGCGTACGCTTGTGCTAAGAAACGTTTTCCACAGCTATGATCAAGGGATTTTATAGGACTAAATGACACAGACAAAGCAGTTAAAGGTCCTCAGGTTACACAAATTGTCCAAAACATGTTATACATCCTGATGAGTCAATTCTAAGTGGGCTAATAAATATAATTATAATACTATCACAACATAATTATCTTGATTGAATGTTTGACAAATATACCTTTATTATTTCACTGATTACTATAATTAGGGTTC